CAAGTTCAACAATTCGTCTTCCAAAACGCCATGAACTTTCTGCACTTTGACACTCAACACTTCGTAGAACAGGGGAAGAATCATTCTCCAAGCATAGGCCATCATTTTCAACATCTAATATTTACACAATAAATGATTGAATCTTTTGCTACATATTCCAACAGTCCATAGCAGAACGCTTACACAATAATTATCAATACAGACACTTACCCTGTTTACCTTTTAACGCACGGGCTTCTCTTGCTCTCCTTAGACCCTCAAGTCTCCGGAGGAACGAAGCTTTCACGAACGTTCCTTTTTTAGACCGGGGCATTCTTGTATTTTTATATAATCACACGAAATTTATGATAAATGACCAGACTGAATGTTTTGCGCCAAAGCCGAGTCATAACCGGAAGTCTAGAGTCGGTGTATAAAATTTAAAACCGGAAGCGAAAAACTATGGCCTTTCCTTAAAAGGCACCTGCATGCGCATAGTCAATTTAGCGTATAGGGTGGAAACAACCATATATTAAAGGAATCACTTTTTAGTTTGCTGTGCATACCAGGGCATCAACGGCAGTTGGAAACGTGGGATAATTTATGCATAACGGGTGGAGTTGTAAATATCGAGAAATTAACATACTTAACTTTCAGAGTTATCACAAAGAAAACATTTGCAAACGTAAATAATATACGACTCGCGATCACGACTGAGTCCATTCCCAAAGATATTCTCTTCCGCTGGTCTAATCATTACAAAGTTGCGTCCTTCTCTTCCGTTGACCAAATTGTCTTCATAAATAAGAACTGTGAAGCATTTGTAATTATTGGTGTATTAATTGATCATGTCTTTTGAGTTTGTTTGATACATAAATTAAGTACACCAAAAAATCGTTTTCGTTGGGCTCGATGTTTATGTGCATGAACATGCATTATAACATGTTATAAACAAAAGAAAACATCGATGTGGTAAACAGGTCTCAAACTTTTACATGTATACACACTTTTTCCGAGTACCCGGGTACTCGATCGGAAAATCGTCCGAGTAACCGATTATCAAATATTGACCGATTTGACATCCCTAATATATATATATATATATATATATAAAGCACAAAGAAATTCACTTTTATAAGGATACCCACTTCCGCCCCAGCCCGGGGTTGAACTCTCGACCTACGGAATCTGTCTCCTAGCAGTACAGGAACAGCGCGCTAGACCGCTCGGCTATCTAGGCAAGTCAAAAAGCTTGCTTTCGATGCCGATGGAATTCTCGCGGCGCTGCTCTACACTACACGGTCATTGAGAATGGAAGTGAGATAGAGTTATTTGGACATTCCAACTATCAACTTCTATCGCCTTACAAATTCTCATACTTCTGCTGCTGAGCTTGTTAACCATGGTTCCTCGAGATAAAAGTCATACAGAAGAAATATGGTGGGTGCGGAAGTGGTTACTCAGAAGCCGAATCAAATCAGTCATTTTGTTCTTTGTATCCGTTCTCACGGCGGTCAACGTCTTCATTTCATCGTACCAAAACATGTGACGAGGATACTTTGTTCTTAGCCATTTCCAGTGGTGACCTCCATGCTTCTAAATAGGAGAATGTTCTCTAATTAGAACATGCACATTTTATTTGTATTAAGGATAAATAACACATTTTTTCAGAAATCAGCACTATATTGAAATAGATATATTATGTTCCTATAGATTGATTGAATAATGTTTGCCAAAGTAAGTCTGGAAAGAACTTGATATGGTTTGGGCCATTTCTGGCCCCAATTCAGACAATGTGTTTATTTACTATGGGAAGTGTTTATCAAGTGTGTTACTCGTGTTACTCAAAAAAAAATATTTTAAATTGATAAGCTGTTCCGTTGCCATGGAATCGATCTTCAAAATATATACCTTCAGACCTGAAAAGCTGACTTTTATTGTCATTTAACTTTTTTTTTTATTGTGGTAGCATCTGTCTATAGTAAATGTCATATTTATACGCTGGGAAGTATTTAGGTGACAGTATTACTAAGAAATATATTTTAAATTGGTTTGTTGTTTAAATTCCGTTGTCAGGGAAACCATCTTAAAAAAAAAATATTGCACTGAACTCCTTCAGACCTTAAATCTGGCTTTTATTGTCATAGCCAATCGTAAATTTTGATACAGTTTCTAATATAATCATGTCGATTTTTTTTTTAAACTATGCAATGTTTTTAAGTACAATGAGTAAATGATAAAATTTTCCGGAAACTAAAAGTGCTTTTTAGGGGGAGGGGGGAATTACAGAAATCAACTTGTCCATCTGACCTTCAGTATGTCCATCCATGCAATCGTTTTTAACAATAACTTCGTAACTGAGAAACATTAGAAGCTTACATTCGACACAAAGCTTTTATGACCTGAAGTAAGTCCTGATCTTGATTCAAGGTCATTTCGACAAGTTCAAGGTCACTGTCAAAAACATTGAATAATTCGTGTTTGATTCATAACTTTATCATGAAAAAAAAAGGAATTCAATGCTTCAACAAAATGACATGACGGAAGGTGAGTCATAACCATGGCCCATGGTCATTGGTAAAATTCGAGATCACTGGCAGAAAAAAATATGAAAAATGGAGTTGAAAGGTATAAATGTTTATCATTTAAATGAGGAATCATTAAAATTGTCATCAAGCGTTGTATTGCATCATTAATATTGTACATAGAATGATTGAATCTGAGATGCAGAAATAAGTAGTCAATCTTAAAGTCTCTTTAGATACTTTTACTATATTCATTTATTTATTTTATTGTGTATTTTGTATTATGTCTCTTCTATTTCAAGTAATATATATATATCACTTTTTAAAAGTTTTGTACGCATTTTGATCAAACGGGATGCTAAGTTCTTAAGAATCGCACTTTCGAATCGTATATGGGTAGCAGTGAGTTCAATGTATCTTTAAATTGTTCTTTGGATAGACCAGTAAGATCATGACTTTGAACGCAGATTCTTGTTATAAAAGCACGTTAATGCCACTAACGGACAATTACTTGGCATCATAAGACAAGTTAACATAATTATCTGACAAATCGACAATAATTTTCTGACAAATCGACATAATTTTCGGACAAGACAAGATAATTATCTGACAAGTCAACATAATTATCTAACAAGTTGATTTAATTAAGTCAACTTGTGAAATGTTATGTCGATTTGTCAGATAATTTTAACGACTTGTTAGAAAGTTAAGCTGACTTGTCAGATTTTTATGTCGACTTGTCAGATCTTTATGTTGACATGAAAGAATTAAAATGTCGTCAACTGGATGACACAGACTGTGCCATGGACACGTTTTCATTGTTAAATTTTAATACACATGAATAAGTGTCACGTCGACCTTAATATCTGACAAGTCGACATAAACATCTAACAAATGATGGCATAAATATGCCACCATAAATATTGAACCATTGTGCAAAATGGCAAAGAGCCCAAATGTTTTTAGCTTTAAAAGCTTTCATTTTATTTTAAATTCTTAAATTCTTTTATTTTATTTTCATTTTATGTTCTCATGTTAGTTTACTTGAACCTGCGAATCTTTGATTATAGCGAGTGAGCAATTGAATAGATGCTAATGAAAAATCTTTCTCTGTCAATGAAATGTAAATGATAAAAATGTAAGTAAAAATTATAATCAAAATAAAATGACACGAATAATATTTCGTCCATTCTTTGAGAAAATACTAGATATGACTTCAGTAGTAACTTTTATTGATTAGATTCCCTTTTAAAAAAAAAAAAAATAATCAATTTTACAACCCAGAGCTTGACTTGTAATAAAAAAGCATTTCTCGTAGAATTCTCTCTCTCTCTCTCTCTATGTGTATATATATATAAAATTTACATCCAGAATATAAATATGAATCTTTCACTGTTGCGTAAAACCATGCTCATGAATTTCTTTACCGAGGCCAGAGTTACTGGCAAATAAATGATGATACTGCGAAATCAAATATCTCCTTTAAAATAGACAGTCTTTGGTAGTAAAAATGACCTTGTTGAAAATATGCTGCTCAACTTTTTCATATAAATCGTAAGGTTATTGCATCATACTGATCTTTCTACATAATACTCCGTTTCCCTAAAGAAGGTCTAAAGATGGGTGTGACAGGTCAACATGGATACTTCTGCATAGCACCTGCTCCGACGTCCTGTGTTTTCAATTTCTACTGATCATTATTAGATATTTTGAGTTGAATTTCTTTTTGTTATCGTCACATTTTATTGACAAAAAAAAATTGAACTCACGAGTCGGAAATAAAAACTTTATATGTGTGAATCTTGAACTATGACTTAAATCATGTCCGGATGTTTCATTTTGGCGACAGGAAACAAAATCTTAGCAGTTATCTTAAATTTCCTTTTAGCTCTCATGAGTGAAATGATTTATATTGACCGAAGTTCTTGGAATATTTCTATATGTCTTTATTTCTGTCATTTCAGTTGAATTTTTCCATGCTGAATTATATTGGATGCAGATTTATGCAAATTGAGTGTCATGTTCCCTTGAAGTACAGTTAACTAGAAAATAGCAAAATCAGAGTAGATTTACTTAATAACAAAAAATATAACCAACTAGTCAGGAACAAACTGTTAGTAAAATTTGCTCTTACAATTGGCACAGAGCCTGGATGCAGCCAAAAAGTGAAATCCAACTTACAGAAGGTAAAAATCACAATTCTTGAAAATCGCTAACAAAGCTTGAACCACAGGAGCAGAACGAGAATTGAATAAAGGTCCAAATTCTGTACTGGAATAAGAGTAATAAAATAATTTCGTTCAGCTTAGATTGGGTTGGAAAGGGACAAAAAAGCAATGCGACTCAGTCAGTATTGAGGTTCATGGGCCCCTGTTAAGTGTAAGTCTGTGAGTAGTTCTCTAAGTAAGTATGTGATATTCAGATTACTTTTGTTGTATGTAAACAAGGAAGGTGTGTGTATTAAAAAATCAAGGGATTTTTTCAAGTAAAATTTGACTTTATTTACAGGATTAAGGAATTATTTAGGCATTATACCATCTGTTGAAAAATAACTTAAACGTAAGTATCTTATATTCCCAAAGACAATATATTGTCGGTGAAATCTTTAGAGTGTTAATTAACACAATGAACAGGAGAACGATCTTCTATTCATTCGTTTTAATTTTTATTATAGATTTTACATACACGGTGATTTATATGTATCATTTTGAATGTTTTCTCTCTTAACAGAGAGTTATTTCTTATTAAAGGAACAATCAAATTATCGAGCAAAGTGTTCGAATGGCTTCAGAGAGTAGAGTAAACCTCGTTGTATCTGAGTTCAGAGAGGAAGTTGAAACAAATGAGGTGAAAGTAGTACACACCCCAGAAAAAATACAGGTATAAGCATTCGAACTAATTTTTTTTCTATCACATTGTACCACTTTCATACGGCGACAATTTATACACATATTCATAAATGCATATCTTGACTAATTTACTCACGTAAGTAGAAGATCTGCATACATAGCACTTTCATGTCCATGTATCGCTTTTGAATGCATTGTAAATCTTTATTAAGCTAAGAATTTATTTGCGACACCATGTTTTTTTTTCATAGAACATTTCCCCCATTTTGTTAATGGTGCAAATAATGACTGTGTCCGTGAATGGATGAATCTAGCTGCGACAATGTCATACTAACGAATTAAAGCAAGTACAATTGCTATCAGAATTTTTGAACGAGGAGAGTAATTTTCATGATAAATAGTAGAATTAAAAAAAAAACATATGTATGCTTTATTTTAACAGTTTTAACCATAACTCACAACAAATTTCACAAACGGGAAGTAATCAGACATTTAAGTTGCTGGCCATGGATCATGCAGAGGTTGAATATTTTGCGACCAAGTAATTCCATATATTCTATTTAGGCGAGTATCGAACTCACTTTTGTAAACTTATTTTTTATTCGATGATTTGAATCAAGTCAGAGATTCTAACACTTTATAAAGGCTTTTGTCGAACACTCTTTTGTAATGTTATACCTGACTGGTGCATTCTTTATAAATCAACTCAGTCCAGTTGCTTTTATTAAAAACAAACATTCTGAGCGTATTGCATTAGCAATACTAGTCCCCTACCGGCAAGTGTATTGAATCAAGTCAGAGATTCTAACACTTTATAAAGGCTTTTGTCGAACACTCTTTTGTAATGTTATACCTGACTGGTGCATTCTTTATAAATCAACTCAGTCCAGTTGCCTTTATTAAAAACAAACATTCTGAGCGTATTGCATTAGCAATACTAGTCCCCTACCGGCAAGTGTAATCTGGTTCCCGCTAAAAATTGAAAATGCCATAATTCCGTCAAAAATCAATGAAGCGGAATGAAATGCAAGCTTGATCTATAACTCATCAACGTAAAGTCACTTACCAAAAATCAGCTCAATATCTGCAAGCGTTTAGAAAAAAATTGCGGAAACCCCTGAAAAATTGAAAAGGTCGTAACCCTGCCAAAAATCATTGCAGCAGAACAAAATGCAAAGCTGATCTGTAACTCATCAAGATACACTCACATACCAAAAATCAGCACAATATCTGCAAGCGTTTAGAAAAAAAGTGTGGAAAACCAAGTGGGACAGACTGACAGACAGACAGAGGGACAGACTGACAGATAGACAGACGGACGGACAGACTTAGAGGAAATCTATAGTCCCCTCCGGTTTCACTGGTAGGGGAATAATAATAGACTGTCTGTAAGTATATACTGAATATATGAATTTTCCGATTTGTCTTGGGAAATTATGGCATTTTCAATTTTTAACGGGAACCAGATTACACTTGCCGGGAGGGGACTAGTATTGCTAATGCAATACTCTCAGAATGCTTGTTGCTGTTGGCTTTTGTTGTTTTTTTTTTCATTTCTCTGTCCTTTGCAACCTTTTATTTATCTTCAGGTTTTTCTTCAGGTTCAGATTGTCGACGCGTGTTTTTTCCTGACTTTATGGATATTTTCTCATTAATATGAAATAGTGATCATGTGCCCGTTTTACAAAAGAACTTATATGACTAAGACCAAAAACTTAAGTTGATATTAAAATTTTCAGAATCATTGATTTCTGTTATAAATTGCTTGCACTTAAAAATATCTTCCTAAATTCTTTTTAAAAAGATGAAAAACCTTTTCTAATTAAAGCAAAATAGAATGTTATTCGGAAAATAACATTTTGGTCTTAATCGTAAATTCTTTTGTAAAACGGGACTTTCGGAATTAAAAGCCGTGATTTGTTTATCTCTCGGGTTTCTTTCCGTGTCATACATGGTTGTAGGCATATATTCACTAAATAAAAAGTCCTTTTCGGGATGGGAACAGGAATCATTTCTCATTAATGTATATAATGAGAGGAACATGTACTTGGTGCAGTTAACTAAAAAAACGGGTTTTGATGTGATTTCTAAAGTTGTGGGTAGATCTTCTCTAATATTCTCTTTTATTAATAAGAAATATCATTTATTTCTTCGCAGACTTTCGATTCGGTGGATCTTGGACCTGGGATTACTGAAGTAACTAAGTTTTCCAAAGGCATTTACTCTCAAGGTTTGGTCAACATTTCATTGTTGTCAGCCAACGCCACCCAGTTGCGCAGCGCTCAGTCCAACAATGCTTACGAATATCAAACAGCAGTCATTGGTTTGATATCAACATCCATCGCCTTGCAAGTTGTCATACTTCTGCTGTTGAGCTTGTTAACCATGATTCCGCGAGATAAAAACCATACAGAAGAAATATGGTGGGTGTGGAAGTGGCTACTCAGAAGCAGAATCAAATCAGTCATTTTGTTTTTTGTATCCGTTCTCACGGCGATCAACGTCTTCATTTCAGCTTATCAAAACGTGTGATGAGACTATTTTGTTCTCAGCCATTTCCAGTGGTGACGTCGACCTGGATGCTTTTGATTTCAAATATATATGATATTTCTTTATGTATGATTTACCTAAGATATCGATAAAAGTGTTTAGTTCACCAAATTTATATTAAAGTATATAAATTATTTGGTTTCACTCGAAAAAATTAGACAAACGTGTGTAAAGTTGACCCTGATTACCAATGACAGACTTCCTGTGTGGTGCAATGTGTATATGATTTTTTGTCATCTTGAGTATTAGGGCTCTCCAGGTAAATAACACCAGTACCACTAAGACCACTCCCTCTCCTTGGGTAACCGTACGGTAAAAAAATGGGTCTAAATGAGCACTTTTTATATTATTCATCAAAAAAATTCTCGTGTGATTCTGCCCTATAAACTACATTAAATCACAGCTGAGTAAAAAAGGGGGAATAACTTCTCTCAAACTCGAAAACAAATTTTCCTACATGATTAATAGAGATATGCACAGCACCAGAACCCCTGACTCTGGTCAAGAATTCCACAAAGGTTTAAAAAAAATAACACCCTTGCTCAATACTCTGCCAAATACCTACGAGCAGAGAAGAAGATTTTTAAAGAATTAATGCATTTCACTATATAATCAACAAAGCCCCGCCCTAACAACAGAACCCCTGACCCAGGGGCCACGGGTTTCATAATTTTAGAAGCTCTCTTATCCATCGTATTCATGCACTTATGTTGTCTGCAAAATATATTGGGGGAGAAAAATCGAAGATCTAAAGCTTTTTTATAGAATTTACGAATTTTCACTATATGAACAATAAAGTCCCACTCTATCTCCTGAACACCTGATCCTGGGAACATGAATTTCATAATTTTGGTAGAGGGGTCAATGCTTATTACAACCATGCCAAAAGTTTGCTTGCTTGATGTCCAGGAGTAAAAAAGAAGCTTTTTAAAAATTGCGTTGATTTTGATGCTTTTAGCCCCACCCTCAGGCCACAGGGGACAGAGACCATGAAATTCATTATTTTTGTGCGCTTCACTCATATATGCTATTTGCCAAAATTGTTTGAGCAGTTCCAGAGAAAAAACTGAAAATGTTCAAATGTTAACGGGTGACTGACGACAGACGACGACGGACGAAAACAGATAGTAATAGGTCACCTGAGTGACTTAGGTGACCTAAAAATTCTTGTTTAATTCTCTTATTCAATTGACCTTTCAATTACATTATTCAGTGATTAATTATCATAGGGAATAGCAAAGGGGAATAACTTCTCTCGGTAGAATACAAATTAATAGAGCCCTGACCAGCAGCAGTACTAATGACCAAAATGGTCAAGATTTTCGGCAAAAAAAAAACCTTGCTTATTACAACTTTGTACTCTGTTTGCCTCCTAGAGGCCCAAGAGCAGAGAAGATTTTTAAAGAGATGCATTTTCACTATAAAATCAATAGAGCCCCGCCATAACTCCAGGCCTCAAGACCATAAACTGAGAACAGACTTAAGACAAAATTTTGATTTTGAATATCTTGAGTTTTATTTAACATATTTGCCTAAAAATTTGCAGGTTTGTATTATATTCAAGTTCAAATATATGATGAAAATTTTATTCCATTATCACAATTATTTCAAACGTTATATTGATTTCAAATTTTGAGTTAAGTCTGTTCTCAGTTTATGGTTTTGGGGCCAGAACCCCTGACCCAGGGGCCATGAAATTCGCAATTTTGGGAAAGGCACACTTGCTCATCAAAACCATGCACTTAATTTTCTGCTAAATACCCAGGAGCAGAGAAGAAGATTACCAAGAATTAATATATTTTCACAATATAATCTATGGAGCCCAATATAGCCCTGCCCTAACACTAGGACCCCTGCCCAGGGGCCATAAAATTCACAATTTTGAAAGAGGCCCCTTGCTCATCCTAACTATGCATTAAGTTTGCTTAATACCCAGGAGCAGAGAAGACGATTTTCAAAAAAAAAATAATGCAGTTTCACTATATAATCAATAGAGCCCTTTCCAACAGAACCCCTGTCCCTGGGGCTACGAATTTCATAATTGTGGAAGAGGCACCCCTGCTTATCATAACCATGCACCTAGTTTATCTGCTAAAAATACAGGCATAGAGGATTCGAAGATTTTTTCAAGAGTTTATGCATTTTCACTATATGATTACTAGATCTTCACCCTAACTCCAAAAGCCCTCACCCTGAGGCGATGCATTTCAAAATTTTGGTAAAGGGCTCAATGTTTATTACAATCATGCTAACAGTCGATGTCATTGAGTAAAGAAGATTTTTAAAACATGGTACTAATTATGATTGTTTTAGCCCAACCCATCATGCCCCAGGGGAGTAGGGGCCATGAAATTCACAATTTTTGTATCCCTTCACCCATTGATATATGTCAAAATTGGTTGAAAATGGTTTAGTGGTTGAAGCGACTGAAAATAAATACGTATAACTGTGAGTAAAATCAGTCTGCATGGGAGGATTAACACCCCCAACCTACAAACACACACACAGACACAGGCGATCCGAATCCTTTCTATTTATGCACCATGCATTTTTTCTTTTGTCACAAATTCAATTTCGTCTTCTTAGCCAGGAGTCAGTTCTGTTTGCAAACAATTTCATAGGTTATACTTTTAAAGAATGATAAAATAACACTGAGTCATCTTAGTCAATCAAGTATTCGTAAAACCAGTCATATTTATCAAGCGAGATGGGGTTTTCAGTGCAACACTGTTCGATTTTAAAAGATGATACTGTAAAATTTGTAAATACTTCCCTGTCGTATGTCTAACAAGTCTTCATTTCCTTTTTCCAAAAATTATTTTACTACTTTTTGTGTTGATAAAAATGCAACTGTATATAATACATAAGAAATCTGCAAAATAATGGATTCTTATGTACTGTATAGTTGCACTTTTCGCGGTAGCAAAGTTAAATAATAAAATTTAGTTGTAAAAGGAAGTTTAAACCTAACCCCCATCCCCACCCCCACCCCACACAATTTTTTTTATTTTGCTTGCTTGTTTAAGTTTTTTCAGATAAGTCAATAATGGTTAACAAAATACAACATTTAGCAATCAAAGCACATTGTTGATTATAATTAAACGGGAAAATAAACAAAATTCACTCCTAATTTTGTTTTTATTTTAAAAGAGTCAGTTCAACTCCACATTGTTTATCTAAAAGAGTACAAAGAACGAAACAAGCATAAATAACAATTATACCTGGTGTCATAGACTTCACAGTACCCAGTGGTAGTTCTTAAAACTGACACCCCGTGGACTGATGCGATAAAATTAATACTATGTAGTCTGTGCTATCACAATTTAACAGGGACATATAACAACAAAAGTTTAAAAAAGTGTTGAAAATTTTAGTTTGTTATGTTAATAATTTGCCAATTTATCATAAAATAAAAAAGTCATTATGTGATTCCCGGCGCGCTGTCGCCGTTTAGTTTTATGCCGTCCGACAACGTCATTCTTTCTCAATGTCCGCTCCACCTACCTCATACATATATCTTGATGAGATTCCCTGGAGTTAAGTAAAGACTTGAAACCGTCTTGTATATATGACTTTACAATGTCATGAAGAGCTGATTTCAATGTATAAAAAATTAAATGGATCTATACTTGTGAAAGCTCCTCACTTGATCATGCCAGCATAAGAGCTGCGAACGATAGTATTGTTTTCCCGCCCACCTCCAAGTCAATTTTCAAAAAGTTAACACATTTGAATGATTTTTCATAATCATATAGATATTTATATGAATTTTCATAAAACATTACTTCTTTGGGAAAACAAAGAGAGATAACTCTATATTTTTTGTAAAACTTGTGTTTTTCACTATAGAAATCAACGGAAAACAGAAAATATTTTTAAACCCCCCCCCCCCCCCCCGTGAAACAAAATTTCTTTTTACAGGTAATATGGACTGTCATTTTACAAATTCATACCAAAGCTTTTTGTGTTTCACGGGGGGAGAACATATGTCTAGAGACAAAAAACTAACTTTGAACACCCTGACTACAAATCGACATTAACTGTGTATCTCTCATCTCTCTGAATCTTTTTTGGAATTTAAAAATAAATATTTTGGATGGATTTTATTTCTTTGTAGCCCGTTTAAACATTTCAACGGTTTGTGCCAGTTTTTCCAGGGTTGAAACTTTATAGAATGTTGGAAAAAGAAACCTCTCCCCCTTTTGGACGTCATTACAAGCCCTTAATTGTTTGGACACTCCATATAAAATTTACGATAAAATTTCATTCATCTTACAGAATGAGGTAAAAATTGCAAATTTTACCGAACATTTGTGTCATACTACATGAGTGAATTAACGGGATTTTTGGATGATAAATACTCATATCAAAGAAGTTTTTTTTCTCAGTTACACTCAGGTAGAAAAAAAAACATTATCTTCGAGATAGTGTCGCCTGGTCATACCATTGCTTACAAAAACATCAACAATTTAAGTAAAAAAAATTAAACTTATGATTTATAGTTAATTACATAGATAGAAAAGATGATGCTTATTAAATATTTAAAAATTCTTTGATGTACATACAGCGGTTTTAATTTTATGACGCTAGTCCACGAACTTTTTGATAACCCCTCGTATAGTATAATATTTCGCTTTGAAAATAAAAATTAAACTGAAAGCAAATACCCCACGATTTGTACATTGTTTACGCTTTATGTACATGAAAAATGTAGCAGCAACGATGAAGTGTGCCAAGATTTTTTTTTTTCAATTGAATCGAAGACCTACCGAGCTTTTATTGAATATGAATACCTGTCTAGTATGCTTTTCAAAATATAAATTGTTTTAATTTAAAGATGTTTTTGATAACATTTGATACATATGCAAACACTTCTTATCATTCAACATGCATTTAATTCTCTGTTATCCGTTAATCTTGGATCCATTGTCAGCGAATTGAATCTTCGTGCTATCTGATTTATCAATATATTGAGGCCCCATTGTTTTAAATGTCTTAAGTCTCGTCTTGTTATAAAACTACCCAACTTGAGTTTGGACTTCAATGCGATATACGCAATGATTTAATGAACAATTCAAAATTTTATGGAAAATGGACGGACAATTTTCCGTTCTTTTCCTTGTGTGTTTCTTGATAAGCGGAATAGATGCGAATAGGAAATTTATTGACTTCAAACCAGGATATGAATATGTGTACAGTTTTAATGGATATTCGCATGTCAAAGAACTCGGAAAGTTCCTTGTCAATGCAAAGGTAATTTTTTACAAAGACATAAAGTTCTGGATTGAAATATTAAAATTTTATGATGCAAGCCCATGCCATTGGTACAGAGATATATCAATCAGGATTCAATTCATTCATATTCATTGCCACTATGGAATATAGTCATGAACAACGATACCAAGAATTTTAAATATTCAAGCATTTCATAACAAAATTAATGCAACATGCACACAATCTAACAATCTATGACTCGTCTGATTTCAGCGATATATTGTATACAGAATCTGGCTTAGTACATTGATTCAATTTTCAGGGGGGGGGGGGGTCCAACCCCACCTAAGTTTTCAGAGCTATTAAATTTATATTGTAAAGTGACAAAAGATTATCTTGACTTTGGACAACCCCCACCCCACCCCCAGGAAACGCCGATACCTCGTGATCGGTGATGCCAGCTTAGAGAGGTCCGTGTTTCCTAGGCCTAGAGGGAGTCCAACGTCACTTTTTTGGTTACTTATTATTAATAATTTTATAACTCAGGAAAGCTCACTCGTAAGCAGCATGATTTTCGTCAGCCTGCTTGTCGATGTGATGTTTCAACAGCTGTTCAACCCAGAAAATAGTGCTTTCGTGTTTGGGAAAGTTTTTTTTTTTAAATTTTTGAGTCGGAACGTACTTTACTAAAAAAAGGGGGGGTGCACCCTTGGTAATAGCAGAGACATGAATAATGAATAACAGGTAATTCATATTTGCAGGCACTTAGGAAGAAATTCAAGTTTTTTTTTGTTTTTTTTTGGGGGGGGGGGGGGGTACAGCCATACATTTTCAGTTGACAGTTGAGGGGGCACTACCAAAAATTTCCTGACAAGCAAAAAAATATAAAAAAAATTAAAAAAAAAAAAGAGTCATCATATACCGAAAATTCCTTGACAAGCAAAAAAAAAAAAAAAAAAAAAAAAAATAGGGTCATCAGACGTTTTTATTGAGGGGGCACAAGTATATAATATCTATGTTTACTATTGTAATCGGTATATCGGCAAAATTATTGGGGGTATGCCCCCCCGTGCCCCCCCCCTTCCGGTTCCTACGGCCATGATTTATAAACGATAATTTCTTGTATTACAATTATCCAATTTTGCTCTTTTAAGTTGTCTTTCAATCAATATTACTTGCTGGTATTCATCGCTTCCTCGTACTTAATTAACTGATTAATCCGGCACGCAATAAAGAAATATGTATAAGAATCGATCCGTTTATTTTCAATAATTAATGTGCATGCGTTTGAAAAATTAAGCGCTTTTCTTTGAACGGTGTTAGTCATATGAAAACACGCGCATTTTGATCCGCGCACATGCCAATGTCAGCATCCAATGAAATTGTTAGATTCAGCGCGGGAAATATATAGTCATGCTGCAATGTTTACAAAACAAGGGTCACATGTACATGTTATGTTAGCGTTGATCGGTAAGAACCTGTTGTTTTACCAAGCAAAATTCTTGTCTTTTTCTGTTTAAAATCTTTCTCTTAATCAGACTCGATCTCTTAACATATATCAGCCTGTATGTTTTCTTTCGTCTTTACGTACCATATATGTCTCTGATCAAACATATGTTATTTTAGCCGAAATATCTGACGTTTCCAGGCTTTTTTCACGATTTTGATATTTTACGTGCCAGGAAAGTGTTTTCAGAAAGACAATACCGAGTTTACGAGGGATTTAGAAATCTTTTGTTTAACATTCATTCATCATGTTCATAGAACTTGCACTTCAGTCTCTGCTACAGAATATAAGTTGAATCCACACTTTTCAAAAGTTAATTATCTTCCTTGGCCCAGTAGCTTTTTTGACTGGAAAAAAAATCTTTGCATCTTATATTTTGATTGCCTCAGGGTGGGGCTGCCCATACATCGAAAGGAAGAAAAAAAACATAAAAGATGTAGTACATTCAGTGGATTCATTGGAGCATGCCCAAATGTTTGTTAACATAAGGAGGAAAAATGTTTCTTTCCCTTTTGACCTTTTGGTTTATCCCTCAAAAGGCACACAACATTTGTAGTGTGGGTTGGACTACTCAAATTCAGTACCAAAAGAAGTGGGTGGATCCAAGATTTCCTCTTAAGGGAAGGGGGTGGACTGTATTTTGACAAAGCATGTACTAGGGCCTACATGTACAATGTACTAGGAAGACTTTGTTGAGATCCATTTTGAACAGCTGTTGAAGCAGTTGTCTCAAACAGGGGTTGTTACAGAAGACTGAAACATAGTTGTTATGCTACTGATATCACTGGTTAAAATCAGGACATGATTTTGTTATTTTGAGAATGTCAACATATATCCATTTTACCATTTCACATGTTGAAGTCACTGTAGAAGATTTGAGCCCATGACATGTACACGAGTGTTTGGTCATTTCCTGTACAGGACTCAACATCATACATTTATTGACTGGGTTCTAGGGCAACATGCATTTTGTTGGACCCAAGATTCAAACTTTGACTGAGGCTGTTAGGCCAAAGGAAAACGGTTTGGTTTGAGGGTCAACGAAACACTTTTTTTTCCCGAGAACACAGTCAATAAATGTTTTGTTATACCTTTTAATTTTTTTTCACATACATGTATCTTGTACTGCAGTTAAATTCGTTCAGTTCCATCACTGTCAAACACCAACGAATGCAAATAAGATTTAACTGATCATGCCCACAATGTGACGTAAGCGGTCCAATATCTCACCGACAGGTCCAATATCTCAATCTGCGGTCAAACATTGATTTTTTTTTATGACCGCTCAGTAAAACATTGGAAACGTTAGACTTTTTTAAGTATAGATGTATATAGGAACCGATTTTTAAAGGTATAAAAATAATGTTTGTTGGATTGTCTGTGTCCAGTTCATTATGTGATTGGACAAGTCATTCTTCAGTCACACTTGTCCGATATTACAAGTTTTTTTTTTTTAACCATTATAGAATAATAATAAGTGAATATTTTAGTTAATGTTAAACCCTGCTGTAGGCTTTTTTTTAAAAAAAAGTGTATCCTCATTCATTTTTTGGTGAACTGAATCCCAGTCAGCCAAACTTGCCAATAAGCATTCTTTGATAGTATAAAGTTTTTCTTCAAAGATAACTTTATATGGTTAATTACCGGTAATAAATCTCTCAGTAAAAAACTAACATATCAGCACAACTTTTTTTTTAGGTCGGTTACATCAATGTCGGACAAACAAATGCTGGCCAAGAGCTTGCTCTGAAAGTACACGCCTTCCACTTCTCATCTGCCAAAGATCCAAGTAGGCTTCTTATACCAGTAAAAGGATTCATTTTTATTTGATAAAAAGAACTTTTTTTTCATACAGTAAAAAAAAAATATTAAAGACGATGAATTATGCGTTGAACTGAATGAATGCGACTAGGTATTCAAGTTTATATAAAAAGATATACATGTATTGAATGAATATTTATAAATTGACAAAATGTGAATGTGTGCACTTTTAATGCTTCTAGCCATTACATACATGTACATGTACTATGTAAGTGCCTTTTTGAAAGAAAAACTGGATCCTGTGCAAACAAATTGAGTAACGCGCATTAGCGCGTTATGAAAATTTGTTTGCACACACCGTTGCAGTTGTGAGACTATATCTTTCAAAAAATAATGATTCATAGCTTATATTTACATTTTTAAACTCCTTGCATTGACTGAAAATGTGATTTATATTTAAAAATCCCTTTATTATCCTCCAAGTAAGTTACAGTTAATGGAAGAGCCAATTCAACAGTGTCTGTTCAATGTGAGCATGATTTTTGATTTTCACTTATGACGTTACACTTCCATGGCATTTGACATTTGTGACGTCAAAATAAAACGCATGCTTTAACCTTTTGACCCCCTGTCCGGGTTATGGTGTTTTGAATGCCATAGATTTCCACACATTTTATATGCAAAATACACTTGTAATGTAAATATAACAAGCATTCTGTGAGTATTGCATTAGCAATACTAGTCCCCTACCGGCAAGTGTAATCTGGTTCCCGTTAAAAATTGAAAATGCCATAATTCCGTCAAAAATCAATGAAGCAGAACGAAATGCAAACTTGGTCTATAATTCATCAAGGTAAAGTCACATACCAAAAATCAGCTCAATATCTGCAAGCACTTTGAAAAAAATTGCGGAAAACCCTGAAAAATTCAAAAGGTCGTAATTCCGTCAAAAAGCACTGAAGCAAAACGAAATGTAAACTTGATCTGTAACTCATCAAGATACACTCACATGCCAAAAATCAGCTCAATATCTGCAAGCGTTTAGAAAAAAAGTGCGGAAAACCAAGTGGGACAGACAGACAGAGGGACAGACAGACCAACAGACGGATGGACAGACTCAGAGGAAACCTATAAACCCCTCCGGTTTCACCGGAAGGGGACTAATAATGTAAAATCTTACTTTGTAGATATCCATGGAGCAGACTTGGATTTTTCAAAATGGTAAGAGTTTTGTGAATGGATTAGCTTAGTATGAACTTCCTTTGTCACTGTTTGTCCTTAATTTATCTCTCTGAAACAGACTAGTTACATTTTGATATCCTTCTTTGAAAGCTGTTTACATACGTGTGCATTCACTAAATTGAGTATTTTCTTTCGGAATTGTGCTTAAGTTTTCTGTTCCAGAGCTACTGTAGCTTTAGTTTAGCTGGTTAACCTTGAACTTTATCGCATTTGCCTGCCTTGTGAGGAAATCTATTACAAATATTTTTTTAGATGCTACTCTTTATTGAATTTGTAGGTTCTCCTTCATCATCTCTGGAAGTGGGGAGATAACTCAGGTGTACCATGCAGCTAATGAAGATCCTGAAGTTATTTCTACAAAGAAAGGCTTTGCTGCTTTGTTTGCATCCAGACTGCATGACAGAAATGAGGTAAATTTCTTTCATGTTGAAAAAATTCCTTTCCATTCATGTAATTTTTGTGTTTGGTGCTCATTTACTAATCTTTTAGTCATTTTTTATAGGTGCCAGGGATTGTTCAGAAAGATTTCTTTACGTATAGTGTCACAGAAAAAGGCCAAGAAGGTAACTATTGAATAAAAAAAAACTGATGTAAAATTTTTATAGAAAGTTGCCAAAATAAAGGTTTTTGTAGTACGTGTAGTATCATTTTGACGTTATCAATGCTTTGTTTCAAGGTGAGCATAATGCTACATACAACGTATCAAAGTCAGACACAGGTCTGAAGTTCAAGAAGATCAGACATGGTCATCCCGTTAAGAATGCCAGGGCTAACTATGAGAAGGTAACACTTAATTTTGCTCTTTATTATTTTGTTACAAAGTTCGACAAGTATCTTCTTGTATTTTATTTGTGTAATTGATTATTTTTTCAGGTGCTCTATTATCATGACTCACTTAAAACTATACATAAGGTGGACATCATTGAAGATTTTAAGTCACCCAAATCACCACCAGGGTATGTTTGAGCGCACTTGTCTGATATGTCTGGAATATTGTAGATATTTTGATTGAATTGCTGTCTTGAAGAAAATCTAACAGTATTTTATATGTATTAATAATACATTTTCAAACTTACAGGTTTGATCCATACACTGGGATGAGGAACATTCCATCAATGAGTAAACTTGGAACTATAGGTATACATATCTTAAACTTTACTTTACAACTTACCGTATATACTCGCATATAAGTCGGTCCACCTATAAGTCAGTTGTATTTTTTGCAGTTATTTTGGAAGGATTTGCCATTGACCTGCTTATAAGTCGGTACAAATTTTTGCCAGAATTGGTTGACAATTTCAAATCAATGCTCCCATGTTTTAACTTTGTTTCAATGAATATTTCTTAAAAATGACGTCAATATTTAATTTTAAATCATTAAAAAATAAGTAACACACACTTTAGATAAAAATAAAGCTATTAGAATTTATAAATACTTGTATTTTACGCAGTAATCCATGTAATTTTAAAATACATAAATGATTTAATATATAAAGACTTTGGTCAACGATAATTGGCGGGATTGCTTATAAAATACTACCTTTCATCGTTGAGAAAAATACCCATCTTTCTATGACTTGCCTATAAGTCGAACACAGAATCTTGGACCAAAATTTAACTCCCAAAACACCGACTTATAGGCAAGTATATACAGTAATCATTCAATCTGTATGCTTCAATTAAGCAGCAATGCTGCTTCTTTTTTTTCTTTTTACTACTCAGTGTTTTTATGAATAATTCTGGAAAAAGAACTTCAAAAATTACTCTATTTAGCTTTCATAATTTAGGAGAGATATTATTTTGTTTCGATCTGCTTTGCAAATACTAAAATTCTTAATGAATTCATTGCAGCCACCCCTGAGATGAGCTATACAAGTCAGGGTGGACTAATATTCATAGACAGAGAACTTGTGAAAGAGAAGTGGAAAAGACCACCAAGACAGTTGGTCACTGCTGGACTGGAAACCCAGCAGGTTGTATCACTGAGCAATTATGATAGAACAAGAAGTGAATTTCTAAAAATATGAAAACTATTGAAATCAGAAGCATTGAACTCAGCTTAAGAATTTAAATGATCTATGTATTTTCTCTTATAATATTTCAAGAAATGGATTCAATTTTTAACAAGTCAATTGGATAATTTCTTGACAGCAGAGGGAAGAAAGGCCGGGAACCTATAAAAATATCTCAAAAGCAAAAGAAGAAATATATGGAAATGTAACCTGTTTGCAACATCAAACAGAAGGTAAGAGATCAAAAGGCTGGTTTCAAAGATAACTTTTTGTGTTGTATTTCTTTGCATGTAGATCTAACAAAGCAGAAAAATATCCAAATGATTGCAAAATTACTGACAGAAATAAATGTTAACTTTTAGCCACTATCTTTGGAGGGTGCTTTCAAAATATTGTCAAGATTCTGAAACAGCTATCAGAGGATGGTCTTAGCCACTTAGCAGATCAGCACTTCTTTTCCTATAATAAGCAGTAAGTTATTCGTTAGAATCACTCGCTGTTAGATTACTTTGTTTTATAAAAATGATGTATCATAAATTGACTTTGAAAAAATTTTTACCATGAAAAGAAATGCTGTGGAAAAAGAGGTGTCAGGATATATCCTTGATGCATTTGGAGTCTTAGGAACAAAATGGACACAAAAACAGTTTGCTTTAAAAATACTGAAAAACCCAGAACCAAATTCAGACCTAATAAAGAGGATGCTAACCCACATTATAGCAGATGATGCAGCACCCAATGAGGTACTTCTCAACACCATTCATTAAATCAAAACTTTACTCAATGGTTAGCATAATGATAATTATCCATAAAAATAAGAATTTCAACATTTTGGATACAAACTTAAATGTTATTATTTATTCTCTAAAATTTCATCTTGAAACAGGAAAATAGCTTCCAGATTTTTGCTAACACTTCTATTTCTTCAGTCAAATTTTTTGTTCAAAAGCATAATTTTTAGTCACATCCATATGCACTCTATTTTATCATTCATTCAGATTTTCTTTATGTGTGCCATGTATTTGTGGAACATGACCAAAGGTTTTGTGATGTTTTGAAGGTGTTACTGAAGACACTAGAAGAAGTGGTATTCAGAAGAAATAAATACCCCGAGACCCTGTACAGTGGAGATGTACACAGCCGTCTGATGTTGACACTAGGTGCAGTATGTCAGAGGCTGAGACGAGAAGGACAGGAAGACAGGGCACATAGCATCATTGACAGAATTCATGATCAACTTGGGATGCATGGTCAGTCTAGCTTATTGTTTGGTAAAAATCCGAAGTAAATTAATGGAATGTTATAAAATAAGTATAGAAAATGAGAGGTTGTGGGCCATTAATACAAATAAAAATTATTTGGAACGCTCTGGAAAGGTAAACCTCAAATGACTTTAATAATTAGCTGAGAAAGTTAATGAAACCATTGAATAGAAATTACATTTGCTTTCTGTTTAATTTCAGATCCCTGGGAATACCGCAAGAAGAGATCCCTGATGTCTGAGGCTGTACGATCGATTTATGATCAACATAAAGTAATTCTTCTAGAGACTCTGGGAAATGCTGGATTGGATCATTCCTACCATTACATCGTGTCCCACATCAACAGCTCAAACTCCCCGTGGGTCAAAAGAGCAGCTTGTCATGCTCTAAGAAAATATGATCACAAACAGGTAAATGATGGGGTTTTCCTTTTAATTCTTGGACATTTTGTCCACATCTAAAGCTTTCTATCTTCAATCTGTTGTAAAATTTTGTACAAGCTAAACCTTTGCACCACTTGTTTGTTGTTGCCTTGGACCTAAGTCGTATGTTATAGCTCTCATTCAAGGTAAGTTACCTACAGTGTCCAAATGCAATGAGTATTAAACCTATATATCTCTGGAACATTTGCATTGAATAAATTCAAACTTTAGTAGGTTGTTGTTTTAGAAATGTTCAAAAATTAATGTAATTTTTAACTTTTTGATGTGGTTATGAATAAATTCAAAATTGAGGTGTTTTTTCAAGTCTGAGTTTGTATAATTATTTTCAGATGAAGGCTTGTTCTTGATTTATTTTTTAAAAAAATGGCAAGATACAACTCCTATTTATGTGAATATTTAAACTCAAACTCAAATTCAATTTCAGGCTTCAGAAGTCTTGCTGCATTCTGCATTGCATGATGAAAACCAGGAAGTTCAATATGAAGCATCTCTGTTGTACATGGCTCATCCTCATGGCAAGATGATTGCTCCAATAAATGGAAGGTAGGTCTACTTTAGTTGGATAAAATGAGCTGTAAAGAATTATGACTTTCAGCCAATTTTTAAGAAATTATGAAGGAACAATAGGTTTACAATTTTAAAAATCCACTTGTTTTTATGCTTTACAGAGATGACAGTGACCCGTATAATGTAGGTATAGAGCTGCTGGATTTTTCTGATAATCACATCAGGACCAAACGCTCCTCCCCTAACAAAAGATTCAAAATACATGCCACCAATGTGGACTGGAGGAAAATGATAGGTTCCCCTGATGTAGGAGCCTCTTTTGGAGTTGTACTGAAGAACACATTGGATTTGAAAATTGGTAAACTGCTTTTCAACTATGCTTTTTGAAAAATAGAAAAAGAACAAAATGTGTATTAAAGGCAATCTTTTTGTTTGCGTTTTTAGCCCCTCTCACAAGTGAGATGTCTTTAGAAGTGCATGATGAATCATATGCCAGAATTCACTTGGGAAATATTGGAGTGAACATGGATTTCTTTGTAGCCAGGATCTGTTTCAAAGGAGGGTCCACATACAACATCAACATTTTGAAGGTTCTTTGTTGTATCTTTTATGTTGCCCTTTATGTTGAATTTAATTACTATTTTTTTCTTAGATCAAATAAAATGAAGCATGAAATTTCCAGTGTTTTGGTACTGTATAAGGTCAGCTAGATCAAAAGATTGTAAACGATTTGGGGAACATGATCGTAAAGCTGATGTTTATTTCTGACAGGGTAATGAGATGAGAAATATTGAACAATATGCCAAGTCCTATGATAGAGATGTGGCTGTTGTAGCTAACTCGCTGACAGCAGGAATTAACCTGTTCTTAGATGTAATCACTGGGAACTACAGTATGAAGGCTACCGTCAGTCATCTCATGGATGCACTGGAAAATCTCTCAGACAAGGTATGCATAAGAAGAGGTACAAAATTGACAGAAGAAATTTAGTAATTGTACTCTTTGTTATCATGTCTTGATCTCACAAAACAGTCAACAAATGATAAATCACCGAAAACCAACTTTTATTTGCCTGCATGAAATATCTCAAGAATTTTGTAACCTTCTGTTTTCAATATTTCCCAGGGCTAACCATTTATTGAGTATTTATGGAGAGGGTGTTTTCAGTTATGAAAATTTATACACATAGTAGCAGATGGATTTGAACTTTCAAGTTATTAATAAAAGTTGTCATGAATATTTGTTGGCTGACAGAACTTGGTCGTAGAATTTCTATAGAAATTATTGGTAACTACATACTTGTCTTTTCAGGTATCCACATTGATAAACAGCACAACAGGGGCTATGGACAAAGTTGGACAATATGACCCAAATGACCTTCCCCCAGGCTTTATACCTGCTCACCACTTCATTGACAGAATCACAAGAGTTTTAAATGATATAAGTTCTCATATCATTGGCTTCAGAAATGTAAGTCTCAAATTGCACATCATCAGTTTACAGGTTTTAAACTTTCTGTCACACACTTTGTAAATGGACTAAATATGTACATGTAGCTTAATAAGTGATGTACATGTACAAAATATTTGGTCATGAAGCAAAATTGCATAAAGTATAATTTTATATGAAAAAACAGTACAATTTGTTATAGAGATATACAGGTACATGTATATAGAGAACAGTGTATATAGATCTATGCTGCTACTGTAGGAAGTGGAGGAGACTGTTCAGTTGATGCTCCCTCAGCAGACCAAGTTTCTGTATGATGCTTTATTGGATGTCCTGGGTGGTCTGACCCAAATACCCAGGGATCCAAAAACAGCTATAATGTCAATAGGAAACGGAGTTGTATCGTAAGTACTGTATCAGTTGACCTGCTATATTTGTATATAATATAGAGATCTTTTTTAGAGTTTCTAGTTCATACAACAGGCAGTTTATCAAATTTTTAAGATGATAAAACAGTGTGATGCTTTCTATTTGTTTAGGATTGGGAAAGCTGTTGAAAAACTGGTGGCTGCAGTTGATTATCTTCAAGAATCCTGTTTGTTTAAGAGAGGTTTGTGGTTCTATTGCAATTTAAGCAGATTTTGATTTTACAGGTTTAACTCTCAGACTTAAACCATTCTAAATATGTGTACGAAAAACTTCTTGATATTTTCAGAGGAAAAGCCTTATTGGTTTGACCTGAGTAATCTCCTATCTGAGTTTCGTGACTTGGCTGTTTTTGCTAATTCCTCTATGACCCTGGCTGGATCTGCCTGGTTAAATGAGACAACAGGGGAAGACCAAATAAAAATGTTTAGCCAAGCCAGGCATAGCACTGTAAGACTATTTTCTCTCACTATTACATGAAATTTTATCTAAGAAACAGATCTTCATTATTGATTTATTAACCTGAGATAATGGTAAGAGAAAAATGTACATGTGGTTTTATTAATTTTGTAGATGTATTTATTATTGCATCGAGTGTTTTTAAAAAAAAAATGGTGTCATTATCATTCATTTACAGACAGGATAAATGTACAGATGTTTGTTTTTTCAAGGTTTCCATGAAACAAGAGGTTCTGGATAACTTAATGTCAGTGATCAAAGATTTGCTAGATACACTAGAAATCTTGGATGGGGTAGGAGATAGATTTCTATACAGATACTTCAGGGTATTCAGCATGGTGAAGCTGGCCAAAAAGGCCAACAATGTCCTCAACACAGGGTATGTGTCATCTTGTCCTCTCTTTGTATACTAATTTGCTGTTAAAGTCAGTTTTTGTTGTGTGTCATTGATACCTCCAAATGATTTGTTTCTTGACCACTTTCAGTTATGAGACAGCAAGAGCAAAAGTGGAGTCTATATTTGGAGCAAGAACACACCGAGATTTCCCAGGACAGATAAGACTGAGTGGACAAGGTTGTACTGGGAATGGACTTTATCCATCTACACTGGACAAAATGGGGGTAGAGGAGTATAACCACATAGGACTTGATTTGTCTATTTCAAATGGAGAATATGTAAGTTGATTAACTAAAAGAGACCCATAACACGGAGCAAAGTGGACATGTTAAATATGAATTATATTTAGTTTGAATTGTTGTGAACTGAGTGTTTTTTAAATAGGTGAAAGCTTTTCCAGATGTAATTTAGGATTATTAATTTCCAAAACAGGTGGTGGCCCCGTTTCCTGGCACAGTGTCTCTTGAATCTGTGGGTGGTAATACAGTGGTTCTGGTTCCATCAGAAGGCTCCCTGAAGGACATTGTTATTTACATGTCAAATATAGAGCCCAACAGTACTATATCTGTGGATGACAGCAGAGCTGTAAGTCTTCCATACAGAATGATTAATTCCATTGTAAATTATAAGAGCTGACATTAAAATTCATGTACAAGAATAATACTAGTACTATATTTTGTCTCTTTATTTTCATTGGCAGTAAAAAAAATTAGTATTTATCAATTGAATAAATTCATGGTATGTTGGTCTTTAAGCATTGGGGTCTTAAGTATTTGAGTCTTTTGGAATGATTGACATCATTTAGGTTATTGGTGGCCAAGTACTAGGAACAGTCAACAGTACTCATTGTGAGGACCACATTCACTTGTCCTTTAAGAAAGTGGGAGCATCATATGTTGATCCAACTCGCTTCCTAGAGAAGGCCTATCCCACTCTGCCTTCCTGGGTACAGCAGTGTGATGATTACAAACTGGTGTTCAAGGTACGGGGGAGAGAGAGAGAGATCTTAATTAACTTGATATAGTAAAACATGTTTATAACGAAGTGCCAGGGACTGCGATTTTGCTTCGCTATAAACATAATTTGTTATATCCATTATGTTCACATATGATTTAAAGCCACAGGAAATGAAAACCACATGGGTGTAAGAGTTAATTCATTATAAGTGTGTTCCATTTAAGTGTAGTAGGAAAGGAGAAATGCATGAAGAAAATATATGGCTGGACCAGGAGTCGAACCTGGGACCCCTGTATTACTAGTCAGGTGCTCTAAACACTGAGCTATCCAGGCCGATATCCATGATCCATAAAACCCAAACTTCTATATAAGCATTTTTTACTGTATTACAAGTATTTAAAATGGCAGTACCTGTAGCTTTATTGACATAAACTACAATACATGTTTAATGAATTTAGTGATAAAAGGATCTGTGTACAGTTGATGTAATCTTTTCTTCTCAGACTAACACAGTGGCTGCTGGAGTGATAGTGGGGACCAGTGGTCAGTCTGTCAAGGACAATGACCCTGTTATGGAGAATGTGGCCAATCTAACCTTTCCATCTGCTCCCCCCACATCTTATGATCCGGATGACACACAGTCTATCAAAGGTAACGTGTATATAAGTGTCCCTGTTAGTCTGACCTTTATTGTAGTTTTTATCATGAATGTAGCTTAGGATTTTATTTTTTAAGGAGATGGTCAGAGTTTTTACTCGGTGGTTAAGAGTAAAGTTGGGGTTGTTGGGAATGATGTGGATTCAGGGGAGGACACATGTTCCACATCTCCTTCAAACAGTAAATCAGGTAAGTGCATGGCCAAAAACTTTAGATCTAAAATGATGCAAACTTACAAGTTTCCCAGGCAACCATTTTGACAAATTCTGACACAATGATGCAAACTTTCATGTTCCCCAGGAACCATTTTGACAAATTCTGACACACTTATTCTTGTCATTTGTGATATACATGTATATTGGAAGCACAATTTGGCCATCAGTTTATACCATAAAACATTTTAACATATACATAAAATTTTACACTTACTACTGTTTCTCAAGAATCATATACTATTGAAAATGGTAATATTATAGTATTTTTGGCCTTTCAGGAATGTTTTCCACACTGCTTTTGAAGGCTGACACTTTTCTACAAAAGTACAACTTGAGAAGACTGAAGTTTGGAACCATAATAGAGTTCCTGGATAAGTTCAACATGACTACCAGTAAAGAAGCATTGAGAGGAGTTGTAACAAGCATTAAGGTGCTGAAAACAAAAGGGAAACTCTTTGATATGTATCAATGATTATAGTGAAATAATTCTCTAGAAAATATCTCACTTTCAGATGAAAATTTGAAGTACATTGTAAAATGACATTTTTATATGTGGTATTGTAGTCGTCTTTTATGTATATTCCCAGGATATGATAAACAACAAACCCTGTCGCAATCCTAGTGAGATGACAGAGGACCAGCTATTTATGGAACTTGTACAACAAGGAAAAAATACCTCTGGCTCCAGAGAGGACATGGTCACTCGCCTGATGACCCAGTATCTAGGTCTGGACGAACTTAAACCAGTAACAAATGTCAATTTTATTTGAATTTTGTCTTTTTTAAAAGGTTAGCATTACCATTCAAAAGCATCCATTTTTAGGTCACCTGAGTCACTCAGGTGACCTATTGCTATCCGTTTTCGTCCGTCGGCGTGCGACGTGCGTCGTGCGATGTGCGTTAACATTTGAACATTTTTAGCTTCTTCTCTGAAACCGCTCAACCAATTTCAACTAAATTTGGCATATAGCATTTATGGGTGAAGGGGAACAAAAATTGTGAATTTCATGGTCCCTGCCCCCCTGGGGCCTGAGGGGTGGGGCTAAAACCACCAAAATTAATGCAATCTTTAAAAATCTTCTTCTTTACTCCTGGACATCAAGCAGTCAAACTGTTGGCATCATTGTGATAAGCATTGAGTCCTCTACCAAAATTGTGAAATTCATGGCCCCAGGGTCAGGGGTTCTGGTGCTAGGGCGGGGCTATATAGATCATATAGTGAAAGTGCATTATTTCTTTGAAAATCTTCTTCTCTGCTCCTGGGTATTAAATAAACTAACTAAGTATATAGTTATGATGAGTAAGAGTGACTCTTCCAAAATTGTGAAATTCATGGCCCCAGGGGCAGGGGTTCTGGTGTTAGGGCGGGGCTCTATTGATTATATAGTGAAAATGCATTAGTTCTTTGGAAATCTTCTTCTCTGCTCCTGGGTATTAAATAAACTAACTAAGTATATAGTTATGATGAGTAAGAGTACTTCTACCAAAATTGTGAAATTCATGGCCCCAGGGGCAGGGGTTCTGGTGTTAGGGTGGGGCTCTATTGATTATATAGTGAAAATGCATTAATTCATTGAAAATCTTCTTCTCTGCTCCTGGGTATTAAATAAACTAACTAAGTATATAGTTATAATGAGTAAGAGTGCCTCTTTCAAAATTGTGAAATTCATGGCCCCAGAAGCAGGGGTTCTGGTGTTAGGGCAGGGCTCTATTGATTATATAGTGAAAATGCATTAATTCATTGAAAATCTTCTTCTCTGCTCCTGGGTATTAAATTCAGTAACTAAGTACATAGTTATGATGAGCAAGAGTGCCTCTTTCAAAATTGTGAATTTCATGGCCCCTGGGTCAGGGGTTCTGGTGTTAGGGTGGGGCTCTATTGATTATATAGTGAAAATGCATTAATCCTTTGAAAATCTTCTTCTCTACTCCTGGGTATTATTGAAACACATTAAATACATAGTTATGATAATCAAGGATGCCTCTTTCAAAATTGTGAAATTCGTGGCCCCTGGATCAGGGGTTCTGGTGTTAGGGCGGGGCTCTATTGATTATTATAAAGTGAAAATGTTTTAATTCTTTAAAAATCTTTTTCTCTGCACCTGGGTATTATTTAAACAAACTAAGTACATTGTTATGATAATCAAGGACGCCTCTTCCAAAATTGTGAAATTCATGGCCCCGGGGACAGGAGTTCTGGTGCTAGGGCGGGGCTATATAGATCCTATAGTGAAGGTGAATTATTTCTTTGAAAATCTTCTTCTCTGCCCCTGGGTATTGCTTAAACAGGCTAAAGTACATTGTTATGATACACAAGGATGCCTCTTCCAAAATTGTGAATTTTATGACCCCAGGTTTAAGGGTTCTGGTGAAAGGGGGGGGGGGGGGGGCTTCTATTGATTATAAAGTGAAAAAGCAAAATTTCTTTGAAAATATTCTTTTCTTCTTCTGGTTAAAGAAGCTAAGTGTATAGTTATGATGAGCAAGTGTGCTTCTTCCAGAGTAGTGAATTTCATGACCCCTGGGTCAGATATGCTGGTGTGAGGGTGGGGCTCTTGATAATTTAGTGAAAATGCATTAATTCTATTAAATAATCCTGTTTGCTCCTTAGTGTTAAGCAGATAAACAAAGTGATGATGAGCAAACATATGGTCCCAGGGTCAGAAGCTCTGGTGTTTTGGGGGTTGGGGGGGGGGGGGGGGGCTCTATTGATAATATAGTGAATCTGTAGTAAAAATGCATTATTTATTTAAAAATCTTCTCCGCACCTGGGCATATCTGAGGCAAACAGAGTAAAAGTTTTTATAGGGAAGGGAATTTTTACCAGATTTTTGAACATCTGGACCATTTGGTCAAGTGTTCTGGTGCTGGCCAGGGCTCTATTAGTTTGTATTCTACTGAGAGGAGTTATTCCCCTTTGCCATTTACTTTTGATAATTTATCACTGTAAATAATGTACTTGAAAGGTAAATAGAGAATTATGCAAAAACTTTTATTGTATAATACAAGAAGTACTTTCATAGTTTTAATGATCAGATAGACTTGTAAGTAGTAGATAAATAAAAATGAGACAAAAATAACTTGTCTTATTAAATATTCATCAAAGACCAAGAGATGCCAATGTAAGAGATTTCAACAAAGGATTAAAATAGTACAGAAGCATTGATAATTTGTTAATATACTGTATAGTGAAAGTGATAAATGGGGAACAGATTAGAACCTAATTTATGAACTGTTAATGAATATTAAGACCAATTATTTTGTTGATCATGATCACCCTATTTTTCTTGCTTTTGGGCAACAAAGCTTCACCTTTCGGTTCATTTTATACTCTATGCATCCTTGAAATTGTTTTATCATACTCAGGTGACCGTTAAGGCCCTTGGGCCTCTTGTGTTTTGTACAGATTGTCCATTGCTGGCTTTCACTATGCCAAGAGATGTGTACTGTACATATGACAGAAACTGCTTAGGAGTGGAGTGCTGCGTCAGTCTGGAGTTATCTTTCTTGACTAGGACATACAAGGTCTGGGTAAACATGGACCACTGTTCTTCTCCAGTCAAACTCTACATGGGTGTAGGAATGAATTCATACCAGTTTGACCTGTCTAGTACGGACTTTGATGGTAAATTTAAAACCAACAAAATCACTTTAACATTTTAACTTCTATTTGTGTAAATAATATTTATACACATATAGCAGGTATATTCTATAGATAGGTTCTTGTTAATTTAAGTTCTTCATTTTTTTTAATTGTGAGTTTTATCAGAGAGAGAGCGAGAAAAAAATGTTGCAATTCTTTTTGTTTTGTTAAATTTAGGTGTAGAAGGGGATATCATTGTGAATGACACATTAGATGCATTCCTTGGAGGAGTATCAGTAAAGCTGAGGTGAGTAGCTTTTCAAGTGACATACTGAAGGATTGTGAATATCTTAATTTTGTTATACTCTTTGCAAGGTTGAAAAGGCAATTAAGAGCTTAATATTCTATACTTTTTTTCTTGTATATGTTCAAAAAAAGGTCCAGAAATTCAGTCATGAGATTAAATTTTACTTTTCTTCTTAGGTATAGTGTGTTCAAGGGAGATAATGCCACCTTGGTCACATTAGCAGCTGGGATGTGTAGTAGGAGTAATCCTGATTATTGCCCTAGCTATGTGACACTTTTGGACAGAGCCATCTTCAGAAATCCTGACTGTCTTCCAGATGGATCATTTATTTGGCCTGATGGTAAATGTGAAAAGCATAAAAAAGTTTTAAACTACTTCTTTCCTATTTGTGTTAGTTGTTTAATTGACTATGAATGTAATTTTGAAATTCCAAGGATTATGTAAGTTATATTTAAAGTTTGAAAATATGTTGCAGTGGATTACCAGAATTTGTTAAAGAGAGAGGCATCATGGAGAAACATTAAGCAGTCTGGTAAAACATTAGCCAAAAAAGCCATAACAGATACTGATGCTGAGTACCTACAAGAATTGGGATTGACAAAAGTGATTATGAAAGACTTGTGTAAAAAAAATATTTGGTTGTGAAGAAAATATAGTAAATGTGCATATGGTTTGCCATTAGTTAAAAAAAACATGAAATTTCTTGCCTTCTTCTCTTCAGAACATGATTTATGAAACAGGCCCATGTCCTAGACCTCGCATTATGACAGATGGTCAGCTCAGATCAGCTTTGGAAGCCAGGAATTTGTCACCAAATGGAACTAGAAATGAATTAATTTCCAGGCTTACCCAGGATAATTATGGTATGCCACACTGAAATTATAAATCCATTTAATATAATACAGTAAATTATGTTGTGGATATATATTTTGAAAGGCTTCACTCAGATATAGTACAGCCCATGGAAATTAATTATGAAATTTGTGTATTGTATGTACACTTGAGTTGTAAAGTATTTTCCATATTTCAGCATGTTCTAATGCAACGCTTCCCACAATCAGGAACTCGACCATTGACGGCATTATTCACTATTCCATTGACCCTGATTGCTTAAGAATTGAAACTTGTGCAGACATTGCTCTAAATCTCAGTAGCAAAATATACTCCAAATCTTTCAAGACTACATTTGATGTGGAACCATGTAGCTTTTTGCTGAAAGTCGAATTTGAAAGAAGAATTTTGACTAGAATTTTGCTGTCTTACAGCTGGGGTAAGTACCTATAATCCTATTCAAAAGATATTGAAATTAATTAAAATTATCATTTTTTGGTATCTTTGTACATGTATATGTCAAAAATATGTATCTAAACTTGTATTGATTCAAATGACTTTGTATTGGTTTCAGGCTCTGAAAAGATCATTCAAATTTCCCCAAACGTGAAGATCAAGTAAGTATCTGTTAGCAGTTTATTTTCTTTAGTCTTCTGAATGAGAAGATTTATGGCCAGGAAAAATAAGCTTCATGCAGGAGTTTTTATCCAATATTTTGCTCTTGAAGGTATACACTAGATCGTGATGTTGTAAGAGGGGTGTATATCCTGGATTTGGGGCTGATTGTTTGTCCAGTCTCGTCTGGATGTATTATAAATGGATTTTTCCTGGAGGATTTTGAAATGCCAGTGCCATCTTGTGGAGACTTTGTTCTCCCAGGTAATTCATTTATGTGTCATTTTTTATGTGTATTGTTATCAAAGATTGTCCACAACAGGCAGACAGATTTGAAACTGAGTCACATGTGAACTGAGAATAAAAACTTAGGAAAAACATTTTTATTGACCATAAAAAAACTGGTAGAAATAATTGTACAACAATAATTAATTCTTTTACAGGAGATGGAACAATAAATGGCTTGCTCAATTCCATTGGAGGCAAAATGACAACTGAAGCCTTTGAACTTGTACTGAAGAAATTTAACATACAAGTAAGTATTTGCAAAATATTCTTGTGCATTCATGGTTGTATTCTTTTTTATGTAAAATTATTTGTAATTTTCCCCCTTGTTTCTTGCAGCATGTGATAAAAAGTGAGACGTGCACCTTACCAACAGCACCAGCAGGTAAGTGAAATGTCTTTTAACCTTTCATTTGAAAGTGCGTGCAGACTTGTATATTGATAATATAAATATGCTTTATTTTTTAATGTTTTCTTTTATTAGATATATTCTATATATACAAACCCTTTGCAAAGTCATTATAAATGTGTTATATAGAGCTCAATAAATTACTCAACAAGAATTACTGTATATTTGTTTGATTTGTCAAATTGTTTGTCACAGCTTTTTGGTTCACTTTGCCTCTATGAAATTAATTTAACCATTCTGTTGACATTAGGATGCACCAATACACTTGATGTGGACAGTAATCTGCCTGCCACTGTCCAAGACATGGTGACCTGCCAGCTGCCCCGGGGATGCTATGGTGTCCAGTGCTGTCTGGACCTGGTCTTCAAACTTCCTTTGGGAGACATTGTTACAGCTAAAAACTTCTCCTTTTGGTTCATAGTGGATCCCTGTGACTTCAGTATAGACATCGGATTAGGGGGTCTCACTCTGCTGAAGTCAACATTTCTGGAGTATGAATTTGGTAGGGATACTTTTTTTATTTAAGGGAAGTGGGAAAATGGTATGAAATTTAATGACTTAAAAAATCAAAACATTCTGCATTGATAAATACCATTGTATACAATTCATAAAGAGTCAAATAATAAATTCAAGGAGAAAATTTTACTGAATATTTTTAAACCACAGACTCCTTAATGTCAAATTAAGATGTTTATAATTACATGTATTTGATGTGGAATATACAGATTTGTTAATGTTTGAATCACATTTTAAGTACTGCCCATGAATTGTTGCCTACCTGGTATATGTATGTACAAGTATGTTGCTACATGTGTTCTCAAATACAGTTTAAACATGAATGAACGTATTTTTAGGAACAACAAAGACAATAAGCTTAGGAACAGGGAGTCCAGCACCTGTACAAGTAATGTAAGGAAGGTCTTTATGTTAAATATAGCCTTATTGTCATACAATGTAACTTCAATGCATTAAATTGAATTATTCTTTTAGATACTCAATAGCACAGAAGGGTGTTAACCAGGGATATACTGTGGATGTTAAATTGAAAATTTGTCTGAATTTGGATGGTCAAGTTTTCTGTATTCCAACCAGTGAACTTCATTTCATGAAACAAGTGGATATTCCTGTCTGTCAGTCCAGATCTCTAGTCAACTTCAACAGTAAGTTTTATACAACCAAAAGACTTTTACATGTATTTCAGTATAGCACCTAGTATATACATGTATATATGTGTCCATGAAGAGCAGATAATTTGTTATAACTTTTTTTTTTTTAAGAATGAAATGTATACCTTCATCTTTCAATAGCATTTACCTTGCAAAATTGGGCACAAAGTGTCAATGTGAGCCTTATAGAGCAGCTTGACTCAGGGGCACTTGCCATGTTGTTAGAACAGCTAAATCTGACCCAGTTCTTCAGCAGCCAGAAGTGTGACAGGACAAGAAGTCCCTACAGTCCATCTCTAATGGGATACCACAATGGTGATAATTTTTTGGAATATTAAATGTACAGTTAGAAATGCTCTAATGCACGTTTTTCCTGAATCTTTATTCAAGTCTTTATTTAGTATCAATCTTTTGCATGGTGCCATTGGTAGTGATGTTTTATATTATCCTGTTGCTCTGGTAAATATCAGTGAAACCAATGGAAAAAGTATAATTTGTATAGACTTCTGGTATTAGTGTGGAAAAAAATCAATGTAATTTTCATTTTCAGTGTGCCCCCGAACCATTAATTCCCTGCCCGCCAAGGTGCCTGACCCTATGACATGCTACATCCCAGACTACTGTACGGGTATTGACTGCTGTGCTGATCTCCCAACACTCGGACTTGGGCTTCGGTCCTTCGTCTTCCTGGATTTAGAAAAGTTGGAGATCCGGTATGGCATGGAAAATGTGCAAAGAACTGTGAAAATAGCAGATTACACTTGGGGTAAGGGTTAATTGTTGTATTAAATGTTTTGCATTTAAAAATGCATGTCTTGCAGTTAAGAATGTTGACTTTTTCAAATTGATGGAAATTGAGTAGTCATTTGCGTAAATGTAAGATGGATGGAAACTTTTTTTCCAGGACAAGAAAAGACGATCTCTGCAGCTGGTGACCTCATTAAATTAAGGTAAGATATAAATAGAAAATCTGCTTCATACTAGACATACATTTATTTAAGTTCTATTTAGGTTCATGTAACTGTGGATATGAATTTTCTTGCACAGATTCAGCATTTCAAAAATATCTGACACAGACTACATCTTCAATGCCAATGTGTATGCATGTTTAGAAGGGTCAGGGCAGTGTGCCATAGACATTCCTGTCTTCCAGAATACACGTCTACAATCTTCAACAACTGGAATATCCACCCAAAGTAAGTTATTCCTCAATGGCCTTTTTCCGTTAACCAACTCTACTCACAAGATAAAAATATTTTCAAGGTATGCAGCTGTTTCTTACAAGAATATTATTTTGAACTGATTGCAACTGTTTATACTCTGGACTGATGATTTATGTAATACTTGAACTTCAGAATCTTGAACATTGATATCTCAAATACTATGGCTATGTCGAAGTGTGTTGGAAGTCCCAACCACATTTTCCTTATACAGTTGAACTTTGGTACCTCGAACACTGATATCACGAGTACCATTGATATGTTGAAGTGATTTGGAAGTCTCAACTGCTTATTCTTTAAGTAATTTACCCTCAATATCTTGAATCCTTGGATATCTCAAAGTTTTCTCTTGGTCCCATTGAGTTCTAGATAACAAGGTTAAACTGTATATTGTAACCTTAATGCTTTGAACCATCCAATATTTCGATTTTTTTTTTTCTCGGCCCTTTGAGTATAAGATAATAAGTGTTGACTATAACTGCGTATGTATTCGAGTGAATATAAAGGATAGTTAATATACATTTAAACTCTATTATTATGTTGATTTATATAAATGACTGGTGACCAGTATTTGAATCAAGCCTGGATATTCAAACATGATTCGACTATCTATAATTTGAAAGATATCCAAGAGTTTCTGATAATGAAATTAAGTTTTATACTGGAAGTCAGGGGCACACTCATGCCAACATACCACATATGTTTAGAATGATGACTAGATACCAAACAATTTAGGGAAACAGATACTACACAGAAATAAGTCTGACCAATATTTGTACAATGTAAAAAAAAAATTGTCTTGGTATTGTGAATGCAGCATTTGAGATCTTTTTGGTATCTGTAGATTTCTCTTTGACTACTTGGATGGCTGAGATGGGTATTCCCTCTAAAGCTCAGATTACAGATATAGAGAAAGGTTTTCTGATACAACAACTGGGTATTGATGCCTACAGACTGACAACTCCCTGTGACCCCACACAGAGCCCCTACACTTCAACAACCAATGGCTGGAACAACAGTATGTACATTGTGAATAAAAAAAAAAAGAAAGAAAGATGATATTGTAAAATAAATTGTTTTTTTTTTTCAATTAAATAAGCTTGAAAATTTCTACTTCAGATTTGTTGAATATGCTTATGAGTGACAACTGAAAATAATTTTGATGATTTTTCTCAAGCAGATTAATCTCTAGTTTTGAATAAATGTCATTTCTTGAAACTTTACATAGAATTCCTGTCTATATAAACTGTGAGTTTGAATTTCCATTCCAGTGTGTGGTGTAGCCTTTGTTGTGCCTACTGCTATCTCCAGTGCTGCTGTGAAATGTACGCTGTCAGCTGATTGTAGTCGAGTGGATTGCTGTGTGGAGTATGCCTACTTCAACATCAAACTGCATTTTTTCCTAAACCTAGACCAGTGTAACTATGTCATTATGGGTGGAATTGAGAAGAAAAACTTCACCAAAAATATTCTCAGCTTTCCTTGGGGTACATTTTATAATTTCTTTGTTACTATTAAATGAATTGTCGTAATTTAGAAAATGTTGACCATTGTTTGTTATAAAAGAAAAATGAATAGTACGTCTTATTGAATTTTCTGTCTTCTTCAGGATCAGATAATGTTGAAAGCATCAGCAACATAATTAAAATGAGGTAGGCTAATCTCTTTCTCATTGCTCTAAGTATTGTCTTGCAATGTCTATTTGATGTCCTTTATTTTTGATTTTCTACCAGTCTTTAAACAATCTTATATTAATGAAAAAGGCACAAAATAAATAGATGATTGATTTTTGATATAGATACACTATAGACAGACTTACCCTCTCAGACAAGTATGTATTGGACATGTCAGTGGCTGTGTGTCTGGAGCCTGACTCCTGTGATATGAATGTCGCTGTCCTGAGAAATGTCATGATTCCTATCCTGCAATGTAACCTCACCATGCCAGCTAAATTAACAGGTCCAAAAAATGTTTTAAAATTTTCAAATTTAGCATATATGTTTTTGCAAAAAAGGAAATATTTGGTTACAGTATATGTGTTATAAGTAAGTAACATATTTGAATTTTGTGATGGGAAAACTTGTCAAGCTTTGATATAAATAAGCTTACAGTATTTCAAAGTAATATCTTCATTGATATTGGCTAAAGATGTACAAATTATTTATGCATCCATTGAAGCTTGGGAAAAGTGACAATTTTATAGTTATGTTTAATTCTCTCTACTAATGTTTAGGATTTTCTTTGACTAACTGGATGGCTTCTCGAGGACTGGAAGGAAGTTTGTCAAAGGCTATGTCTGATCAGCTGCTAAATACGCTGGGTATCGGACTCTTCATGAAAGAAAAGTCATGTGACAGAGCAGAGACACCTTACAGCAGTAACAAACTAACCACTGAAGGATGGTCCGCTGGTAATTTACACGTGGTCCTCTGAATATATTAATTTTGTTTTTTTATTTCTAAAAATCCATTTTTGCATAGTTTATTTATTTATTTTTTGGCAACATTTACAGTTGAACATAATGCATGTTCAATGCAGTTTATTTTTGAAAATGAAGAAATAAATGTGAAAAATAATTTGTGTATTCTGAATTTTGCATGCTCCTTCAGTATAATTACATGTATGGTATTTTAGTGTGTCCTGCAACAATTGCCGTTCTGGAGATCAGAGATACGGTCAGTTGTTTTGTAAACAGCTCTTGTACATCCATCATTTGTTGTGTGGAGGTAGAGAAGTTGGAGCAGGCATTTGAAGTTGTCCTTGACCTAGATTTCTGCAATCAAAAGGTCACATTTGGAGTTGAAAGGTTAACAAGGACTGAGGCACTGAAAGATTTCGAATTTGGTAAGTAATATTCATCTTAACATTGAAATATTTTCATAGTTGTTGGGGAGGAAGGGATGATATTTTGATTTGCTGGATTCACCTGTATTTTGTAACATTCTGTGCAACTTTCAGGAGTGAAAAAAGAGATGGTGATCATGGGAGTGTTCAAATTCTGGTAAGATCATTTTTATTTTTTCATGAGCTAAAACAATTTAAAAGCATTCTAACAGCATTTTTTACAAATGCTTGTAGCAGATGAACAAATTGGTGTCATAGTTCTTCATGAGCACATGGATGTAGAAAACAATTATCAATATCTATTCAGTGGAGTTCAAGGCCGCTCTGCAGATTAGAGTTGTGGTTATTTGTATATACAGGTACAGTGTGTGGAATCTGATTGGGGAGAATGCCTATGCTGTATCTGTAGACCTGGCTGTATGTCTAGAGGAGGGAGGAGAATGTGTGGTGGACGTCAATGTGGTGGATAGGGTCAAATTTCCCAAGACAAACTGCAACTGGCCCACTAGCTTTATCCAAACAAGTAAGTACAGCTTAAATTTAAATGCCTGGTGGGTTTTTTATTTTTATTTCTGTCTCATATACATGTTTATATTTTGTATATTTTCTGAGCACATTTTTGTAAAGGCAGATTTTAAGCTGGCAAATTCTATTATACAGTTTCCATATACATTTAGTTATTTACCTTTAAGTTAGCTATATTTATGCCCCGCCATGAATAGTTTTAAAGAAACCATAATATTTTTATCAAACTTCATATGCTAATACATATTGATGTAACCTTTTCAACTGCATCAACAATTTTTTACCTTGACCTTTCCTTTGACCTTGACCTCACTTTTCTTAAATTAGTGTCAAACTTCATGTGCTGATACATACTGATGTAAGCTATTTAACTGCATCAATATTTTTTCACCTTGACCTTTCCTTTGACCTTGACCTCACTTTTCTCAATTTGTGTTAAAATGTTGCATTACTAATATATCCTCGGCGGGACATTCATGTCCTATGGACATATTTCTAGTTTATATAATGTACTTGACAGATTTTTCTTTGACTGCTTTCATGGCTGAGAACTCAGTGGCTAACCCATCTCAAATAACTGGACTTGTGTTGGAGAGACTGAAGGAAACACTTGGGCTTCCTAACCATATGGATACAACCCAGTGTTCACTGACAGACTCTAGATACATCCCAAACTCTAATGGAATTAAAAATGGTGATTTACTATTAGTAAACAGCTAACATTTAAGATTAATTGGATGAGAAAAAAAATAGCGAACATCAATTATATATAAATAAAAAAATTAAATTTCATTTATTAGCCACAATAGTGTGAGTAAATTGTTGACTAGATTTGTTATGTAGATAACTTGCTCAGCAAGAAAATAATTGTTGAAACAGTTAACCAGCTATTGCTTGCAAAGTATAATTAAAAAAGTGCATAAATTACAGATTGCACACAGACTATTACTCAACCAACAGAGGATGCCATTCCATCTCAGGCTACGGTTCTTTCCAGTAACATGGTGTGTCAAATCAAGAACTCGTGCACTGGGATAGACTGTTGTGTGGAATCTACACCCCTCTCCCATAATTTCCACATCTACCTGGACATTGATCCTTGTAACTTTAAAATCAGCTTTGGAATAGATAAACTCCAATTCACATTCAACTTGAAAGATTTTACATTTGGAGTAGAGAGGGATGTTCGCTTGTTTAATGTTGTTAGAATGAGGTAAGAGCTTTCAAAAAGATCCAGGGGCATGTAGTTTTTGGTCTGTCTGTTTGGCCACAAAACTTAAACCTTGGTCATAACTTTTTAATGGTTGGTGCAAGGGCTTCATTACTGCACATATAATTCCTTGGGTAGCAACAATTTTTACCTCATGACCTTGATTTTGGAGTTTGACCTACTTTAGGAAAACTTTATGTTGGCCATGCCATATGGAGGATCAGTGTTTCACAAACACATCTCGTTATTTATTGAAAACTTAAAAAATACAGAAATCTTTATATGATGATCATATAAATCCTGTCAATGTCCATTATATTGTAGGTTCACCATTTGGGATCTTACATCAGAAAATCAGTACTTGGTAAACCTGAACCTAAGTCTGTGCTATGAGACTGCTGGAGCCTGTATGACAGATGCTCAAATATTTAACAGGAGAAGACTATCCAAAGGTGTCTGTAACTACAGCGCTCCACCAAGCATTCCAAGTAGGTTATCAGATCTGTGATGAAACCTATATTAACTCATTAAATATTTTATTTTCATATTGACATTGGAGTTCTTTGTAAGAAATGCATTTAACATTGTGTTGTAAATATTTGCTATGATAGCTAAAATCTCGTATTTGTTTTATATAACAGATTTTTCCTTGAACCAGTGGAAACTGTCAAGGGGAATAACTTCTGCTTCACTGTCTCAGTTTGATTCAGATTTGCTGATGGAATACTTGGGAGTTCTTGGTTATCTTAATCCCTCCCAATGTAGCACAGTTTCTTCCTTATCCTTGGCAGGTTGGGTTGATGGTGAGCAATTCCATTTCTCCCCTCTAGGTTATATTAGCAGAAAACCATGCTTTTGTATACCACCATGCAAGCTGCATGCAGAAAATGTAAGGTAGATTTATTCATTGATTTCAGATTGTCCAAGGTCATCTTTATACATGAAGACTGACCTATCCTCACAGCCCATCCTCTGTAGAATATCCTCCAAGTGTACCAAGGTTAGGTGCTGTGTCGGTGTAGGTCCAGTGGCCAGGAATTTTGAAGCTTACATTGACATTGATCCTTGTAATCACAAAATGACTGTTGGGATAGAGAATTACAAGACTACTATTAATCTACTGAACTACACATATGGTAAATACTTGCTCCAGATGAATTAATATGACCGTAAAGGATGGATAGTGGATGTGAAAATACTATTTTCACATAATATTCAAGTAGAACTTACAGTGTGCAGAATTTAAAGGGAACCCTTGGTTAAAATTCAGAAAGTTTAATTTTGTAGAAGAACAAATGCTAACAAATATAATAAATATAATAGTAAAAATAAAATTATACTTCTTTTTATATACTCGCATGTAGAATAAATTGTACAATGGTATTGGAATTAGAGTAATTATAGTAAACAGATACATATACATGTATACCAGGTAAAATGGTTTTCTTTAAATTTAGGAACAACAGAGAGTGTTCAGATGGAAAGTTTGATAGCACTAAGGTAAAATGTTGTTTGATTTCAATGTGAAAGAAATGTAAATTTTCCCGGTAGAAATTGATTCACAAGTTATGGTTGATAATTTTATTTTGTATGCATTAGCTACCAAGTGGAGAGATTTGAAGGAGCAGAGCGATTCTTTGTAAACCTGAACCTCAGTGTATGTATGGAGGCTAGTGGTGCATGTTACATGGACACTGTCATCCTACAAGATGCATATCTACCCTCAGCATCATGTGACTGGTCCAAACCTCAGACAAGTAAGATCAGATCAACTACAGTAGCAGTCAGTTCTATGACTCAATTTTATAGGAGAATTATTTTACAGGTACATAATTAAGTACCAAAGAGATGTACAGCCAAACCTCGTTATTTTGAATTTGATGGGACTGATATTAAATTTTGAGATATCTGAGGATTTGTGTCAACAATGTTGAAAAACATAAAGGAAAAGTGGTCTGGACTGCCAAATTACTTTGACTTATCTCTGGTATTCAAGATAATGAAGTTCAACTTTATATTAATCTTGGGGGGGGGGGGTCAGAATATGCAAATGAGCATAGAAGTTCTGATATCACATTTCCTTGAAATTGTGTTGTTACAATCAAAATGCATCTTTCACAGGGTTCGAAATTCACTATACACAACTCGCAAAACGCGAGTTAGAATTCCCAAATTGCGAGTTAAAAATTAGGTAACTCGCAAAAACTTGCGAGTTGATTTTTTTGCATTGAAACTGTAGCAAAATTATATAATATGACAGAACACAATGCTTTTGATTTAAATCAGTAATTTAAATAAAAGTCACACTGTAGTTGTATTTTGTGTATTGTACAGTAGTTACTTTTTCCTTAAGTTACATGTATTTAATTTATATAAGTTTAACTTTTTATGAAAATTGCGAGTAGTCTTATAAAATTGCGAGTTCACTTTCTTGGTACTCGCAATTATCTGCGAGTTGTAATTTTAGGGAGTTTCTAACCCTGCTTTCAGAAGTAAAAATTTAAAAGGGACTCTAATGTCACCAGCATGTTCCTGGTACTCAAGATAACTGTTTTGGAGATAACAAAGCCAACTGTACATCTTTAAGTTGTGTACACAAAAATGTAAAGCAATATGCAAGTAAAATTTTTATAAGATTAATATCAGTGGATAATCTTGGTTTCTATTCTGCACTTCAATGAACTGTATGCTTCTATCTCTAGGTTTCTCGCTGAGCAACTGGTATGGTAATCTGTCCCTGACTGCAGGCACCACCCTGTATCCCACACAGTTATCCCTTCTGAAGGAGTCCCTGGGGGTCACAGATTACCTGAACTCTGCCCCAAATAGGTGTGACAGGTCATCAGCAACCTACAAACCTGAAACCCCAGGTCTGTCAGGATGGAAAATAGGTCAGTGAGTCTTGGCAGGAAAAGTTTTTATCTATGAATTAATTGAAGTAAGAAATTTATGTTGATTGATGCAGTAAATTGTGTAATCATTTTAATTTGTGGAGCTCAGTGGTCATTGGCAACCAAAATTTTACTGGTTTGTGGGGAGGAAATTTTGTGGGTAAAAAACATGAAAACAGAAGATTCATTGAAACAAGTGAACAGTTATTGTTCATGGGAATGTAAATTTGTGGATAAGGGTGACCCATGAATGTCATGATTATTGATCCCCCACAATGATATCAGAGTATATGAAAAGAAAATATTAGTTATATTTTTGAAAAGTGAAGAGGTATTTATTGTTGGTTTTTAAGTTTATTATAAAACTGTTCAACGCTAATCAAACTCTTTATGATTTCAGACGGTGGATGTAATCTGAATTTGCTGGTGATGAGCTCCCTGCTAGCTGACAGAATGAACTGTTACCTGAAGTCTAAGTGTACAGCCGTGGAGTGCTGTCTGGATGTGGAGGATCCACTTCAACAGAACATCCGGTTCTCCCTGGATTTAGATCTCTGTCAGCAGATCCTGGAAATCAGTGTAGAAAAACTGGAAGAAAAGAAAGCCTTGTTTTCATACTCATATGGTATTGCATTGTATTATACTCATGCTTATTCAGAGACATTATTAAAAAAATGTATAAATCTTCATTTTTTTTGTTGTTGTTGTGATTTTGTTTGTAATTTTCACAAGATAAACATTTTCTTGAATTTTTTTCTTTGCTGCAGGCATAATGGATTATTTCAGAATGTCTGACTTGATTCAAATTGAGTGAGTACAAATCAGTTCCAGAATATATCTTCACCTGAAAGATTCATACATTTGTGATGCCATAATAGTTTATTCCTCTGCCCAAGAGACAAAACATAACCATGTTCATTTTTTTTGGTCAGGTTTAAGATAGACTTGGTAAGTTCCAGTACTGTGTCTTTCTATCTGAAGCTGAAACTGTGTTTCGAGACCAATGCCTGTACAAGGGAGATAATTGTGTTTAACAATAAACATGTACCTGCTCCTTCATGTCAAAGAAATCTTCCTTACAAAGACCCAGGTAAGTCATTATCGTGTGACACAATGTGGTCGGTGAGAGTTTTTACTAGTCACTGGATTTTATACTGACAATTCAAAAGTTGTTTCATATTTTTTGCAAATCATTTGAAATAAGGATATGTTTTGCACTGAATAGAATCCCACGAGATTTTATAGCATAATGAAATTGCTTTTTCATGGGATGTACTATATGAATTGTATCTTATACAGACACATCTAAACTGCTTTAGCATAGAAGAATGTGATTTATTGAACTATAAAGACATTAAGAAGCAGTTATAAATAAACAGGACTTACATTTATTTTCCAGCATTTTCTCTCACACAATGGTATAACTCCAATGGACTGACTCCAGGCTCCAATCTGACAACACTGGAAGCTAGGAAACTCCTGGAAACTCTAGGAGTGGGTCACTTCATGCAGGATGTGGGCTGTCAGAGGTCAGGGGCTATGTATAACCCCTCACAGAATGGGTGGAAATCAGGTATCAGAAAGTACTGAAATATTGAATTGTAAAATAATGACTAGTAAAGTTCAAGTAAATCAAAATTCAAAAGTATAAAGTGTAAAGTATTACACAGTTGTAAATTATCACACTATTGTAAAACTTACACTATTTTAAAGCATTGCACTGATGTAAGCATTACACTAATATAAAGCATTGCATTTTTAATGCTTCTTCACTTGGCTGACAGTTTGTACCTTAAATCATTTCAAAGTTGTAAGGTGATGTGGTAACTGGTATGTTTGCAAGTACCACTCTGAGAAGATAAATTCAAATTTAAAACTTTTCAGAGTGCCAGTTGGTAGTTGATACACCCCCCATGACAGAGCCTGTAAACTGTGTGATTAAGGATTCTTGCTCTGCTGTCAGCTGTTGTGCTGAGGTGGGATTTCTCCAACAGTCATTTGAGGTTACCATGTCACTTGATCCCTGTACTGAGACCATACAAGTAGGAATCGAGAAGTTCAGCTTTAATGTCAGTCTGGCCACCATTACCATGGGTAAGGGAGGCTACTCCATATCTAATTGCTTACAATATATATATATATACATGTATATATATATATATATATATATATATATATATATATATATATATATATATATATATATATATATATATATATATATATATATATATATATATATATAATATGCTTGTGTTACTAAAAATAAAGTTCATTACGTTATTTTTAATACTATTTTCATGTCAATAGTAAATCAGTAGTATAATGTTATTTGATATTTTAGGTACAACAAATGAACTGTATCTGAATGGAATTGTACGGGTCATGTAAGTAATGCTATTTTTCTGGTTTAAAGTTGGATATTCGTCAGAACTACCATTGCAGTACCTGTCAATCCACTTTGTTTTTCAATCCTGGTGGCATGCACAAAATGAATACATGTCCTTATATTTACATTTCCAATGTCTTTGTCCGAGATAAAATTACAAATTGTAAAAATACTTTATTTCTACATTAATCTACTGGTTCATCGATAGGCGCGGTTAAAAAAAATCACGTGCGGGGCGGGACAAATAGAGACAGAAGCGGGGCTATTAGCACGGGAATTTGCAGAATCAGGAGCATGTAAATATAAGGAATAACTGTCAGATTTTTTGGATTCATGACGATGATCAATCGATTGGCTTGTGTGATAATTTTATGCATAAACGCCTTCGGCGTTTATGCAAATTATCAGGCAAGCCACTCGATTGATCACATCATGAATCCAAAAATTTAGACAGTTATTCCTTAAATAAATACATTTGTATATTACAATTCTAAGAAAGAAATCAAGAGAAATAATGAAATGATGAGTGCATGTTTTTTCCATCAATATGTGGGATGTAAAGTTTTCATGCTATGTGCATATGCATTTTAAACAGGGAAAGTGATATACTAGTACATTGATATGCTTATACCAGTTTAGTTATTAATTCATTCATTTAACAGTACAGGCCTCCATAGGTAACTGAATTTTTGCATGTCACTTTTGTAAAATGCTTTGTGCTTTTAATTTTAAGGATATGTTCCTGGGTTTTTTTTTTTTTAACTGTTAAATAATTTTCTGTATAATGTTACTCACCAGAGCTGTAGGCTAAAGTGAGTGTTTCTTATGAAAGTTTGTGCACCATTTATGCATGTATGTGTGTATGTAAACTTTTTACATTTTCCAACTTCTTCTTTAGAACTTTTGGGCCAATTTTACCCATACTTACAAAGTTTGGATGATTAAGGGGATTAAAGTCTAATGAAAGGTACGGATTCTTTCAAATGAAAGGCCATATCCCCTATTAAAAGAGAAATACCAGAAACAACATGTAAAGAAAACAACAGCAAAAACCATGTTTACTAGATTACACTTTATAAACAGCAAATGAGAGACAGAAAAAAAACCCTGTAAATAATAATCATAACATGATAAATGTCAAAATTAATGACTAGATTGTAACATACTGACTATAAAGTACTGTACTTAAAGTAATAACACAAGCTGCATGAAGACTTGATTTATTTTTCATGAACGTTGGATTTAAGGCTAATAATTTACTACTTTAATTAGTGATGTGATCACATAGAAGTTACAGTTCAAAATTTGGTCTGTATTTATTTGACAATTTTGCTAGTATATGTTAGGTATTGCCAAGTATTAAAAAGGGGAGAAAAATGCAGTTCATTATATTAAGGGGCAAACAATGAAATTATTGCACAGAAAGTATATTCTGGGGACCATCCAAAGTCAAATAATTGTCACTTTTGGTAGATACAGTCATCCTGATAAAATTTGGTCAAGAAAGGATACATTGAATTATTCAAGAGTGTTTGGCGTCCTTTTTACAGGTACATGGTTACAGACCTGCCAGTGCCCAGGCTATATAATGTGTCCTTGACTGTGAAAGTTTGCTTTGAGGCCTCGGATGACAACCTCTGTCTATATTCAGCAGACATTTTCTCCTACACCCTGCTTCCTATGCGCATTTGTGACTGGGAGGCTGGCTTCTCACAGCCAGGTATGTGTTTACAGAGAATTGATTAATTTGAAGGTTATTTGTTATTTTTAGTTGGCTTAATAATAATGAAAAAATATTCCAGTACATGTATATAGTTTCATATAGAGTTATTGGTTCAGTGCAAGTTATTAGTACAAATACTTAAAAATATATAAATATTCCAATCATAACACGATACTATAGTAAGCATTCTAATTTTAACCCATTTGTAATGCTACATAAGCAGAAGCAATAATTAAAACCTTTAATTTAGGTTTCAGGATTGCTAAGTGGTATTCAGACAACTTCATCTCACCTCCAAACTATGAGTTGACCCCAGAGAAGTGGAACAAGTTGCTGGATGATTTGGGAATCAGATCCTACATAAAGACAAGTCCTTGCTCCTTTGACATGAATACCTACAAACCAACCAACCCGTATGGATGGAATAATGGTAAATCCTGTTAGCTTTGATTCTTTTATCCAGGTCTTCAAAATATGTAAATTATATTCTGCTTTCAAAATCTCACACACCAAAGTTGCACAAATGTTTCAAACTAGCTAAGAGTGTGTTCAAGATTGCAGCAGTTACATGTATGGCATCCTTACTTATCATTTCATATCTCACTTGAATTTAGTTGTTTTTCAATCTCTTGGAATAATACATGTTCATACTTGTATATGTATATTTATTCAGGCATGTACATTTTCATTTGACTTCAAATTTTGTCACTGAGGTATTTGTTTCCAAAATATGATGCATTGTGGCTGTATAAGAAGTCAGTATATCTAGATATGTAGCACTTGGCATTTACATATTAGAACTTTTATTATGATAATTAATGATCATTATTTATGATCATTATTGCAGTTCAGCTAATTTATTATTGGTTGGTTTAAGATTGTTGTGATATGACTCTTGTGACCAAGGTAAATATTGGTCACTGAAGGTCATGCTAGACACTATAAGAATGGAATTCATTTCCATACTTTGTGACTTGCTGGCATTCCCTCTCAAATGATTAATTTCCTGCATTTGTTCCTTATTTCAGAATGCCCAAAGGACCTGTCCTCTACTGTCTTCCCCACCCTTCCTTCACATGCACGGTGTCAGATTCCCTCCTACTGTACAGGATTTAGCTGCTGTATATTAGACCAACACATTCTACACCACCACTTCACTGTGGGCATCAGACTAGATGACTGTAATCATCTGGTCACTATCCAACTAGAGAAACTCTTCATTGAAATCCCTCTCACCAATTACACATTTGGTATGATGTCTTTAGTAACCATGAAATAGTTGATAACAGCATCTTTAATTCCATTTTAAATGATGTTCTTTGGCATAGTCATGTAGTTATTGATTTTTAACAGGAGTTAATGAGAAGAGATGGATTATGAGTGTCTTGAGATTTGAGTAAGTAAACATTATGTTAATTTTAATAATACTGGTATTTCATTGTTGAAATATTTTAATCTAAAAAAAATTCATCAACCATATAAGCAAATTCATTACATGTGTATGAAAAAAGCTGTGTTCTTTAAATGAAATAATATTGGATGGAATGCTCCGCTTTGAGGTGTTTTTTGTTTTATGAATAAAATTAATATGCAAGTTCAGGGATTTATCAGTACCTTCTCAGGGGCCGAAATTCGGCCCCATTCCCAATTGAAAATGAGTTCAGTTTTTCCCAATTTGGCAGTATTTTTTCCCAATTGGTGAACAATGCTTTTGTATTTAATTATCTTGGAAAAACACAAGGAAAATTGTCAGATTGTCTGTAATATTCATCTATTTAAGTCATTAAGCAAAGCTACAGTCATAACACATGTTTAAAAACACTGTAAAAACATCGCCAACTTTTAATCCGAATTTCCTCCGTTTTTCTGAAAATGGTGATATTGTGTAATTATATAGATTTATTAAGTTATTTCTACCTACTCAATTGATCTACGAGTGTATGGAAAGGTCTGTAGGCATTATTTCAAATAGAAAAATATATTTTCAATGCATTAATACATATTAAGAGAGGACTTTGAGAAAATGTATACTTGCAGGAGATTTATATATTCTCCAGAAACAGATTCTGTAATGACCTAAATTGGAATCTCATACGCACATGTACTACCCTAAGTTGTATAAACACTTTATACTCATTGAAGTCAATTTTACTTTTATTAGTCTGTTATTCATAATTGATCTTGTATGAAGTTGGATCATATATATTGTCTGTTTGGTTGCCCAAATTAGAGTTCATGCTGAAATGTTAAATGAATTACACCTGAATACATGATTTAAGCAACATTTTTAATTTTTCCCAATTTCATCAAAAAGCCGATAATTTTTTCCCAATTCCCCAAAAATGGCATTTCCCAAAATAGGCTGATAAATCCATGAAGTTTCAAGATTGTAACTCTCCAATGATAGAGGCGCAAAAAGTATCCACATCAGCATGGAAGTGGGACAGGCTGTTGATGTAAACAAACATGCATAAATAAATGAACGATGGCTAGGGGCTTTTAAAATTCATTTAATGTTATAGAAAGATGATAATGTCATGCAGTGATGATTTTGGTGATTTTAATGAGCTCTACGAAACATGTCTTACAAAATCTACAGTCATTTAGGATACTTCGAAACAAAAGAACCGTCATAGTCTTTGTGAAAAAGTCGCTTCCTTTGATTGTACAAACCTTTTCTATAAAGTTAGTGGGCTCTTTGAAATTATAATAAGGGAAATAGTCAGTGTGTCATTCAGAATGCCAAAGTGCAATGATAAGATGCATGTGTATTTTTTAGAGATCCATATCTCTTCCGTCGTTTGATAAGTCTTATGATATTTGCTTTTGTTCTAATATTATTGGTATAAAAAGAAATTGATGCCTTTACTTATATTCTGTAGTATTTGAGTTGAAGAGTGCATCCCAACAATCAGTTATGATAGACCGGCATATTGATGATGTAATGTTTCCATTATTTATAACCTGTCCAACCTGCCGGTTTACTCTGAAACAAAACTTCCCTTCATAAAGAAAGAGCACACTAAGGGAGATAATCTTGAAACTTGCATATTCTGGTAACCTTTGTGTAGATTTACCATAGAAGACTTGACAACAGAAAAAAGCTACCAAATAACTGCAAATGTTCGCATTTGCTATGAGCAGACCTATTGTGCTGTAGACACCATCACCCTCTTGACAAACTTTAAGGTGCCAAAAACAACTTGTGAATGGGGAACGGGATTCTTTACAGGTATAGTGTACTCATTTTCCATTGTAGTAGATAATGTTTGCAGTTCTTTTAATTTGTTTTAAAATAAACTTGCAATCTTGCATATATGGTGTCTTAAAAAAATTCAAAAATCTGCAAATATCAGTAAAGTTGGAATGTGAATTTCTTTCCAGAAAAGTAGATGAGAGACCTTGAAAGATATGATATTTTATTAGGTCACCTGAGTCACTCAGGTGACCTATTGCTATCTGTTTTTGTCCGTCATCGTCCGTCGTGCGTTAACTTTTGAACATTTTTAACTTCTTCTCTAGAACCGCTCAACCAATTTCAACCAAATTTGGTATATAGCATCTATGAGTGAAGGGGAACAAAAATTGTGAATTTCATGGTCCCTGCCCCCCTGGGGCCTGAGGGGTGGGGCTAAAACCACCAAAAATAATGCAATCTTTAAAAATCTTCTTCTTTACTCCCGGACATGAAGCAGTCAAACTGTTGGCATCATTGTAATAAGCATTGAGCCCTCTACCAAAATTGTGAAATTCATGGCCCCAGGGTCAGGGGTTCTGGCCCCAGGGTGGGGCTATATAGATCATATAGTGAAAGTGCATAAATTCTTTGAAAATCTTCTTCTCTGCTCCTGGGTATTAAATAAAGTTACTAAGTACATAGTTATGATGAGCAAGAGTGCCTCTTCCAAAATTGTGAAATTCATGGTCCCAGGGTCAGGGGTTCTGGTGTTAGGGCGGGGCTGTATTGATTATATAGTGAAAATGCATTAATTCTTTGAAAATCTTCTTCTCTGCTCCTGGGTATTAAATAAAGGAACTAAGTACATAGTTATGATGAGCAAGAGTGCCTCTTCCAAAATTGTGAAATTCATGGCCCCAGGGTCAGGGGTTCTGGCCCCAGGGTGGGGCTATATAGATCATATAGTGAAAGTGCATAAATTCTTTGAAAATCTTCTTCTCTGCTCCTGGGTATTAAATAAAGGAACTATGTACATAGTTATGATGAGCAAGAGTGCCTCTTCCAAAATTGTGAAATTCATGGCCCCAGGGTCAGGGGTTCTGGTGTTAGGGCGGGGCTGTATTGATTATATAGTGAAAATGCATTAATTCTTTGAAAATCTTCTTCTCTGCTCCTGGGTATTAAATAAAGGAACTAAGTACATAGTTATGATGAGCAAGAGTGCCTCTTCCAAAATTGTGAAATTCATGGCCCCAGGGTCAGGGGTTCTGGTGTTAGGGCGGGGCTGTATTGATTATATAGTGAAAATGCATTAATTCTTTGAAAATCTTCTTCTCTGCTCCTGGGTATTAAATAAAGGAACTAAGTACATAGTTATGATGAGCAAGAGTGCCTCTTCCAAAATTGTGAAATTCATGGCCCCAGGGTCAGGGGTTCTGGTGTTAGGGCGGGGCTCTATAAATTATATAGTGAAAATGCATTAATTCTTTGAAAATCTTCTTCTTTGCTCCTGGGTATTTAATAAAGTAACTAAGTACGTAGTTATGATGAGGAGGTGGGCCTCTTCCAGAATTGTGAAAGCCATGGCCCCTGGGTCAGGGGTTCTGGTGTTAGGGCGGGGCTCTATTGATTATATAGTGAAAATGCTTTAATTTTTTGAAAATCTTCTTCTCTGCTCCTGGGTATTATTTAAACAAACTAAGTGCATGGTTATGATGCATAAGGATGCCTTTTCAAAAATTGTGAATTTCATGGCCCCAGGGTCAGGGGTTCTGGTGTTAGGGTGGGGCTATATTGATTATATAGTGAAAATGCATTGATTCGGTGAAAATCTTCTTCTCTGCTACTGGAGACTATTTAAATGCATAGGGATGCCTTTTCAAAAATTGTGAATTTCATGGCCCCAGGGTCAGGGGTTCTGGTGTTAGGGCGGGGCTCTATTGATTATATAGTGAAAATGCATTGATTCTTTGAAAAACTTCTTCTCTGCTACTGGAGATTATTTAAACAAACTAAGTGCATGATTATGATAGACAAGGATGCCTCTTCCAAAATTTTTAAATATATGGCCTCAGTTTTGGGGGTTCTTGAGGGGGGGGGGGGAGGGGCTAGGGCAACAATGCTTCATCTATCAGTGTATTTAACTTCTAAATTGTTGTATTATACTCAGGTGACCGTTAAGGACCTTGGGCCTCTTGTTTACTTTTACAGACTTTTCATTGAAGTCCTGGTTGAGAGGTAAAGGATTGTCTTCTGGAGTAGACCTCACCCAGTCCGATGCCCGACAGCTGGAGACAGTGACAGGACTCTCTTATTATCTAGAGAATGCCACCCAGTGTAGCAGGTCCAGCAGTGATTACAGGTCCGGTCAGGAGAATGGCTGGAACAATGGTGTGTATGATTGTACTGTTTACATGAACTTCCATTTTACTGGACAGTCATTTGACAGTCATTTCTACCGACACTCTTTATAATATTTGTCAGTTGTAATTTCAATTAATATTCAGGATTTTTTTGTGCAGAAAAACATTTTCAGAGATTAATCAAAATTTCTTAAGTCAAATAGAAATCCAGTATGAGACACAAGGTGTGATACAATGTTGAACGTTATATGATTCAGAGTGTAGAGAAGCCTCCACTCCAGCCCCTCTATCCCCGTCCGTCTCCTGTAGAATCTTGTCAGAGTGTTCCAGCATTGACTGTTGTGTGGATGTCAGCTTCCTGGCTAACCATTCTGTCAACATCCAGCTCCTAATGGATCCCTGTTCCTCTGTACTCAGTTTGAACATTGAGAAGTACCAACACAATATGACTCTGTACAACTACCAGTTTGGCAAGCTGGATAACTTTACACTGCAAGGAATCATAAGAATTGAGTATGTGCTCATGTTGTCATCCATGCAGCAGTGATTTTGAAATTGAAATAAAAAAGACATACTTGTGAAAAATCCTTAACTCTTTTCTTTTTCAGCTTTTTAATTGAGAATTTCCCATTGTCAAGAACTTATGTTGTGAGCTTGAACTTGAGTCTTTGTCTGGAATCCTCTGAGCCTAGTAACTGTGTGTACTCGAAGGTTATTCTGAAAAATGCAGTGCTTCCCAAACAGACCTGTGATTATGCTTTGGAGTATGAAAATCCTGGTGAGTTATTTGTTACATGTATGAGTATGTCTCTCAGAATATATCCTGAAATGATGAAATTTGTTTTGTAGTTGATATTATGTACCGAAATGAATAAGACTGAAGACCTACATGCAACAAAGCAAAAGAACAATAAACCAATGCTCATTGTGTAAATACATTATTGTCATGTTGAAGGACAGATCACTATTTACAATCTGCATTTCTTTTTTAGGGTTCAGTCTGGGAACCTGGCTAACCAGCAAAGGTTATACCATACCTCTAAATGGTGATCAGACTAACTCTCTGATGAGACAGCTAGGGATGGAGGAGTTTGTCAGTCTAACTTGTGACAGAAACAGTTCCTTCTATCAGCCAGATACTACCCCTGGATGGAATGTGGAACCAGGTAAGTTTTGATAATGTTGTGCTTTTTTTTTTCCTAGTGTACTGAAATAAGAAAATTTTTAGATAGGGAAAATAATATACAATTTAACTTGTGCTTTTCTCATAGGCTGCCTGGCTGTTCCAGTAGAACTGTGGGAGAATGACACAAACTGTTACATAGACAGTAACTGTACCACAGTCAGCTGCTGTTTAGATGATGATGTGACTGGCAGGTCTTACCAGATGTCAGTTCAGATCTTGACCTGTGACCAGAAGCTGCTGGTCACACTAGAGAGGAGGACCTTCACCCTACCTTTACTGGACTATGCTGATGGAACCACTCATATCATCAGGCTCTTTGGGGTCCTTATATTGGAGTGAGTTATCAAGTTATCTACTTCATTGCATTAAAGTGATTATAAAATCTAGTGTGCTTTCTCATTAAATCATACCTGAGCAAAGGTTATTTAGACAATGTCAAGGTGTCAGAGTGTAGAAAAGTGTCAAATTGTGCAGATCTCTGAAATGTTTAATTCCAAAAGACAAAACTTTGTATTGGAGGAGCATTGTAGGGGGTCTTGCTTAGTGCAAAGAATGCCATTGTTTAAAAGTTGAAGGCTTATTGAGATGTTATGAACTTCTTTTAGTTGGCATAATTAGAGTAGTAATGATGATTCCCCTACATTACAGATTCAATATAGATGACCTGATATCACTGAACCAGTATGCCATATATATGAGGCTGAAACTTTGCTATGTTCAGGGAATGGCCTGTCAGAAAGACATCAGACTCCTAGAAAATGCCAGGTTTTCCAAAGTGAACTGCACCCAAGATCAGTTTGCCATAAATGGTACAGTATATACTTTTTACTGTAATGTAAATTGTGTAAGATTTTTGATTTTTTCTTATTAAAAATATGTTATGCTTTTCCAGAAGTATGATAATTAAATTACTAAAAAAATTATTTTTATTCTATTAAGGTTTTTCATTGACTCGGTGGTTAAATGACAGCCAGATTTCAGCTGAAGGTGCTTTAGAGGAGTGGGTTGTGGAGCACCTCAAAATGGACCTCAAGCTGTCAGCTCTACTGATGAACCCCTCTTGTAACAGAAGCTCCTACATTGTGGACCAGAACAATTGGGATTTGTCTAGTAATATGCTTTTGGATATTGTGATTAGTTTATTTTGAATTTTGAGAAATTTGGATATAATGTTTCAGAACATTTTGGGTAAACTACACACTAAAACAAATGTTAAAAGTTTATTATACCCCCCGCAAACGAAGTTTAGGGGGGTATATTGGAATCACCATGTTCGTCTGTCTGTAGACAAGATTTTGTCCAGAGCATTTCTCAGAAACTGTTGCATAGATTTGTCTGAAAATTTGTACACTTATTATTCACCATATGAAGGTGTGCACCTGGTATTTTCATCATGATTGAATAATTTTTCTGCATTTTACAGGTGTTTTTTTTTTCATTTTTATTATGTGGTTTTGTCCTGACCTTTTCTCAAAGACTATTTCATAGAATTGTATAAAAATTTGTACACTCATTATTTACCATATGAAGATGTACACCTGGTATTTTCAACATTATTTGATAATTTTTCTGCATTTTACAGGGTTTTTTTTTAATTTGTTTAATTTTATTGACTTAGTCATTTTGAGTTTATTTCTAAGGTTTGAGACACAGAATCTAGAACATCTGTACAAAAATGTGAACTACAGCTTAAAACTATTCATTAAAACAAAAAAAATCACCACGTATTAAGAACAATTTTTACGTTACACAGCAGATAGTGTAAATCCATTTGTCCCTTGGCAGTAATGAGTGGACATCATCCAGTTAGAGATAAATTAATGAGTTCAGTGTGGGAAGTTGTTAGGGCATCTCTTATCAAGCATGTGTTATCTATATCTCCTGGGAATTTAAAGATCTCTGTTCTTTAATTCTCTTAATTGTAATTTATTGTCTGTCATAGTACATAGTTACTGGTGACAGCCATTCATTTTTAAAATGAATCTGATATAAAGTTATCAAGATTGATTTGATTTTGTAATTAATTGATTTTTTTTTCAACAATCAATTTGCAGAATGTCATGTCTCAAAAAGATGACAGATAGTTGCAATTTATTTTTTCAATCTATTAAAAAAAACAATGTAATTACAAAGTATTGGTATTGATGTTTTATTAGGTTGTTCCTTGGTTTCATTCATTAAAAAAAATATAATGAGCAATTATTTTTTCACTCTAAATGTTAATCAGAAAATTGTAAATTAAAAACCTCGTAGATCCATAAAATATTAGTGATGTGGCACCTCTGAAAAACCCAGCGGGGGGTATTTGTCCCTTTTGGACAGTTCTAGTTTGATTTATTAATATGTATGTCTAGGAGAGACCTAATGTAAGCAATGTGCCCACTGCCCAATCCTTAATTGCATTAAACCTTATAAGAAAATGTTTTCATGGTGTCAGAAATATTTTACAGAATGCTCTCAACCAGTGTCACTACCAGCTCTTCCCATCCACACTTCCTGTATGCTGACTTCCTACTGCTCAGGGGTCACCTGTTGTACAGATGCGGCGATGCTGGGGATGACCTTTCAGACAGAGGTCAAGCTAGACAGATGCCAAGGAAAACTGCTCTTGAAAATTGAGAAACAGCAGTCGTCTATTGGACTCCATGAGTTTCACTTCTCTGTTTGGCAAACGTACACTCTTGGAAATGTGTTGAGATTGAGGTGAGCATGCACATTTTAATTTAATTCAAATTCTTAGTAAGTGCAAGTGTTTTTGAAATTATGTAAAGGTGAATAACGCTTCCCTCATGCAAATGGAATATTTCTCAGATTAGAAAGTTTTCTATGAGAAGATGGAAATCAAAATGAAATTCAAGCAAATATAATTTGTTATATTGTGTTAAATTTTTTAAAAAATTGTTCAAGATAAAAAAAAATTTTTATAAGGAACAATTGCAATTTATCAAATGTTACGCGTGGCAGAAGGCTATTTCTTTTTAAAAATGTTCTTATTTTGATATTTAAAAAAAAGAAGCATTTGGTAAACCTTAAATTGAGTGATAATATTTCAGGTACAAAATAGATCATGTGACCTTGGAGAACAAGTACAGATTTAATCTGAACATCAGTGTTTGTTTGGAAACATCAGCAGCATGTTACCTCAACTTCCCTGTAATGACTGATGTTGATATTCCCATTCTTGACTGTGATTTCAAAAATGTGTCCTACCCAATAAAAGGTTTGCTGATAGCAAGGCAGTGCTTAATTTATTTTGTATGTTGAAAGTGTGTACAATTATACATGCACCGGTAGTTAAAGTTTCTTTGTTCATTCATGTTTTGTATCAAAGAAGTAACATACTTACAAGGTAAATGAATTTTTCAGGTTTCAACTTCACAAATTTCCTGATCACTCGAGGACTTCCTCCATCTACCTCAGCATTGTCCTCAGAAGTTTCCCTGCAATTTCTTGAGCATTTGGGAATAGAGACATACTTCAATGAGACTGCATGTGATAGATCCTCATTCACTGGTGCCCTGCCCTCAGGATTTGTGAAAGGTAGGGTTCCCATTCCTAAAGATACACATTTTAAAAATTGGACTTAGTCGTTAGAAAAGGTGTGATCAACATTTCTTAAATGATTAGATAATAAGCCTGGGTCTTAATAAATTTGTATTTATGAAAATTTAGGCTTAATCTTATATTATGCATGAAATTTTTGCTACAGATTCTGGTTGTACTGAAAATATTAACCCTTTTCTGCTGAACCTATCCAACACAAACTGTAGAATTGGTGCCTCTTGCCAGGATTTCCTCTGCTGTTCAGAGATATTAACAATTGGAAGAACTTTGGGTTATGATTTTAGTGTTGATCCTTGTTCTCACACTCTAAATATTGGCATTGAAGATTTTCACTATCAAAGATCACTGGTCAACTTTGAGTATGGAGTCACTCAAACATTCACTATTGGCCAGATCTTCATTTTAGAGTAAGCAAATTTTTTACTTAACAAAATACATTGATGTTATTTTAAGTATACAGAGCAGTAAATATACCAAAGAAAAATTCTGATATTAAAATTTGCAACTTATGAATAATAGTGTTTGTATTACAGTTGTAATTAAGTTGGTCTTTATCAGTTAACATGTACCTTAATTGACCTTCAGATACAAGGTGACAGACTTGACAGGACAGAGACAGTTTCTGATTGACCTGAAGGTCAGTGCCTGCTTTGATGATGGTCAAGCCTGTCAACAGGTCATACCTATCCTCAAAAACTATCTGGTTACAAAACCACAGTGTGCCTGGTACACAGGATTTATAGAACTGGGTAAGAAAAAAATCTCTATTAGGATATGACTAAAAGGAATCAACTTGATACTAAAAAGTCAGTGTAATCTTCTGTTTAATTTACGGCACTTCAAAAAAGTTTAGGTAATTAATTTAGATTATATGATATTTTCACTTATTTTCATGTTCCTTGTTAAAAGAATGTGATTACAAAGTGTGTCATTAAAATCAATCTTTTTACCCAATCAGGCTTCTCCTACACCAGCTGGCAGAGTTCTCATGGACTAACAGGTACCACTGTCCTACAGCATAGTGATGTAGCGAGTCTTCTCAGCACTCTCGGAGTCTCAAAGTACATGAAGTCTCCTTCATGTAATGGAATGACTGGGGACTATGAAAACTCTTATCAGGGTTGGAGGTCATGTAAGTTGTGTTGAAGATATATGATGCAAGCCACAACAGTAGATACATATTTTTATATTTAAATGGTCCATTGTTCATTTAGGATTTACACAAAAACTTTGATACAAATCATGTACCAGAAGAAGAAATATATGCTAAAAGTGTGTTATATTCTATTTCAGTGTGTCCAAATGATGAGGGAACAAACAGACCACTGATGAACAGCAGTTTGTCCACGTGCATCCTTTCTAAGACTTGTACAGGAGTGAAGTGTTGTATTAGTGTGCCCAGACTAAGTCTTTCTGTGGAAGCCTATGTAGAGGTTAACCCCTGTAACCAAACACTGCAAGTGGGAATAGAGAATTTACGATTCAATCAGAGTCTGTATGGTTACAAGTTTGGAGAACATGAACAGTTTGATCTTTATGGATTCGTAGTCATTGAGTAAGTTAACTTGATAATATTCATTACAAATTTTCTTGTTATCCACATAGTTTTTTTTTTCCTTCATTAAATACTACTCTTTTTTTGCAGTTTCGTGATAGTTGACTTGTCATTTGGAGGGAAACATGGTCAGTACCTGGTCAATGTGAACATGAGTATCTGCTTTGAGGCTGCACAGCCATGTGACACTGTAGTTTCTGTGTTCAAGGATTCACTTTTAAACAAAGAAGACTGCAACAGGAAAAAGGACTTCTTAGATTCAGGTCAGTATCACAATAATTCACCCACCAGGTGACAAGTACTGCATAAAGATTGTTTTATTCATATGATACACATGTATTTAGGATTTTCCCTTGCCACATGGAAATCTCAACATGGCATAACTGGCAGTGGACCACTGGATGTACACAATGTGAAGCTCTTACTACAGGACCTGGGGGTGGCATCTTTTGTGAGGGAACCCTCAGACAGGTGTGACTGGACTTCTCCAACCTTCTCTGGTGCCAATGCTGATGGGTGGACTGATGGTAATTCTCTGTTCTTCTCTACTTATGAATGATTTTTTTCTCCATCTGTCTTTCTGTATGATAACAGAGAGAGTACTTATGGAGAGGAATTATATAGGCAGTGCCTGCTGTCCAATCCTTTTATGTTTCATTCATGATAAAATATGCTTAAATCAAATTAGAGAGAGTACTCAAATATATACATCAACAGTTTTTCATTCACCATTAAAACTTTATATATCCTTTGAATAGCAATTATATTCTGTTGTATTCTGTCATGTTAGGCTGTAACACAACAACTGAAGGTTTGTCTCCCCTTGGTGACAAGGTGCGCTGTTCCATCTCCTCATCCTGTATAGATGTACACTGTTGTTTGAGATCTGACGCACTACAGGAAATGTTTGATGCCTATATCTACCTGGACACCTGTAGCAGTAAGGTGACAGTAGGTATAGAAAAGCTCCAATGGAATGATACACTGGTCGACTATCAGTTTGGAACCTCTATGCATGTGTCTCTTCTTGGCTTGATCAATCTTGAGTAAGTTATTTTTTATGGATTGTGAATTTGTTCTGTGCCAGTTTGTGTTTCTTGTAATGCCTGGTTTTCTTGAACATTATTGCTATTCATGTATAGTAACTGTTTTAAGTGTCAGTGAGACTCCAGATGTAAATCACAAGCCTCGGTAAATAACAAATCAGTTATTTAGTGGACCTTTAATTCAATCAGTAATGGTCTTAATCTTCATTTCATAGCTACATTATCACAGACTTGGTGAGTGAAAATGTGTATGGAGTTAGATTCAACTTGAGCATATGTCTGAACTCCAGTGGGCCCTGTGAGGTACATGTAGAGGTATTTGACGAACATCGTCTCAACAAACCTACATGCAACTGGACAAGAGGCTTTGCTATTGATGGTAATAAAGTATTATGATAAGACCACTTGCTCCTTCATAACCTCTCCATTTAGGCAGAAAATGAGGCTTGACAATGTGAGGGTAACAGAGGTATAGCAATAGTGACAGTGCTTAAGTGTAGGAACACATGGGAGCATTGTAGAAAAGGAGAAGGTGCTACAATACGAGGAAATGGGAAGGGCAAGATCAGTATTGCCATCATATTATTGCATTGTGGATGCTTTGCATTGTTGCCTTTTTAATGTCATTCCCTCTTCTTCTTGCCCTTGTTTCTTATCGTAAAGGACCTTAATAGTATGTGGTAATTTGAGCATTTTTATATTTTCTCTTTTGCTATCTCAAAATGATCTGACTAAAGATATGGAACTTGTATTTTTTAAGAAAAAGGTATGCCAAGACAAATATGTAATAAATGTACATGTATTTGATAGGTTTCTCTCTGGAGTCCTGGCTGTTGACTAAGGGTTACACAGATTCAGCTGATCTACCTAACTATGTTGTATCAGAGCTGCTGCATGACCTGGACATTGCACCATTTCTAACTGACACTAGTTGCAACAGGAAATCTATTCCATTTTACCCAAACACTGATGGATGGAACAAAGGTGATTCATAAATAACTTTGTAAATAATTTTTTCTATGACAACTCAGACTGAATATAACTTGGTTCCAGCTGCTCAATTTGAATAAGAATTTTACAAACCAGTCTCATTTATATAAGATTTTACTAATTTCAGCCTGTGATGAGTATGTGGCCCTGAGTCCCATTGCCTTGAACACCACCTGTCATGTTTTTGACTTCTGTACGGGTGTAAGGTGCTGCTCAGACGTGGGATTTATCCGTAGATCTCTGCACAGTTTCCTCATCATCGATCACTGTAACTACAAACTGGCCGTAGGTATAGAGAAGATGATAGTCAATACCAGTCTACACTCTTATGTCTATGGCACTACCCAGACTGTCATGTTAAATGGAGTTGTCAGGCTACAGTAAGTCATTTCCTTTATTGTCATGCAATGATGATACCTACAAAGATGTTATCTGAGGCAGATAACTGGTATACTTGCCATCTTTGATAAAAGTTTTGAAAGGGCTGTTTTTAACAGTGAACTCCTTTAAATGTTTCTATCAAAAAAGTGTTTTGAAGTGTTAGTCGATATTTATACAATATGTATATTTTGACTAGGTACTCCATAAATGATTTCCCCAATGAGAACAAGTTCCAGGTGAATGTCAGTCTGAAGATCTGTTTTGAGAGCAGTAAACCCTGCCTGTTAGAAATCCCTGTGTTCTCAAACACTAAGCTTCCAAAGAAGGTGTGTGACTGGACCACAGACTTCCTTCATCCAAGTAAGTACATGTTTATTGAAGCATTCATTAAACAAATGTCTTATTTATGGGCTTCAGGAAGTGTCATTTCTTTCTTAGCAATCTTTTTCATTGAGAATCTTAATTTAAATAGCAGCTACTTTACTGTTCATTATAAACAGAAATTAATTTTGTTCAGAAATATCATGTTCATGATCCATGGATGTCATTGGATAGAAATTGAAATTGCTTAAAATTTTTGTTGTACACCAGCGTTCTCCTTCACTGCATGGAAAGAGGAGAGAAAAATCACAGGGACAGGTCTGTCTGACAATTTCCTGGCAGAGCTAATGGATGACCTTGGACTGTCATCATTTATTCTGGGGAAGGACAAGAAATGTAGTGATACCAAAGCACCATTTACTCCTGCAGTGGATGATTGGAATAATGGTGAGAGAAGAAAAAAATAATCTATCAAATTTCTTGTTGTACCAAACACCAGTATACAGATCTCTGATTTTATATTCAGTGTAAAAGTTAAGTTTGTGTTCATTGAGAAAGTCCATCATTCTCTTTGTTTTTGATATTCAGGAATGTGATAACTGATAAGATTGACAATGTAAGTCATTCTGAATAAGAGAGCACGCATGTCTTTTTTTTTCTACAGAGTGTACCCAATCCCTCAAGTCAGCCCTGCCATCTCTGTCTGGCCAGCCTATCACCTGTCATATTGACTCCTCCTGTGGTGGTCTCCAGTGTTGTATAGATGTGGCTTCCCTCAGCACCACCTTTATCACCAGACTGGAGGTGGACCCCTGTAATTATAAGATGACTGTGGGCATTGAGAAACTCACCTTTTCAAAAGACCTGTTTGACTATGAGTGGGGACAGCAGGAAGAAATATGGATGTTTGGGGTGGTCAGAATGAAGTAAGTTTATAGTGCATGCAATATTTTTGCAAACATGTATATTTACTATAATATGATGTTAATATTCCCTTTCTTTTGTCACAGTTCCCCCAATAACCTTGTATCAAACATGAGTAATCTTTGCACTGCCCATCTTTTTTAGTATATTTTGATTAAGAAAGAAGTAATGACTAGGATAAAATGTTTTCTTTATTATTTAGATTCACTTTGTACGATCTGTACATAGAGGGGTACATCCTGATTGATATGAAGGTAGAGGTGTGCCTGGAAGCCAGCAAGGTAGATAACTGTGACCTGTCTATCATTGTCCTGAAAAACTACTACCTCCCAAAACCAAACTGTAGTGGGGATCCTGGCTTTGTCACTCCAGGTAAGTCATCATAAAGCATTAATTTTGAAGAGTTAACTGAAGAAATACTGTATGATTGTTTATGCTTTATTAACTAGGAAATAGTTTTTCCATATACATGTAATGTAGAAGAAAAAAGGAATTTTTCATCAACATGTACATTCATTTTCTATATTTTAATTTATAATTCAGACATTTTAATATTAAAGTGACAATCTAACTGCTAATAAACCATGATATTACATACTATCTATAATGATGTAGACAGTTTTCATTTGAAGTTAGTAAGTAACAGTGATTTAATTTTGCAAAAACAACTTTAAGTTTCTGGGAGTTTGTCACTTCTCACATTTATTGCAGGCTTCAACATCTCTAGCTGGTTGGCTGGTCAGGGATTGTCCTATACCCAGCCTCTAGACAGCCCTGTTGTGGACAACCTAATGTCTGACCTCTCTCTGGCTCAGTTTCAGCTCGAGCCATCCTGCTCCTGGACAAGTGACCAGTACAGTGATGTGGCATCCAAATGGACCCAGTGTAAGAAAACCTTGACAATTTAAAACAAAAAAAATTTTCCAAAGACATTTACCATCATTGCTTTGTTGATGTAATTTCACTGAGATCAGTTATGTTTGTTGCATTCCATATTCTTTATGAAATAGTTGTGTCTCAGTAAGATTTATATCCATTGCATTTCCTTCGTGAAAATTTATAGAATTATTATACATTTCAGACTGTCCACCTAGTGTACGGACTTCCCTGTCTGCTGTGACTGACCGTGCCCTCTGTATTGTGTCCCCCTCCTGTACCAACATCACATGTTGTGTCCTTGTCCCCCTCCTGAACAGGACCTTTGAGGTACAGCTGTCCTTAGACCAGTCCTACAGTGAGATGAGGACACATGTAGAAAAGATTTCAAGGAGACAGTCTCTGATTGGGTACAACTTTGGGACACAGGAAATCCTGAGTGTTAAAGGAGTTTACAAATTACTGTAAGTTAAACAGATTTTGTTCAATTTGATTCATATACATGGATAAAAACCAAAAGATTAAGACAATTGATGGACTGATTAGGTGTACCCATTTTAATGAGTTTGTATCATGCATTATCCACTGAAATATTGCAGATACAAGGTGAGTGATCTAGTGGATGGTAACATGTTTGATGTGTCCATGACTGCCCAGGCCTGTTTTGTGGATGGAGGAGACTGTGAATTAAATCTTCCCATTTTGACCAATGCTCTGATACCAAAGATGAATAGAATGTGGAATACAACATATGCATTTAGAGGTATTGAATTGAAAGGATCTTTTAATTCTTTTCTTTTCTTCCATCAATTACATTAAATTTGTATGAACTTTAAGTACTCATGATTTCAGGATATTGTTATTGTTCTAGACAATGAAAAGTATTCAAACTCTTATTTCTTATTCAACACTAAGAGTTAAGACAAGCATGTCTATAGAAAAGAACAATGAGCATCTTTGATATTATTGCATATAAGATTTTATATATGCTGCCCTGCAATAGGTGGATATTTAATATTATTATTATACCTCATAATGATTATTCTATACAACGCGTTATCTGATTGGTTCTAGAATATCACGTGACAGGGCCATCAAATTTCATATTTCCCTGTCGTCGTCATGCTTTTCATCATATTCAACCTCTTCGGAGACCTAGTGCATTTTCCCTCAATAGTTATCGTTCGTTGAACGAAAACTCCCGAGAGTAGTAGACATCACAATAACCTGATTCACGTCACAAAATTGGTGTTGGACTTCTGTAAATTGTTTCAGTAACATTACGTTAAAATTGAAAGTGAATTTAAGAGCGGTGCCAAATTGGAGAGTTTATGTTTACTTTTAAAGTTTCTGCTTGTTTCGGTATAATAACCAATTCATGGCATGAATGTTCGGGAAACATGAAGATTTATTCAGCCAAGAAATATCTTATTCCCCTCGGTCGAAGCCCTTGGGGAATGTGATTTTTCTTGGCTAAGTAAATCTTCATATTTCCCTCATGATCATGCAATAAATGTATAATATTCTTTTTTTTTGTTTTAGATTTCTCCCTGTCTCAGTGGCTGACAGAGAAGTCAGTAATAGCTGGCTCTGTTCTTCAGCCCTATCATGTCAGTGAGCTGTTTGAGAAACTTTCCATAATAGCCTACAAAAAGACACCATCTTGTAGCAGAAATGAATCAGTATATTCTTCTCCTGATGGCAAGGGTTGGATTAATGGTAGGTCATCAATGAGCTGGAATTTGCTAGGTTGTTCTATACAAATTGAATTGTTAATCAAAATATCATGTATACAAAAAATGAGAGAATTTACATGTATGATTTAAAAGGAAATAATGTTTTAAAGTCTTTAAAACATTATATTGTAGATTGTACAACAGTGGATGATATGCTGACCTTGACCTCCTACCCTTTGACCTGTAACCTGGACAGTACCTGTAATAAAGTCTCTTGTTGTGTGGATTCAGACTTCACTAACTCAACTTTTGAGATTGTCTTTGACTTCAACAGATGCACAAGAATGTTGAATCTACAGATAGAAGACTTAACAGTGCAGATTCCTTACTCTGAAATTCAATGGGGTAAGATGTAGACAGTTGCACTATAAACTTTAAATTTGTGGAGACATATTTAAGTTTATAAACATATTCTATCATTATGTACTGACAATGCATTTCAAGTGAAGCTTTCATGTAATATCATTACAATTGTATTATAGAGAGACCATCACAGTTTTATCTCAACAGTGTTGTCAGACTTGAGTAAGTGGATTTTTATTACAGAAGTTTGTGATTTGATGGAAATTTGATAAGGAACAAAAATGAGAATGCTGTTTTTTGTTTTAGTTACACACTCTATGACCTGTATGCAGAAAACTTCTACTTGGTGGATTTAAAGCTATCCATGTGCTGGGAATCATATGAACCATGTGAATTTGAAGCCCAATTATTTAAGAACAAAATGCTTCCAAAAAGACCTTGTCCTGGAAACATGACATTTGAACACCCAGGCAAGATACTTTTAATTGTGTCTTAATTATCCTGTATAAATATGATCTTGTCTTTGTGCAGTTTTAGTATCCTGATCTTATCTAAGGGTTACTGCTTTTTAAATATTTATTAATTTATTAGTTCTTTTATGTGTCAATGAAATATGCTACAAATTTAATTTAAATTCATGTTTCTTAGGATTCTCACTGAGCACTTATGCCACCACCAATGGCCTTGACCAGAACAACCTCCAGGGAAATGACCTTGCTTACCTGTACAATTACCTGGGAATTTCTAGTCACCTGGATACTCCCAGTTGTAACAGGAGTGACGACAAGTACACACCTGGAACCAATGGCTGGAAGAGTGGTGAGTAATGCAGTACATGTAATGTGCATGTAGTTTTATTGGGAGAAAGAAATTGTGAGACTGAAACTAACATTTCTTGTCCAGATATCAATGGAAGTATTATTTCCTGTTCTTACAGCATGTCCTGTGGATCTATCATCCTTTTTACCATCTTTGGCCTCCAATATGAACTGTCACATAACATCTACCTGTACCAAGATAGAATGCTGCATTGAAGTTGACAAATTTGATTCTCGGCCACTGAACTTTTATTTTGACTTGGATAATTGTGATTGGATGATTAGCTATGGAATGGACAGTTTCGTGATGAAGCCAACAGTTTTACTTGATTTTGAATTTGATGTTTGGCATGAATTTTGGATGAAGGGTGTTTTGAGAATGAAGTTAGTCATTTTTATTTTAAATTCTATGCAATTTAAGTCCACTGTAGAGTTAAATGCAAGGTCATGCATAATAACATGTTATTCCTTCATAGGTTTATGGTAACAGATTTACCAGGAGCAAACCAGTTTAGAGTTAGTTTGACATTCAGTATATGCTTTGAAGATGGATCAGTTTGTGAACAGGAGCAAGTTATTTTCACCAATGCTTTATTGCCCAGACAGACTTGTGACTTCAACATCGGAACCCCAATAACAAGTAAGAAAGATTATGCCTGCAGAATGTGTTGTGAGATTTCAAATGAGTTACAAGTTTCAGAGTAAGGTAATTTTTAGAAGGATAAATGCTTAATAAAATGTAACCTGTATAGATTTCACCTTCACTGACTGGAAGAGAGAGAAAGGCTACACAGCCATGGAGGGGTTCAGCATTGCTAAGCTAGAGGAAGAACTAGGACTGTATGGTTATCTACAGAATGCCACATCTATCTGTAACAGAACAATAGGAATATTTGCTAACTCCACAAATGGATGGAAAAATGGTAAAATACTGCTAATCCAGTAGACTCTTCCCATTGTTTAATTGAGAATTTAATACACATAATATAAAACTTATCACCCTCTGCAATTTTTAAAGATATGGCTATGGTTTCATTTTGAGTTCTATTAGGAAAATACTTTTTTCAAAGCAACAGATTTATTATGTATTGATGTATTTATGTACTTACCCTTTTGGCATTCATGCAGATTGCCCAATCCCTGTATTTGGATCTCTACCTTATATTGATGGCCCCATCACCTGTAACCTGGGCCCCACCTGTACTTCCCTCACCTGTTGTGTCCAGACAGAGCCCCTGTCCAGACATCTGACCTTGTCATTAGAACTGAGTCACTGTGAGGACAAGATGACCATCACAATGGATAAATACACACAGCAGATTAAGATCAGCCAGTATCAACACTGGGGTATGACTTTTGCAGCATAAAATTGCAGCATAAAATTATCAAAGTTTAATGATCCTGATCTGAAATTATTTACAATTAATGTGATCTTTTTATTGTTGTAGGCACCACACAGGTTCTGGATGTCAGTAATGTTGTAAAACTAAGGTATGATAGTCGACATGTGTGTTTAATATAAATTTCAGAAACTCAGTTTCTACCAACCATACTACAGTAAAACATACTTATAGCAAACACGCTTATGATGAATTGATGCTTACAGCAATGAGATTTTCATTCTATGTGGCTTTAAGATATATTATGAACTTAATGTTTATAACAAAGCAAAATTGTCCATCCCTGGCACTTCATAAGCATGTTTTACTGTAATATGTAATCATACAGAAATATATTTTGTCATAAGCAATCTTAAAATTGCATTCCTTACCCTTACCTGTTTAGTTTTAACCTGGAGAATCTTGAGAGTGAGAACACATTCCTGATCAGTTCCTCCATCACTGCCTGCTGGGAAGGACCAAGCAGTTGTCAGAGTTATCCCCTCTTTACCAATGTCAGACTGCCAAAATACACAGGCCTGCATGAGTGTGACTGGAAAGCTGAGTTCATTCAGTCAGGTAACAAATGTTTTTAACTAGATTTCGAGAACACTCTTATGTCATGTTGCACAAGAGTAATATTCCCTTGCAAACAAAGTTGCATGAATAGAGACTTTTCTGTAATTGCAACCCACAAAAGCTGTATTAAGCAACTGTAACACCAGGCTGGGTTATGCCTACATACTGGTGGGATTTTGAAAGGAATAGTTGTTGAAGGTATAAATTCAATGTACAGTCAAAAAATATGAAACAATACAAAACTGTTGATGTCAGGATGAATGCCCTAAGTGCTTTACCTTGTTTGAATGTGTTTGGGAGGAATTTCGGTTATCACATAGACACTTTTGTTTGTAACATGAGAAGGATGCATGATATGAAATCACAAGATTAATGTAAATTTTTAAACATTTCTTACATTTTTTATGACAGACTTTGTTATTTTTACAGATTTCTCATTAACTAATTGGTTAACTACCAATAGCTACACTGACAGCACACCCCTGTCCACTGTCACACAACAGAACCTGATGAAGTACCTCCAAACGGCTTATTACAAGGACCCTGACTGTGATGTAGCAGGTGCCCCCTACATTCCAGCTAACCCAGACAGGTGGAACACAAGTAAGGGGTGCTAGTCTGTTGGGATTTAAAGTCCAGAAGTCATCAAAGAAAATATCTTAAAGATTCAATGAATGATGGAAGTTATTTCAATGATGGAGATTATGTTATGTTTTAAGATGCTTAATATCCTAGGGATTTTGCTAATTTTGTTTAGTTTCTTAATGATATGGATAGTTTGAACTTTCACCTAATGAGTTACAATGTATTTCTATGTACAGCTTGCTCTACCAGTACAGACCTTCCCACACTTCCTAGTACAATGTCCTGTCATCTTCCTGACATCTGTACAGGAGTGGACTGCTGTGTGTCCAGTACCAAACTGGGCAGGACATTCAAAACATTCTTGGACATTGACCCATGTATATCCAAGATCACTGTAGGCATTGATAGCTGGAGGTTTACAGAGACCCAGAGAAATTTATCAACAGGTAAAGATGTCTTCTAAATGATGATGACTTGTTTTCTGTGCTGTACTTGACAAAACATTTTTACAGATTAAAAATCAGTTTTTATGTAATCCTAAATGCCCTATACTTCTAGGTTTGACCAAGAGCATATGGTTACAGGGCATAGTAGGAATGGAGTAAGTGATTCTTTTATTTTCAAAACTATTTATTTAAAAATTGACTATATATATATATATATATATATATATATATATATATATATATATATATATATATATATATATATATATATATATATATATATATATATATACACAGGTAAACTTCGGTATCTCGACATCGGATATGTCGACAACCTGGGATATGTCGACGTCCTTTCGCGGTCCCGGCAGTATTTACTATATAAATGATTTGCAAAAACTCTGATATGTCGACCTCGGTAATGTCCACAACCCGGGTTATCTCGACGTATATACACAGTCCCAAGAGCAAAATTTACCTGGTATGTGTCGACATCGGCAATTTTCTGCTCTACTGAATCTAACTGTTTGTCAGATAGGATCGCTCGTCACGCATGGACGACTCCAGGTATCTCGACGTCGTCAAAATTTCACACCTTTCACACCCATGTTTTGACTGCATGCTGCTTAATTAATTCTATAGACTGTTTGTAGGTGAATCCTAAGCCCCTCGGCGTCTTTGAGAAGTTTATTGCTTAATGTTCAGCTTGGGTAATATCACTGCTAAATCTACACGATTCTGCGTAAATGGACAGACGGTTATTTTTATCGAAACCTAACATAACTTTTAAATTTGAAAAAGGTAACTAAATTAAAATGAATAACAAACACACTGAATAATTCAAACTAAGGAATTAAAAGATGTTTTAATGATATTTTGTAGTTAAAATGTATTCAACAGGAAACAATCCAATTAACGACACGATTGACCGAATCAGCCGTAATTCATTCATTTGAAACAACACTACGTCAGTTTAGATACACAAAGATACACAAATCTCTTTTTAAAAAATGAATTTTAAGGTACATTCTTCCTGAAAGAAATAAGAAAAAAAATAATCCGTATTTAATTTTTTTTCCGTATATCGGATGTCAACTTTATATGGTTCGAAGTTTATAGAGCGCCTTTCGTATCCTGTTCTGACGAAAAGGAAAGTTACACGCGAATGCTGTAACTTTGTGCTGAAACTTTGTGATTTAGAAAGATTTTGATAAAGAACACGTTAAATTATAAACAAGAATTTTAAAATAACTTCTTAGATTTTTAATAAAAATGGAGGGAATTCTGAAATATGTTGAGCTACAGTCTACATGTATATTGAAGTCTTTTGCTATGCAGTGAAATCTTGGACGTCAAGTCTCAACTCTGATATTTCGACACCTCTGATATCTCGACATTTTCCAATGGTCCCGTGGATGTCGAGATAACGAAGTTTACCTGTATATATATATATATATATATATATATATATATATATATATATATATATATATATATATATATATATATATAACTGACTAAAATAAATGGAGGTTATTAAGATACATTTATATTGTACAAATGTATATGTAACGTACATGTATCTAATTGTTATGTAGCTTTGATGTGGAGACCCTTTGGAGTGACCAGATGTACATAGCAAACTTGAAGGTCAGCATTTGTTTAAATAGTGGTGGACCTTGTGAAATCAGCAACCAGACTGTGTTTAGTAACAGCCTTCTAGCCTTCAGACACTGCAACTGGGCCCAGGCTTTACCTAGTGGTAAGAATTGCATAAATATTGGATGCATTGGTTTTTACATGTTACTGTGGAATCATCATTGTTCGTGGGGGATCAATGTTCGTGGATTTCGTGGGTGACCCTTACCCACGAATTTACATCGCCACGAACAATTATTTTGTCAACGTACTAATTAATTAAATCTACCAAATAAACGAGCTGCCCACAAAATTACATCCCCACGAATCAATAAAATTTTGCTTGCCCACGAACATTGACCCCCACGAATTTAAATGATTCCACAGTATCTATTTCATTTTAAAAATTCTGACATTTTCAGCTGCAAGAGGATACAGTAACTGGCCTATTTGTCCTTCTTAACCACTGTTGTTGACACATTACAAAAAAAAAAACATGCAGTTTTATACTTACTGCAAATAGAAAGGAAGCTTGAGAAATAATCCTCATGGTTTAAGGCCAAAAGGTCAAAATTCAAAATTTAAAAGGTACTATTTGACTCTTCAGTCCCATATTTGTTACAGAGAATCTTGGTAGCCAGAGGATAAAGTCATTTGATTATAGAGTCAAAAAATCAAAGATCAAAGTAAAGGTACTGATAGTCATGAAAAATATTGGGTACACAGTGCAGGAAGTACCTTGTGTTAGTCTTTTGGTATAGTTGCATTTACTAAATTACCAGTTAGAAGAAACTTGATTTTAGGGTCAAAGTTAAGATATCTAGGTCAAGGTTAGTGACAGGTATTGACAATGTTGTGAACACCATATCAACTCAATATTTTAGAAAATGTCTTCCTTGAATGAAAAGATTACAGAAAAATGCTCTTCTTTCCAATGCCATTGATCTAATAGATGTTTCAGCTTTCTCCATCTGAAATTAATGATACTTTTTAAGTAATTGATTTTTCTTTAATATTCATATTACTGTAAACCAACTTTTATATCGCGAGCGAGAAATATTAGCGAATTTAACGACCTTCTTTTGCTTGCAAATATTTATCGTCGCGAACAAATTATTAACCTTTGTATTTATGTAGAATTTTGTGAAAATTAATAGTTGCAGATGGATTCTTAACTGAAGAATTGCAAATAAAAGAAGTTGCGAATAATAGTTGGTTTACAGTATATTGTGGAAGCTTAAAGAGGCCAAATGAAGGGATCTCACTTGGCTTGTACAATTTTTTTCTTTTTTACAGGGTTTTCTTTAAGCTCTTGGAAATCCAGTAACAATTTCTCTGTCAGTGACCCCCTGCCAGAGTATGCTGTAGCGAGAGTAATGGACCTGTTAGACCTATGGAGGTATCGTAAATCTACAACTTGTCAGAGGCCACAACCCCCATATTCTCCTACATACATTGGATTTGTACAGGGTATATATGAAGTTGGTCTTGTAAAATGAGATAATATCAGTTGTATATTTTATATATTTGAATTGTGTATATTAAAATTTTTTCATATTTTTCATTCTTCTGTAATCATTGTTTAGTCACTTTTTGTAAATCTAGGTAAAATCACAATAAACATTTTAATGTTATTTTGTTGAATTTATTTATTTAACTGAAAGAAGGTTTTTGGGATTTCTTTGAATAGTGGGGTTTGTATTTAATCTACAGTAGTTGTGTATGTGTTTAGTTTTAACCATTAAGTTGCAAAGTGTGAACTATCTTTGTTTTAAACAGAGCCACCCTGTAATGTACCAGGACTGCCCTACAATCTTCAGAAGAAGACCTACTGTGTGGTACAATCTACATGTACTGCCATCTCCTGCTGTACAGATGACCCAGATATGGATAAGACCTTCACCTGGTACATTGACCTCGATGTTTGTAACCATGTCCTAAAGATGGGCATTGAGGAATACACGGCTCAGTTCTCACTGCTTAATTTCCCATTCAGTAAGTTGGTCTCACAATTTTACACCTTCAGGTGAAAAATTGTTTAATTTATGTTTTAGTTGATCAAGTTTATAACTGGAAAATTCCTTCATTTCAGGAAAAATGCAAAGCTATGTACTTTCTGGGGTATACAAAATAAGGTATCTTTTGCAATATTAATGGACTGAATTGAAAGTCATTTGTACAGCTCTTTCATTGCTATCATCATCTCACTAACTTTCCAATTTTGAAATTTCGTACACCAGTTTTTCTCATGCTAGATTAATGTAATGTTTTGTTGAATTACAGCTATATCATCTATGACCTGAGTGGAGTAGGGGAGTATATGATGAGTGCTGATGTCTCTGTATGCTATGAACCCAGTAGTTGTGTTTTTACAGACATTATATTGATTGATGTGCGGTTTCCCAAACCCACCTGTAACTACAAGTCCACAGATTTTCACATCTCGGGTATTTATTAAAAGATTTTTCTGAGGATAAATCATGAGAAGTAAAGAAAAATCTGTTCTGTTTTAAAGCTTCAGTGTTTACTATGTAGGATTTTCCTTGACGACTTGGTTGTCTGATAATGGTCTCCCTGGAGGAACTCTGCCTAATTATGCTGCCAGGAAACTCCTGAAGGATCTGGATATAGCCATGTACATGAATGAGACCTCATGTAGCTCTGGCACAGGTGTCTATTCTGGTCTTGTTGATGGTTGGAACAAAGGCAAGTCTTTTGTTGTTGAAAAGCATTATATTATTCTTGTTGATTTTAAAATACATTATGCTTCAGAAAACATAAAGAACATACCTGTTTACTCATTTTAGTCACTAGCATCAGAACCAAGTGAAAATCAAAGGCATAATTACTTTTAGTTTTCTTAGGTAAACTTTTGTTTTATCCATTGCAAATAAGGGTCTTAACATGGCCCTTCCAATGCCTTATCTTTAGTCCTGTGTTTATTTCTTTTCTCGAAAATTCTTTACAGAATGTGGTACATCAGTAACAACAGACCCTCTGCCATCCGGCATTGTGTGCCACATTCCGTCCTCCTGTACCACGGTGCAGTGCTGTGTAGATGCCACCACACCACTGGGACGGTCATTTACCACTGTCCTAGATCTGGACCCCTGTAGCCACCAGCTCACACTGGGAATTGAGAACTTTGTGCACACTTTTTCTCTGCTGGATTTCAAGTTTGGTATGTTATCGATGCTTTTATCTGAATTCATATAATTATAATAAAAACAATGAATACAACATCTGAACTTGATCTAGATCTTATGTTTGCTTCTTAAAGTATTGTTGCCTCTTAAATGTTTGTATTTTTTCACTGAAATAAGAACTGGATGTTTTAAACTACATGTATATTCTATGATTTTAGATGAGATACAACATTTTTACCTGAAGAATGTTGTCAGAATGATGTAAGTTTTTGTTGTTTTTTTTGAATGGACATTACTGATGTAATTTCATGAATATTTAATTGAAAAATGGCACTTGGCACTGAGTTTAAATGTATGTGACGCAAATAAAAAAAGGTTGAGTAACTGTTATTTTTGTATACTTCAGGTATTCCATCTATGACTTGGAGAGTGATGGCATGTATATAGTGGATCTTAACATCAGTCTGTGCTTTGAGTCTGCTTCTGCTTGTTCTCTGGATGTAGAAGTCTTTAAACAGACAGTCCTGAAGAAAAGATCTTGTCCCAAATACAAAGGGTTCCTGGATCCAAGTAAGCCAAACACTTGTCCTTAGAATTAGAATCTTTCATTGGCAACTTTAAGATCTGCGTATGTCAGGTGTAATGATACATGTATAATCAAAATTCATACATGTAAACAATACAAAAAAATTATGATAAATGGAAAGTTTAATAGGTGATGTCAACTTTTCTGAGTCACAGTAATAGATTTTGCCCTTATCATTTTAGACTTTTCCCTGACTGTTTGGAAACAGGACAATGGAGCAAATGGCACTACATTGACAACAGCACAGATAGTGGTTCTACAGGAGGACCTGGGACTGTCCAGGTACTTCCTGGACACTCATTGTTCTAGGCAGTCCTCACTGTACAACCCCCACATAGACTACTGGAAAAATGGTAAGGATGTTTCAGTATCAGAAATTGTATTAATTTTTTGCTTTTTAATGGAAAATGTGTCGCCCCATATTCTTTGATGGATAAGATTTATAGCTTTGGTATTAAGTATTTACATTGCTTGTAAAAAGACCTTTTACAGACTATTAGACTTATAGTCTAGTTGGCCTACAAACCAACTTGACCTACAAATTTCTTTGAACAGCATCAGTTTTGAATTACTGACACATCTTTGAACTGTAAGAGACAGGCTTTGATATTTAGCCTTTTAATACTCCTTTCATAAAATATTGTTTTACAGACTTTATTACAATGAACTTAGACCTTTAACTACATCTTTGGGTAGGGTGCCAGATGTCTATAGTTAAATTTTCAGTAGGTTTACTTACGTTTCAGATTGTGGCTCTTCAGCAACAGGAATCAGTCAGTTCACCTCTGCTGATAACATCAACTGTCACCTGGCATTGAATTGTACGACCTTGACCTGCTGTATGGAGGACACCATCACAAGGACAGACATAGAGGTCAGGGCATCAATGGATCCCTGCACCTTCAGTCTGAAACTGAGAATAGAGAAGATGGCCACTGACATTTCCCTGTTGAATTACACTTGGGGTTTGTTAATTTATCTATGCTGTGTCATTTTACATTTTGGTTACAGTGTACATGTACATATTCATAATTATGAGTAACTATGCAAAAGATAATTAATGTACAATAAAATTGAATTAATTTGTTTTTAGGGGATCTTGAGAGGGTGGATCTGTATGGGGTGTATGTTATCAGGTAAAATATTTTTTATTGTTGTTATCTGTATTAATTGATTAGAAATTAAAATCCTTGTGCTCAGTAGTAATGACATTACAATTCTGTTAATCGGAAAGAGCCTTGAGGCTGCTGCTATCTTTTCTGTAAGTATTGATAATTCTGTCAGTCTGACTTTATATTTCCCTTTAGTTTCACTCTGGAGAACCTGTACAACTCGAGACAATACCTGTTGAGTCTGAACGTCAGTCAGTGTTACGAATCAGACTGTGGAGTCAACCATGTCATCCTCACAAACTCACTGCTGTCCAAACCTGTCTGTGACTGGTCCATGGACTATCTCATCAAAAGTAAAAGCATTTCTTACTTACATACAGTTGAACTTCAATGTCTTGAACATCCATATCTTGAATACCAAAGATTATTGAAGTCATTTGGAAGTCCAAACCTCTTTTTCTCAATGTATTTTACCCTCAATATCTCTAAACCTTGGATATCTCAAAGTTTTTTCTTTGACCTATCAAGTTCAAGATAATGAAGTTTGACTGTATTTGATACTAGAGCTTTAACTTGACAGAGTAAAATGTTTATATGGAAATGTTCAATTCGATGCACTGTTTACTTGTATCATCTCTTGCTTAGACTTCTCTTTGACCAAGTGGAGGACAGACAGATCCCTCCCTGGGACAGGACCTATCCCCAGTAATTACCTTCTGAGACTGATGGATGAGACAGGAATAGCTGGGTATCTAAAGGAACCAAGCTGTGACAGAACTGCTGGATTGTATGCTGGGGCTGTGGATGGGTGGACTAGTTGTAAGTCACTTGTTAACAACAGGGCAGAAAGTGAATCTACTGTTTCTTGTATTTTATTTTACCAGTCTATCTAGTATAATCCTGTTATACATGCATGTAATGCTAAGCATTTGCAGAATTTCATCCTATTTCATCATATTATAAACAATGCTATTTCCAGCCTGTGCAGTAAATGTGACATTGTTAACCCTGACCTCTGACCTGAGCTGTAACCTGCTGACCTCTTGTACTGGTGTTCAGTGTTGTGCATCTTCCTCCACTCTACAAAGAACCTTTGAAGTTTTCATGAACATTGACTCATGTACCAGCAGTCTCAGCATACAAATTGAACAACTTTTCTACAACCATACACTGGACAACTTCCAGTGGGGTATGAGAAACAAAACTTTGTAATGTAATTGATTGTCAAAGATAGTACTTTATGCATAAAAGATCATATGTGGCTATTGTAGAGGAAACAATTTATCAAGGAATCCAAATCAGGCCTCTTTTACTTTCTTGTTTTCATTGCGCAATAAGTTAAATCTTGGTTCTTATTTGTCTACCGTAATATTTCCAGGAGTGGAGCAGCATTTATGGTTATTTGGAATATACAGAGTAGAGTAAGTAATATGCCATTATAATTTATGTTTTTATTCTGCATTCAATAACCTTTTTATATGAATTATATTTGGAATTATCTCCAATAGCTACATGTTGGATGACTTGCTGGAGGAGAATGCTTATTTGATTACTCTGGAGATCAAGTCCTGTTTTGAGACATCCCCTCCACAGTGTGAATCCTCCGAATCTTACACAGTATTCAACAGGACAATCCTCCCCAAAACTGACTGTGTCTGGAAGGCAGCATTCAAACATACTGGTAAAGAGATATTTATTGTTTGGCATATAGTTAGCATAAAAATATGTCATTGTCAGGCCCATGAATGATGAAACTTCAGGACATTTTTTTTTGTCATTGATATCCTTTGCAGGATTTTCCCTGACAAGCTGGCTGTCAGATAATGGTCTTGCAGATACTTCAGAGTTACAACAACAAGAGCACCTGATTTCCCAGCTGTTACATGAGATGTCAGTATCCCAGTACCTACAGACACCAGCATGTAGTGGATCTAAAGGAGTGTACAGCTCAGCTCTCAATGGCTGGAGCTCTTGTAAGATGGCTAAGGACTCTGAGATGTTTATAGCATACTTTATTTAATTATTTGGCATTAGTCTTATTGATTTTTTGTAGCCCAAATGATATGTCTTCCCATTTTGCACTTTTTCCTCTTAATCCATTTTGCACTTTTTCCTCTTAATATGTCATATTGATATATAAATATCACTGTATTTAAGGACTTTGTCTCCTCGCAAAAATTTTATAAGATTTCATCCATATCGAATAAAAAGTATCTAGTGACAGTACATGTAATTCCTAATAACTTGAAAATATATTTACAAATATATTGCTGCTATGCAAAAAAGGAAGTCTTAGAGATTTACAGTATGCAGAGAGCATTTAGGATGTCAATTAATTTATCGAGTAAAAGAAAAACAAAAAAGTTTTTACTTCATGCATACATTATACACTTTTAAAGGTAAGATTTATGTAGAATGAGAATTATTTTCAGTATGCTCCAGAAGTGTGAACACTGGTAATGTGACTGGTAGTGTATGTCATCTGACGTCGGAATGTACATTCTCTGAGTGCTGTACAGAGATAGATTTCCTACAGAGAGCCTTCAGAACCTTCCTCAACATTGACCCCTGTAACTTTGTGATAATGGTGGGCATTGAGACCTTCAGCAGGAACATTTCACTCTCAGGCTATCAGTGGGGTGGGTAGAATTATAAATAATTTTATGATTGGGTATTCAACAGAATCTAACCCTGCTTTAACTTTACTTTGTATTTATATTTTCAGGTGTTCAAGAACATTTCTGGCTTGCAGGGATGATCAGAGTAGAGTAAGTTTTGGAAGAAAGTGTTAACTTTTGACATAGTATAATGTATAGGAAAATATTTGACAGCTACACTGTTACAATTTTTTTCTCCTTTTAGCTTTACTGTGGATGACATGTATGGAGAAAGATTATTCCTAGTCAACATGAACCTGAGTTTTTGCTTTGAATCAGGAGCAGCTTGTTACAAAATGGTTAAAGTGTTTGAAGACACACTTCTTCCGAAGACAGCATGTAGCTGGAATTCCAGAGCAGGTCTGAAAAAAAGATTTAAACTTACTTATTTTGTTGTACCATTTGAAATTTTTGGAATCGATAACCCATATAAGCAGTGATAAAGTTGGAACCCCCAAAATTCTCAATGTTGGTTTCTAGGTTTCTCTCTGAGTGACTGGAGGTCCAGTAATGGAGTGCCAGCAGGTGCCCCAATGACTGGCTGGCCAGAGTCTCTGATGTATGAAGAGCTGGACATTGCCCAGTATCTGTACAGTACACAGTGTGTAAGGGGAACAGGGCTTTACACAAGCTCCAGAGTCTCAGGAGTAGACATTGGCTTTAATACAGATGCAAGCACTTATTCACAGTGTAAGTTGAATTATAGTGTAATTGCTCCAAAGTCCATAGTTGGTAATGGTGTTTACAGTACTATAAATGTTACAAACTATTAACAGCTTGACCAGAATTTCATTCTTTGAGCTTTGTTTTTCAGTAGAATTTTTTTTATTTTTACAGTGTGTCAGTTGTCAGTGGACTTCAGTGGTCACCACATGACCACCACCACAGCAGACAAGGTGACCTGTTATCTCCCCTCCCTGTGTACGGCTGTGGACTGTTGTGTAGAGGTCACATCTGTATCTCGCTCCTTTAACTTCTACATCAACATAGATCCCTGTAACTACATCCTGAGGGTGGGGATAGACAACTTCTACTTTAATCAGTCTCTGGACAGATACACATTTGGTAAGCTTTTATTTCAATCTTTCATGAGAATAATGTGTGTACAACTCTTGCAAATCTGTTTTGTTCAGAAGCTAAAATTTGTATACTGTTATTGTTTTGGTGCAGGAGAAGAAAGGCTGTTCTCAATGGCAGGAATCTTGCAGCTTAGGTATTTACACAAACTACAACTATGACCTGCAAAGGCTTTTGATGAGCAGATTTAAATTAGTTTATGTTTGATTTTTACATTTAATTGAATGATGATATACTTTGTTTTCTTCAGATACACCATAAATAATTTAGTAGATGAGAGAATGTACTTGCTAAACCTGAAACTGAGTGTATGTACAGAGAGTGGATGTGAAGCTAATTACACCATCTTCAAAGACATGTTGCTACCAAAACAAGTGTGTTCATGGAGTCCAGGATTCGTTGATGCTGGTATGTTACTACATATAAATCTTATTCTACAGTATTATGCAGTTTTGGTTATTAGTAATCATTTTTCTTTCAAGAAGCAAAAAGCATTTGGTTGGTATACAGCATCTTGCTGAATGTTGTAGAAAACATTCAGAACAATTAAAAGAATTTTTATTAAAAATTAATTTTGTGAAGGAGTTGATAGTAATAGGAGTGCTGTTGATAAACTTTAAGAAACTTGAATTGTTTTGTTACAGGGTTTGTTGTGTCAGATTGGATGAGCAGTAATGGTTACAGCAGCCCACTGACAGACTCGCAGACAGCAGAGCTGATGAAGACAATTGGAGTTGGTCCATATCTCCTGAAGGATCAGTGCAGTCCTTCATCAGGAAGATTTAAAAATTCCCAAAATGGATGGGTTAAAGGTATAGAAGTCTCACTGAAAAGAAAGTCATTGACATATTTTACATATACTTGAAAAAGAGATAATAGAGAAGCATGTAAAGGTGAAACAATGTGAAATGTGAAAAAAGTGTGAAATGAAAAAGTTCATGTTGGATGATAGGGAAATGATTAATGTGACTTACTGGGTAGTTACATGTGATTTCCACATCCATGTATTTTCATATGGATGTTAATATTTGTCTTTTGCAGGTTGCTTCTCTCCAGTGTCCTTGACAAATCTGACTTCCACACCAGTGGTCTGTTATCTGGATTCTACTTGTACTGCTGTAGACTGTTGTATCCAGATCACTAGGATCAGCAGAAACCTCAATGTCAAAGTGACCTTGGATCCTTGTTCCCATATGCTGAAAGTTGAACTGGAGAGATTCCAAATTAAACTAGATTTGTTGACCTACACCAAAGGTAACCAATAGACACATGACTTTTCTCTTGTATCAGTACAGTAGATCCAGCATTGCTAGGTTTTTGTCTTGTTAACTGCATACATGTATATCAACATTTTTTTCTTCTGTTATCAGGCACAGTTAAAGAATATTCTCTACTTGGATTCTTGAAAATGAGGCAAGTCTCATTTCTTGCACATGCTTTAAAAAAGAAATGTTGTACAGTGTATTTAGTGAGATTGACGTGGATTTGCAGATTCATTCATAAAATATGTTTTTGCAATCCAAATAAGATATTACTTTTTTATGTTTATATGAGTTGCATTAATTTTATTTTGTCCTGCATGCAGTCTTAAAGTAGATGATCTGAGATCACAGAACAATTTCCTGCTAAATCTGGATGTCAAGGTGTGCTTTGACAGTGGGTCTTGTGATGTCAGTGTATCTGTGCTGAATAACACCAAATTACCAAAGAGGTCATGTGATTGGTCTGCTGGTCTTCAAGGTAAACCATAATTCAGAATTTAAATTCAAAATGTTTCCAAATTTACAGCATTACTGTGTACTGCCTCAGTTTGTTGCATTTTTCAACATTTATACATTGGAATGAAAATGGGAAAATAATAATGTAATAAAATCTGCATACCTTTAATGAATAATCATTAGAAGGAACCATGAATTAACACAGAGCAAGAACATAATTTGTTGAGAATATGTTAAAAAAAAACCATGAGGGAAATCAAAACAGCATACATGTATAATAATATATTTTATGCTGTTTTTTTATGCAGATGAGGTCTTCATTGCTTTATGCATAGTTTCAAGTGCATTATATTGTATGACTGTAGGCATGTCAGTTACAAAGTGGTTGAGTGATCTAAATGTGCACAACACCACAAACCCACTTCCTGACCATCTACAGAGTCTGCTGCTGGAGGATCATGGGATAGCTAACATGATGAAGGAGACTCAGTGTAGCAGAACAACGGATGCAAAATACACTACTACAAATACCACAGTGGATGGATGGAATTCTGGTAAGTTATACCATTCATCTTCACTGGTACAATGTACATGTAGAACAAAAATGTAATGTACATAACAGTTTTTTATTGATGTGTGACCTGAATGTACATATTACCACAGTCAAACCTTGTTATCTAGAACTTGATGGATCCTAGATATCCAAGGATTCTAGAGAAACTGAAGTTAAAATACATAAAGAAAAAGTGGTTGGGATTTTCTACATATACAGTAAAACTCACTTATAGCAAACATTCTTATAATGAATTGAAGCTTACAGTGAAGTGATTTTCATTCCCTTTGGCTTTAAAATATTAAGTAAACTTAACGAAGATACATGTAATAACAAAAAATTACTTTTATAAAGAAGCAAACTTGTCACTTCATTAAAAGCATGTTTTACTGTGACTGTATTTGAAATACTGAGGTTGAAGATACCCAAGTTTAACCATATCTTTATAAAGTAACCATAATGAAAAATTAAGACTTCTCAAAATAGAATCATATAAACTCTCCTGTCATTAATCTTGATGTTTTATAGATTGTACCTCATCCCTTTCACTCCCAACACTGTCAGGGGACATAACTTGTTATATGCTGGATTCCTGCACCAGTGTCAGCTGTTGTGTGGAGGTGGCCAGATTTAACCAGAGGTCCCTAGAGGTAGCCATGGATTTCAACCAGTGTGGGAACTACCTGGATGTGACAGTGGAGAAGATCACCACCTCATTTCTCCTCAATGACTTTAAATATGGTAAAAAAAATACAGTCCAGAATTAGAATACTGTAGACCTACTTTTTTCCACATGGGATTAATTTACTTTATGTATGCAGTCACAAATTTTCCATGGAGTTTTGTCACTGTGTACTTAAAGTGCATGTAAGACATACAGTCCCTGAAACGTTCTACTTTCCCATTTTTCCGTTCGCTCACCGTTCGTTCACCGTTCGTTCAGCGTGCGTTCACCGTTCGTTCACCGTGCGTTCACCGTTCGCTCTCCGTTCACAGTTTTGCGTTCAGCGTTCACCGTGCGCTCGCGTTCACCGTTCACAAAGCGTTCACCGTTCGCTCTTCGTTCGCTCACTTTGCGTTCACCTTGCGTTCAGCGTTCACTTATCGTTCAGTCTTCAGTGTCATTCGGAACTCCGAAGTGAAAGGACTTATCTTTTTTAAGTAAGGATTTACAGGTTTTGAATTTAATAAATAACATACAGTGTTTAAAGAATCATTATTTCATGGGAAAAAAATTATCTACAATATTTATTTTTATTATTGTAACTTATCTGTTAGGTTATTTATAAAATTTATGTGGAAAATCAATGTTGTCAATATGTACCGATGTAGAACGATGCTGAAAAATTAAATCTAAATACGGTCAAAATACTGATACTTCAAGTACTGCAACATTTTGCTTTTATGTTAAAGACGACAAATCGTAAATGGATAGATAGTAATCGAAGTCAATTAATTTACCACCTGCAACAAAAATACGAAAATATTTATTTCTATCACATTTTTTTCAAATAATACAGAAATACATGTTAGAACTTGTTCTGAGAATGATAAACAGTACTGCGGATATCCAGTTAATTAAATATCTTTAGAGCGAATTAAATTGATAGTGTGGTTAAAAAAAATATTTGTTTAAAATGTAATACATTAAAGAATTTTTTTCTACTTTATATATATAAAGTCTTTAATTAGAGAGAGAGAAATGCCTTTATAACATGATTATCATTTATATAACCAAGGTGATTCTCCGGTAATGATATTTTTCACCGTAACTTTATGTTTGTCATTCGATATTATTAAGAGCCCCCCCCCCCCTTTTCCCCTAAATCGGTTACTTAGTATTTCCAGTACATTTTAGTTAACATTTCAAAAGAAGTTAATGTGTTTTGTAGCACAAAAATTTCAGTCTCAAAACAAACATGCATCTAAACAAATTCATTAAACAATAGTAGTTCAAAATATACATGTGCCGGCGGTGATACATGTATTTGAAATTGGCAGGGAGTATGTTTCAAATTCAAGCGGCTTAATCATTCCAAGTGTTTCTTCCCAATGTATTTTATTTATTTATTTATTTATTTATTTTATTTTATTTTTTTTTTTTAGAAATGTTGGAATCAGATCTAGAAATGATAAGAAAAAATGTTAAAACTTCTTGGAAATACTAACACTTTGCCTTCGGTGTGACGAGACTTTCACACCTGCACAGTGTCGAATGATTTTGATTGACAGGTCAAGCACGTGGACTTCGTGTGAACATGAAGCAGGAAAATAAAAACCGATTATGACTGTAAAACAAATGGATTTGTTGATAAAAAATCGATACTTTCACTGCCTGATATATTTAGAAAAGAATTTGATTTTTTGTTTGATAAAGGTGCAAACATTTTAGGAGAGGGGGGGGGGCTAAAACCGAATCTCTCTCTCTCTCTCTCTCTCTCATTTGTCTGTTTAATAAAAACTATGCCAACATATTACTTAAATATCAAGTTGTGAAAATTTAATATATAACAAATAATATGATTGCCTCTTTGTATCATCTTGTCCGAGTATAATCACGGCCGGGAAATGTCTACAGATACATGTAGAAGTCCGCTCAATAAATCAACATAAAAAATAAAACTGACACATAAATATATTATTGCATAAAGATTTTAAAATACGAGTGTATTTATGCAATAGGTCCACATACCTTTGTAAAAATTTTTTTCTCATTATTTTACACGGAATCCCTCGTATGGTTGTTACAGCCGTTGTAATTCATTCTATAAGTCCGTAGTTTTCTCTTCTAAAATCCACATTATTTGTAATGGTTTTATATATCAAATAAGAATAAACATATTTATTTTACAACTGGATTAATTTCATCTGTTATACTACAGCGTTCGGTAACAATTACAATGTTTTACAGCGATAAAAATCGTGTTATTAAAAAGTTGAATTTAAACATCGTACATACGTGCAGAAAATATTGCAAGAAACTTAAATTAATAATTTTACTTAATGTGCATGTATCATCTTTCTTAGGACAATTTTCATTGATTTGTTTATTTATTTATTATTTATTTATTTTTTTAGCACCAAGCATTAGAACACAATAGAATAGTTTCAATGCAAGGAAAAGATCAGAGGCATTCCGAATAAATCGTTCATCTTGCGTTCACCGTTCGTTCACCGTTCACTTTGCGCTCGCGTTTGCGCTCCGTTCGCGTTCTGCGTTCGCTCACCGTTCACCGTTCACACATCGTTCACCAAGTTGCGTTCAGCGTTCACACATCGTTCACTCACCGTTCGCTCTGCGTTCGTTCAGCGTTCGTTCACCGTTCGTTCAGCGTTCGCTCACCGTTCAAGTGGGAAAGTAGAACGTTTCAGGGACTGTACAATGGCAATCAAAGAAATATGCATAAGTTTCCTACCCATGGGCAAAAATTGTAATTCTAAATTATAACCCCATGGATAAGAGCATTTTGAAAGTACATTTACCAATTCTATTAGATTATGCATGCATGCAGTATTTCAGTATATACATGTATTTGTATGCAAACAATAGTTTCATTGATATAAAATTTGTTGAATATTTATTGTTTTACATGGTAAGTGACAATCAATTTAAAATAAAATTCTATTGCAGGAATACTGCAGAAAACTTCTCTGAAAGGAATGTTTGAAATGCAGTGAGTATGACCATTACCAATTTGCTTTTACTACCCAGTAAATTTATTATTTAGTATACTAGCCCATTCATTGCCCTAAATGCTAAATAAAGGGCCAGGCATTTAAAAATCATGTGATCCTACTTGCATATATATATTTTGTGGATAAACAGGAATTTTAGCTTACTGGGTAACTTATTTTTAAACAAATGTTGCAGATACAATATCACAGAGGATGTGATCAACAAGAAGTATTATGTTGACTTGGCGTTTGCTGTCTGTTATGAAGCAGGCTCATGTGATGAGACATTTACAATATTCAGCAGCTTTCAATATGACATGGTGACATGTAGTTACAAATATGACTTCCTAGTACCTGGTAAGTCTTAAAAAGAATGATGCATGTCATTTATGTTCAAGTCACAAATAATGATTTTTGTTTTGTTTTGTTGCAAAGTTCTGGATAAAACCGTTGATCTGAATGTTTTAAGAAAAAAAAAACCCAAATAATATGGAGAAATTAATGGCAGGTTTCTTCTGAAACCCCTGAATGAAACACGAGAGAAATATCGAGGACACTTTTAAAGATATACTTTTAAAATATGTTGCAGGTTTCTCTCTGAACACTTGGATGACATCTAGATCTATAGCCAGCGTGAATGATCTGACAGAGGCTCAGGCAGATGACCTGTTTATGGAGCTCGGTTTGGATCATTTTATGACAGCAGCTGAAAAGTGTTCCTCATCAGACAGAATCTACAATGGCACTGTCAATGGCTGGACCAAAGGTGAGTCTAATTACAATATTGAGATATTCAGACAAATATGAAATAGTATCTTTAATTGACAAAGAATGTGCATTTTGCAAATAGATTGTTATAGCACAGAATAAATGGCATGTGGAATTAAATTCAGTGTATACACATGTACTTGTAGATACATGTAAATCTTTAAATGCGTATAAATATTGGGTCATATATCGTGAATGTGTAAGGCATTTTTTTCTTTACATTTAAAGAAATATTGGTGTGTGTCTAGTTAACGCTTTCCTCGTCTTACCTTTTAGCATGTGCCAGCAATGTACCAGTTCTGCCCACCATAACTGATAGCGTGTGTCACCTGAAGGCAGATTGTACTTCTCTAGAATGCTGCACGGATATCGGCTTCCTACAGAGAACCTTTAGAACCTCGGTCACCCTGGATCCATGTAACTTCTTACTCACTGTCAGCATAGAGCGCATGACAAGGGAGATTACTCTGACTGGATACAGCTGGGGTACAAAAAATTTATAAAGTGATTGAAGTGTGAAGACATGTTCACACTTTAAAATATATTGATCTTAAGCTTTAAAATAGAATACTTAGAGGGATTTTTCCCTCCATAAGATTATACAGTTCTAATGATTAAACATATTATACAGGAAAGCAAGAAAATCATTGGTTGAATGGAGTAGCCAGACTGGAGTAAGTAGATAGAACTTTTCATGTCCTCTTTAAGGTTTTTTACTGTAATGTTTGTATATACCCCACTTCTATAAATTGTGTATTTTCTTCTTATGGACAATTTTCTTTGGTCCTTTGATAGTGCTTCTATTATGAATGAAAAACATAAAATATTTTATTCAAAGTACAAAAAAAAATATTTTATTCAAAGTACTGGTATTAAAGTATATAATGTATTGGTATAAAAGAAAATTAAAGAATATATTGCTTAATCAAGTTTCCACTACCGTAATGTCATGATGGAAAGGAAAGAAGCAGATTTTTAAAACAATCTTTAGGAATATTCTTAAATTGATATTTATAATTTTTGATGAATGCAACAGCTAAAATGTCAGTTGTAGCATTAGTATTGGTATGGAATTGGAATCGGATGTTTAAGTCAAGTTTGACACTTGAAAATTAAAGTATGTCATGTTTATGCCCTATGTATAGTACACATCCATGATGTAGGGGTCAGAAATTGTAGGAAAAAAAGTGTGCCATCCATAGTTTCACCTCCACATTTGTAACTCATTACACAATTTATGTTTCATGTGAAAATAAATATAATTTAATATCAAACCTGTTCCTTACAGCTACTCTGTTAAGGACATGTATGGCGAGAGAAAATACCTTGTGAACATGAACTTGAGTTTCTGTTTTGAGACGACTGGAGCCTGTTATCTAAGTTTTATCATACTGAGTGATACTCTTCTTCCCAAAGTCCTCTGCTCTTGGGAAAGCACACCAGGTAAGGGTTCACACTGTTAAGGTGCCATATTTCTTTAAAAAAAACAGGAATGAAATCAGTTTCAGTCTATATTTAATTCAAGTCTGTACATTAAATTAATTCTTTAAATAATATTAATGGTTCATTAATTCAGAAAATGTACATCTATTTGTAGCTTTCTCATTGAATGCATGGAAGACTGGCAAAGGTTTGATCCCAGCTAACCCCCTTCCCAGTTGGGCACAGACAATGTTGTTTGAAGAACTTGGAATGGCTCAGTACCTGAAACCCACAGCCTGTGCCAGGGGATCAGGACTATACATAGACTCCAGGAGTGGGGCCGTTAATATTGGATTCAATACTGATTCTACAACTTACTCTCAGTGTAGGAATTACACTTTGTTTTATATCATTAACACTAGACATACATTTTGATGTTTTTTTTGTTTTGTTTTTAAGAAATGGGGTTCATTATTCTTCCTTAGATTATTTAATAATTATAAATGCAATCATCCATTGTTGAAATGTATTTCTCTTGCAGTGTGTCAGTTGTCAGTGGACTTCAGTGGTCACCACATGACCACCACCACAGCAGACAAGGTGACCTGTTATCTCCCTTCCCTGTGTACGGCTGTTGACTGCTGTGTAGAGGCCACGTCTCTATCTCGCTCCTTTAACTTCTACATCAACATAGATCCCTGTAACTACATCTTGAGGGTGGGGATAGACAACTTCTACTTCAATCAGTCACTGGACAGATACACATTTGGTACTAAGGAAAATTCTGTTTTATAATGTTATAATGTCATTCTTTAGGGATGAAGAGTATACTATGTTAATTGCTATTCATTTGTGTTTGTGATACACTATTTTGAATTATTTTATAAACTCTCTGTTGTGCAGGTACAACAGACAATTTCTTCATGACAGGAATACTACGAGTAATGTATGTATTTCATTTTAAATCTTTAAGTGAATGATTATTTAGCTTTTCACCAATGTTGATACAATTATGATATAACATAATATCATTGTTTGACATAACACAGGTACAGCATAGAGGACCTAACAGATGACAGAGCATACCTGGTATCTGTCAACATCAGCATCTGTACCGAGAACACCTGCGAGGCCAGTTATGTCCTACTGAAGAACATGGTGCTTCCCAAGCAACCTTGTAGCTGGGCAGAGGGATTTTATGTTCCAGGTCAGGTCAAACAAAATTGGTTTATGAATTTATGGTTGTTGTATATAACCTACTTTTCTTTTGTTAGAGATTGAATTTTTCAGTATTATATTTAAATGACTCTAATTTATAAAGGAGAAGAAAAGCATTTTGGAAAATTGGAAATGTTTCTTAATTTACTCAAAGAATATTGTCACTGATTATCCAGGTTTTTCCTCTGCAAACTGGATGATGTCCAAAGGCTACCTATCCCCCCTGTCAGACTCAGAGACGGCAGAAATGATGGCATACATGAAGGTGGGGAGATACTTACTGGATCCTGCGTGTGATGCCTCCACAGGGATATACTCAGGAGCCACTAATGGATGGAATGACAGTAAGCTTCTGATCATGAAATAAAATCATACACATGTAATAGCTGTTTATATTGATTGATGGAATGTTCAGGGTTTTTTTAAAATCAGTAAGAAATATTTCAGCCATGTTCAGTTTTTTTGTACAGTCAATGCCTGTGTACATTTATTACAAAGTCTCAACTTTTGGTCACTAAGGAATTTTGATTCATGACATTGAACTGTGTTTCTTGGATGATTAAGAAAAGAAAGCGTTTATTGAACTATTTGTAAATATTTTGTATATACAGATAATACTTTGTTTCTGAATTAATTAGCCTGCACAGCAGCAGAGAATATCCCCAGTTTGACCTCTGACCCTGTGGCCTGTCATTTGACCAATTCCTGCTTGGCTGTGGATTGTTGTATCAGGGTCACCAAGATCAGCAGGAACCTTAACATTAAACTGGTCCTCGATCCATGTGCCTACATCATGACAGTACACATGGAGAGGTATCAGATAGAGATTGACCTCCTGACATTTAATTACAGTAAGTTATTTTACTAATCCTATAGTCTTTGCAGTTTTACTTCTTATGCATATTCCCAAACCAGAAATGTTCGACAAACATGTATGTACCAAGCATCTCTTCCTGTTTTTTAGGCACCGCTACCACATACCAGTTAATGGGCATGATCAGAATGACGTAAGAAAAAAAAATGAAATTAATTGTCCTTGAAAATATTGCACATGTATATGTAGGAAAAGGTATCAATGTATTATATCTTGATTTTAGTTTAACACTAGATGACCTGGAATCTCAGAATAAGTATTTGATCAGTCTTGATGTCAGCGTGTGCTTTGAGAGTGGATCAACCTGTGATGTCTCCATATCAGTGTTTCAGAACACCAAGCTTCCGAAGGGGACTTGTAATTGGACGACTGGACTGGAAGGTAGAGTGTCGTTAAGGAAAAACCTCATCAATAAAGAGAAATACATTGTAGTTTTGTATTAAAGAAAAATTTTATGGTTTCTGCTCAATTTAATTCACAGGTTTTTCTCTGGCAACATGGCTGACTGAACAAGGAGTGAGTGGTAACCCCAATCCACTACCAGACCACTTGCAAAGTCTTGTGCTGGAGGATCATGGGATAGCTAATATGCTGAAAGATACCACATGCCTTAGAAATGGTTCAGATTCAAGATATGATAGCTTCCTTGCACTTAATGGTTGGATAAAAAGTAAGATTGAAAACAGATATATAGTGAAAGGGGAAGATTGCATAACTGTGAAATAAGATTTTTATTCAAAAGACATGATCAGTGACATTCAATATGTATATTTTACTTCAGGGTGTAGGTCAACAACAGTGTTAACTAACCTCCTTTCAACTATAAACTGTTTCAACCCGGAGTCTTGCACTGCTCTTTCCTGTTGCCTCACACTTGAACGATTTGGGGGACGTTTAATGGAAGTATCTATGGAATATAGTCACTGTGGTAATTATCTGGACATTACCATTGACAGGATACCGATCAAACAGTATCTGACTGGATTTCAGTACAGTAAGTATTTTTTTACACCACCACCAATAAGAAACCCATCACACAGTACATGTACTGACAACTGTCAGACCATCACTGTATACGGGTTTAACCATATCTGACAGGTTTTCTTTATGTAAAATATATTTGGACATTGCTGTTGACAGGATACCCATTAGCATAGTCTGATAAATAGTATATTAATAAAAATATGTCAGGATTAATGCCAAAGAATAATATTTTTTGTTAAGAAGTACATTAAAACATGCTTATAGTGACGTGCTAGGGACAACCAATTATGATTCCTTATAAACATTATTAGTCATAACCATTAAGTTTATGATACATGTATGTTTTAAAACCACAGGGAATAACAATAACTTTTCTATACGATTGAATTCATTATGTGTGTTCACTGTAACCCTGTTTTATTGTATGAATTTGCATTGAAACATACAAGAAATGTAGATCTATTAATCAATTTTCAATGATTTTGTAGGCACAGAACACACTGTTTCCCTAAAAGGAATGTTCAAGCTCAAGTAAGATACATTACAGTATTATTATACAGTATCATTACAGTATTGTCAATGTATAGGTTAATAAACCAGTCCTGTAATTTATTCATGTCCTTTGAATTGCACCATCTTGCACCAAATCAAGTTTAAATGTTAATATATTTTCAAAGTCATGTCTTATGTACAAGTGTATGTTATTTTTTTGTAGGTACAATGTAACAAAAGATGAAGAGAATAAGGAGATTTTATTAGACTTTGAGATGCAGGCATGCTATGAACCTGGGACATGTGAACAGACCTATGTCATATTTCAACGGACTCCATTTGAAATGAAGACCTGTACATATAATGAAGGATTTCTAGATTCAAGTGAGCCATGTTTTTTTCCCAAATTGTGTTTTAATGAGAAAATTTTCACTAAAACCGATTTAACCAGATTGCAAAACCATTCAGGTCTTAAGTGTTAGTTACTAAACTCATCTGTTGTTTCTTTTAGCCTTTTCTTTGTCTAACTGGATGACTGCCCGGTCCATTGCTGATGTGGCATCCATCACAGAAGCCCAGGCAGACAGTCTGTATATAGAACTGGGACTGGACCACTTCATGTACAAAACAGACCAGTGTACTCTCTCTGATTCTGTCTATGGTCCTGCTACAGGAGGATGGAGAAGTGGTAATTATAAAAATTGATTTCATTGTTACTATTAGAAAAACTATAAAGTCAAAGCCTAAAGAGTTGTTGAATTATGAAGGTTGTCGGAGAATATTTAAATTTTAGCAAATTTATTTCTTATTAATGAAGGAGAGTTTTTTTGTTTTAACATTTTAAAAGAAGAAGGCTTAATTACTTTCAACTCTATGGTTCAGAGACCATGCAGACAAACTAATGCATTTATTTGGGAAAGTGTCTGTTGTCTGTCAAGGTGTTTGAAAATTTTTTTAAAAATGCTACTCGCAAAGGATTAATCTGATTTCAATAAAATGGTCCATATAAAGTACATGTAAAATACACCAAGATACATAATTGTGTTTACCAGTTAATGAATCATGTTGTCATGCTTACTAAAAGCAGATTAATCAGTCAAAGTTCTTTAAAAACTACTCCTTTCTGAGTCTTCCAATTTCAATTAAACTTTGTTTAAGTAAATAAAACACCAGGCCCTGGGATCATGAAACATCTTAAATCTTTTTGTTGTGCTGAAATGTCATAGAAGTCGAACAGTCCAATATTTATCAACTTTGCATCACTAAAATGCTGTTACACTGTTTCTGCAAATTTAGAAATGAAGTTGATAATAAAGATCTTATAGGTGATTGAAAATTTGACTTAAGACTAAATGTTTTATGATCCTGGGGCCAGAAGAACTACTTAAATTCCGATCTGACAGAGACTTCTTGTCCTAATAGTATGCTCTTGTTCAATGAAATGTTTAAAACAACGTTTCAGAATGCTATTTTATGAATTTAAAAAAAAAAAAAACACTGCCACCTTCTTTCACAGATTGCCCCTCTATTCCCACATCCACACTGGGTAGTATTAATGACAAGACTAAGGTACGCTGTCACCTTAAGTCTAGCTGTGATTATGTTTCCTGTTGCGTGTACATGGCTGAAGTCAAGAGACATGCCAGAGTAGACATACAGATTGATGTCTGTAACCATACCATGACAGGAGCCATTGATAAACTTCAAGTTTCCACAGATCTGATGAGCTACAGCTGGGGTGAGTGCCATCAAAGATGTCTATCAGTAATGTTGTATGCCCTAAGGGAATTTCCCTGCATGAAAGCAAGATGTATTCTTATAGTGTAAATTATTCATTGTTGCAATATCATGTGCTTGAAAAGTGATGTGAATCATTTTCTTCCCAATTCTTCAGATACAGATAAAGAATTTAGCTTACATGGTGTAATCAAATGGAAGTAAGTATTAATTTAGTAATCTTCTCTGTACATAATTAATTAGAATTCAAAAATGAAAGATATGGTTTTGTAATTGTTTTAACTCTCAAATAATTCATAATTTAAAAGAAGCTTCAGAAGTAAATGCCCATGCCATTTATTTATCATCAGAGCCAAGCTTGTGGATGTGCCTTCCCAGCATGTGTATGTGGCTGATTTTACAATCAGCACCTGCTTTGAGGCCAGCAGTTGTCATGAAGAGACAGTCTTTGGTAAAACAGTTTTCCCCAAGGAATCATGTAACTGGACAGCTGGTATCAAAGGTAAAGTGGTGGTATTTAGTATGTCAAACCATCATTATTTGAAAGTTTAAGATGTCATAGACATCTTTTTTATGTTGTCAGATTTCTTTTGTATGTGGGTCAATAGGACTGAGATATGTACATCTTGCTCTTTTAAAGGTGGCTTCTCTGCTTCTGCTTGGAGGACAAGTAAAGGCTACTCATCTCCTCTGAATGCTGCTCACACTGCTGAGCTGATGACAGAAATGGACACCCTGCAATACCTTACAACCACAGCTTGTAATCCCTCCACAGGCATCTATGTCACACCATCAAATGGGTGGACCAAAGGTGAAAAAAGAAAGATGAAGTTAATAATGCTTGCATTGCTAGTTAGATTTACCTTAAAATTTGAGAAAAATATGCAAAAAATAAAAAAAATTATATATTGAAGTAACAGATATTCATTTTATAAAAAGCTATGTTGTTACTTTTTTGCAGCATGCACATCATCTGTATCTTTGCCTGACATCAGCTCTAAACCTGTAGTGTGTCAACTGGATAGTACCTGTACAGGTGTGGACTGCTGTCTGTCCCCTTCACTCCTCAGTCACTCCCTCAATGTCAAGGTCAGTATAGACCCCTGCTCCTTCCTGATGACTATCTACCTGGAGAAGCTGAGAATTAGTGTGGACCTTTATAACTATACACAGGGTAGGTCTCTGTCTATATTTTGGTTATGAATTGATGGAATTTGCATTGAAACATTTGCTGTCATTAGCCATGTCTATTGTAGGAAGTACTTTGAGGTTTTTCTTGAAAGGCATGCTTGGAATAGAGTAAGTAGAATTTGTGCTGGTTTGGTTTTCATTATTGCAGAATATTCATAATTTTTATACATGTATAATAATTTTATACAATTACAAGTAAGATGTACCAAATCTGACTGTTAAGAAAAGTGAATGTTATGATTTAATAAAGTATTACCTATGTGTGACAAAGAGTCATTTTAACTGTTCTTGATTGCAGAGGAAGTTTCTATGAGCTACAAGCACAAAATAAGTACAAACTGAATTTGGATGTAAGCGTTTGCTTTGAGAGTGCCTCTGCTTGTGCTGTTGTGGCATCTGTCTTAAAAGACACAGTGCTACCCAAGAGAGACTGTGAAAGATCAACTGCAATGAGTGAGTTATTCTTGTAAATTCTGTTTATGTAAAAAGTCTTAAACATATCAAAAATGTAATGGTACAAGCAGCTTTTACTCATCAAAAGGAACTTTTGATTATATTTGATCAGCTTTCTCTGTGAACAACTATATTGATACAAGAGGGTACTCACCAACTCTGACACCCCTGCCTCAGCACCTACAGATGCTGGTCACAGAGGAACATGGGATAGCCAATATGATGAAGCAGCCAGCCTGTAGCAGGACAGATGCTATTTATACCTCTACCACTCCTGTCAATGGTTGGGTATCAGGTATGTTTAATCAATTGAAGCATCCATACTAACCAACTGGACATTTATATCTTTGTCACCATTGATGGTTGCTTTCATTGTTTCATGCTAAGTGAATTTTATATTTTATTGTAGAATGTTCCCCAGCCCCAGTATTGACAGATATGAGTGCTTTGGCCATTAACTGCTACAACCCTGCCTCCTGTACTGCAACCACGTGTTGTATGGAAATTAACAGGTTCAACGGACGACCCCTGGAAGTGGAACTAGATTTCAACGAGTGTTCTAACTACATAGATGTTACTCTAGAGAGAGTGCCAGTCAGAATGTACATATCAGATATTGGTTTGAATGGTATGTATTAAAACTCATTTGATTTTCAGTGAAAATCTAATTCGAAGTTTTGTAGACTTGCTTAACGTGGTTGAGGAATTGGAGATTAACATCTAGACTGTAGAATCTACATGTTCATGTTTATATAAAAGAAACCTGTTTTAAGAGTTTGCAAATTTTGATTTTAGGTACCACATACACAGTAGGCTTGAAGGGGATGTTTAAAGCCAGGTGAGTGTGTAACTTATAACAGGAGTATAAGATTTTTTTTGCACCTGACATTGATATTTATGCCTTATTATACATGTATAAGACCTATATTATAGAATAAATGTTCTTTTGTATTTCATTTCCAGTACGGCCATCTCTACTGATAAAGAAAACAGACAGTACAGCTTTACTTTTTCTGTATCTGCCTGTTACAACTCAGGATCCTGTAGTCAGACTTACAATATCTTCTCCAACACAAGGTTCAGCATGAAAACATGCAACTACACTGGAGGATTCCTGAATCCAGGTACTCTTTTTTATGGGATGTAATAAACATGTGATGCAGTGACATATTGTGTATTGCTAATGGGTGAATTATGTTGTTTTTTGGTAGTTACTATATAGTATTTGATATAAATCACAAACGTATATCTTCCAGTGACATTTTATGATACAGAATTTTTTTTTTTCCCTCTTAGCCTTCTCTCTAACCAACTGGATGACTGCCCGATCCATTGCTGATGTGGTGTCCATCACAGATGTTCAGGCAGACAGTCTGTATATGGAGTTGGGACTGGACCACTTTATGTACAAAACAGACCAGTGTACTCTCTCTGATTCTGTCTATGGTCCTGCTACAAGTGGCTGGAATATAGGTAATTAAAATAAAATTGTTTTCCATTGAATGAGGCTGTCAATGTTTGAAGACATTGAAATTAGACTGATAGACAAAGCCAGATTTATTTCTGAGCCCTTCCTTAAATTACTGTTTGAAAAAAATAAAATTCAGTACAAACAATTCATTTTCTTTGATTTCCCTAGAATGTGCTACTCCACCTACAGCACTGGGAACCATTTCCAATCCTGCAGAAGTCCGCTGTCACATTTCTTCCTCTTGTGATGAGATCTCCTGTTGTATGTTCTTGGCACCAGTCAAACGCCATGTAGAGATCAAAACAAAAATTAATTTCTGTGGATATAAAGTAGAAGCTCAGATAGAGAAATTGAAAGATTCAATGGATCTTCTTGATTATATGTGGGGTAGGTTTAATGCCTTACAAATGTCTTTCATTGTTTCTCCAATAGAATGTACAAGCTTCTGAACGAGTAAATGTACAGTATATAGCACACTGTAAATGAAGAAATAAATTTATATATTTGCACTTTACTTTTCAGGGACATCAAAACAGTTCAGTTTGAATGGGGTTGTCAAATGGAAGTAAGTCTTCAACTTTTTATAAAATATTGGATTTGAAATGCAAATAAGGAGGCCTATATATTTATAAAGTTGCACTCTTTGTGTATCCACTTATGATTGTAAATTACACCTGAATACATAAATTTACACCTGTACACTTCTAGGATGGATCTAGTGGATTTGATAGCACAGAAGAAGTATACGGCAAACCTCCAACTTCAAGCTTGCTTTGAAGGGGGCACCTGCATTGTTAGTGAGAATGTCCTGCAGAACTCTGAGATTGTACAACCTATATGTGACTGGACTGTCGGACTTCAGGGTACAGATTAGTCCAGTCTTTTTCTCTGATATGCTTTAATTTTTTCTTTAAAAAACACCATCCTTGCAGAAAGCTTTTTGAATAAAACTTTTAATTGTATATGATTGTATATTTGAATTAGAATATGTTTATTTTTTTTTTGTTTCAAGGATTCAGTTTGTCAACTTGGTTAACAAATCGTGGTCAGAGTTCTACCCTGAACCCATTGTCTAGCTTCTTAAGGTCGGAACTCCTAGAGGATCATGGGATAGAAAACATGATGAAGTCACCATCCTGCAGTAGAACAACAGATGCAATTTACACAGCAGCTGGATCAGATGGATGGAATTCTGGTACAAAAGATATTCAGCAGGAAACTGCTAATGTTTTTTTTTATCTCAAACTTGAATGTTTAAACTTTTGATATTAAGAAATCAGAAGAGGGACAGCTTAGTGTAATAACATCGTGTAACTCCATTTATATTTGAACATTACAAGTCATTTCATTGAAGACAAAGACATTCAATACTTGATGAGTGCTTATTTTATGTCGCAATGATGTCAATCATTGTATTAATAGATTTTAATACAGTTAAACCTTGTTATCTCGAACCCAATGGGAACCAGAAAATACTTCGAGATATTCGAAGCTTTGAGATATCCAGGGTAAAATACTTAAGGAATAAGCAATTGGGACTGCAAAATCACTCGACATATCCGTATATAGTGATTGAGATATCAGTGTTCGAGATACCGATTTCCAACTGAAGATACATATAGATAAATAGATATACATTCTTTGGATATAAATGCATCACCAGAATTCAAATTTTCTCCAACATTAGATTGCACCAGTCCCCCCACATTAAGGAACTTGACAGGAGAGGCCATTACATGCTACAATCCTTCCAGCTGCTCTGCTGCCACCTGTTGTGTGGATGTTGCTCGACTGACTGGTCAATCTGTAGAAGTGTCCCTTGACTTCAGTCAGTGTGGAAACTACCTGGACGTCAGAGTAGAAAAGATTACAGTCAATCAGTATCTACACAACTTTACATTTGGTGTGTTATGTTTCTTTTTTAAAAAAGAATATGGGAGAGCAGTTCAATATTTATGTTATCTTAATTGATGAATGCTGAGTAATGAAATTTGACTTATCACTTTCACGACAAAATTGTGTGACCTGCAAATGCAAGAAACCCATTAAAATGTGAATGTTTATTACATTTATTATTACTTTAAAAAGAATGATCAATTCAGAATTACAATCTTTGATTTAGGTGTGGAACAGAAAATGTCTCTGAAAGGCATGTTTGAAGTGAGGTAAGAATGTTGAATCCTGATATTGATTGAGAAATCTGCACCCCTTCCTTTTAAGAAGTTAAAAGCTACAAAATTTATATCTGATATGACTAAAAATTAATATGTAGATATTAAAAATGATACAAAGAATGTGACCATTGTATCCTAGGTACAAGATCACAGAGGACACAGCCAATAATAAATACAAAGTAGACATGTCTGTTCATGTATGTTATGAGGATGGTTCTGCATGTGCTGAGAGCTTTACCATATATAGTGACACAGAATTCCCCATGGAAACTTGCACTTACAAAGATGGACTTCTAAACCCTGGTAATAGCATTTGTATGAACATTTTAGATTTGTCAAGGTTGGAAATATACTAAGTAAAATGTTATACATTAAAACATAAATGTACTGAACCTTGGAGAATTGCCAAACTCACTTCATGTGAGCATACTATAAACCTGTTTAACTGCAGACCTTAATTATACCCCCCGCAAACGAAGTTTGGGGGGGGGGGGGTATATTGGAATCACCATGTCCGTCTGTCTGTAGACAAGATTTTGTCCAGAGCGTTTCTCAGAAACTATTGCATAGATTTGTCTGAAAATTTGTACACTTATTATTCACCATATGAAGATGTGCACCTGGTATTTTCAACATTATTTGATAATTTTTCTGCATTTTACAGGGGTTTTTTTCTTTTCATTTTTATTGACTTAGTCATTTTGGGTTTATTTCTAAGGTTTGAGACATAGAATCTAGAACATCTGTACAAAAATGTGAACTACAGCTTAAAACTATTCATATACAAAATATATCACCAAGTATTAAAAACAGTTTTTACATTACACAGCAGATAATGTAAATCCATTTGTCCCTTGGGAGTAATGAGTGGACATCATCCAGTTAAAGATAAATTAATGAGTTCAGTGTGGGAAGTTGTTAGGGCATCTCTGATCAAGCATGTGTTATCTATATCTCCTGGGAATTTAAAGATCAGCTCTGTTCTTTAATTCTCTTAATTGTAATTTATTGTCTGTCATAGTACATAGTTACCGGATGACCAGCCTTTCATTTTTAAAATGAATTTGATAGAAAGCTATCAAGATTAATTTGATTTTGTAATTAATTGATTTTTTTTCAACAATCAATTTGCAGAATGTCATGTCTCAAAAAGATGACAGATAGTTGCAATTTATTTTTTCGATGTATTAAAAAACAATGTAATTGCAATGTATTGGTATGATGTTTTATTATGTTGTTCCTTGGTTTCATTCATTAAAAAAATATAATGAGCAATTATTTTTTCACTCTAAATGTTAATAAGAAAATTGTGAACACCTCTTAGATCCATAAAATATTAGTGATTTGGCACCTCTGAAAAACCCAGCGGGGGGTATTTGTCCCTTTTGGACAGTTCTAGTTTAAACTGAGAAAGGCTCTAAGCTGTTGTATCAAAGTATCAAATGTAATTATTCCATTTTAAATTGTTTTCAGCCTTTACTTTGACCAACTGGATGACTGCTCGGTCCATTGCTGATGTGGCATCCATCACAGAAGCCCAGGCAGACAGTCTGTATATAGAGCTGGGACTGGACCACTTTATGTACAACACAGACCAGTGTACCCTGTCTGATGCCACTTACGGCTCTGCAACAAACGGATGGAAAAATGGTATTGCAAACTTTACAGTAAAAGCATTGGGAAGTGAAATTCAATGAATATTCTACTTGATACAGTCTCAGATTCACAAATACATTAAAGATGAACCTTGTTAGTTCAAACTCAATGGGGATGAGAAAAATATTTGAGATTTTTCAGGATTCGTGATATTGAGGTTAAAATCATAAAAGGAAATGTAGTAGTTGGGATTTCCAACTCTCTTTGAATACATGTATCCATGGTATATCAATGTTTAAGATACAGAAGTTCAACTGTGTATATACATGTATATACTGGACCTGTTTGTTGATTTCAGATTGTGCAACAAGCACAGCATCGCTGACGGATACTTCTCATCAGAATAAAGTGAGGTGTCATATTCCAGCGTCATGTGAGCATGTCACATGCTGTGTTTATATTGAACCAGTCAAACGGCACACCAAAGTGGAGCTAAAGATGAACACCTGTACTTACAAGATGAATTCAGTGGTTGGAAATCAAGTTGCAAAGACAGAAGATCAGCTATTCAATTATGTTTGGGGTAATTATATGCAACACATTGCAATTAGAATTAGAATATTTGAATCCTTGAAATAATAAAAATTATTGTACTTCAACTACATAAAAATTTCTAGCTTGGTTTTACTTCTGTATACATGTATAACTGTTTTGTTATATTTTGAAAATCACTTCATGTTGCTATAATTTGTACTATCTGTCAGGGATGGGGTAATCGTAATCGATTGTAATGATTACTTTTTTTCAAGTAATCGACAGTGATCTGTAATCGAAGAGATTTTCGATTACTTGTAATCGTAATTTAATCGATTACAGCTAAAATTTTCAATGTAATAATTACTTTTTCGATTACTTTCGATTATTTTATACATAAATGGGTGTTATTTTGGAGAATCATTTCCAGTCAGTCACACATAAATATCAAATATATTATAAACCACCTAGTGTAATGTTTGGATTTCCTTACTTTTATTATCATAAGTTTAGTAATGTTCTCGATAAAATATGCATTATAGACCTTCTGGTCTAGTATTAAATAATTCAGAAGTGTATTTCAACCATTTATTAATAAAATATACACTGTCAGATTTTTCGTGTGCATTTTACATTTGATCCACTGTCCTCTTGCTGCATGTCCTTTTTCATATTTCAGAAGTTGAAAAACTTTGTCTTGTAATAGAAAATTATAAATAGCAAAAACAGATTTAAGTGCTGTATTAAATATAAATAATTTGGTAAATAAACTACATTGTACTGGGAAAAAAAAGAAGATGGAAATACTTATTCATATCTGAAAATGTTTGAACAACTTCAAACTTGTGTTTTAGTAACTTTAAAATTTGCAAAATCATTCTCATGTTTTCATTCAAAATTGTAAGGTTGCTTTTATATCAGTGAGAGGTTATAAGTGTCCGTAAGAGAGGGAGTGTGTCACTATGTTCGCTTATTTTAATTGGCTAATTAATTGACTGAGACCTCCCTGACTTGCAGATAATGAGGTGTAAACTATGAACTACCTAGTGTTTAACTCTCATTCCATTGAAGACAAACAATATTATTAAAACAATTAATAGCTCTCAAAACACTTATTTCAATTCAGAATGAAACTGTGCTGTTAGTTTAATTGCTTAGAGACACATTTAATTTACATGTTTATTACTAAGAGGTATATAATTTACTTATTTTTTTTTGAAAAAGACACGTACAGGAATGTTTAATGTGTACTGTCAACATACGGGCAGCCCTAATACTTCTAATGAAGTAATTCACAATAAAATATTAAATAATTTTTGCAACAAGTCAATAAATACGGAGGTTCAGATCCAAGGTTGAAAGGAATAATTACATGTAATTCCTTGGCATATTTTATTTAGGAATCATGTCTCCACTTTCCATGGTAGAGAATCCCTCATTTGGGCATTTAGTGAGAATGTTAGCCAGAATAAAATCTTAAAAGAATGTGCACTGAAACTGCAGGAACACATTCAAACTTCAGAGGATAACATCAACATTTACCATTTAAATATTGCTTTGATATTTGAAGGGATAAAAAGTTGGAAGTAATCGATTATTAATCGATTACATCTTCCAAAGTAATCGATTACAGGACAAAAATGAGTGTAATCGATTAATAATCGATTACACAAAATTCCTCTAAGTAATCGAATGTTAATCGATTACATTTTTCAGTAATCGTGCCCATCCCTGCTATCTGTTTAGAATTGTATTGACTATATAATTACTTCTACTACTAGAAATTTAGCAACAACAGTATAACAATGGATATGATTTAATAAGTTTATATCATATAAATTCTGCTTTCTTGCAAAGTTTTCATATTAGACAAATTTGGAGAGGGTTGTATCCTATTCATTATTGATTTTATGATTTACTAAAAAAAAAAAAACATACTCATTTTAGTGGTTATCATATTTTAGCACCTTATTTTTCTAAGTAGTGACTACCTACTCCTTGTCTGCTAACTTAAGTACACACTAATGTATGAATAAAACTGCATACATGCATGTATAGAGGCTTCATAATTTCACTAATCAGTTAATGTGGAAGATTGCATTAATTTTTGAGTGTGCAAATTTATGTCAGATTACAGTATCGGATGTTGAGTATACAAATTTTGTTTGTGATTCTCATACAGCTTCACACACCAGACTACTTTTGTTTAGATTGATTCTTAAAGATCTTTCACATTTTTATATTTGTTTAAATATATAGGGACAGATGAAGAAATTCAAATACATGGTGTAGTGAAGTGGGGGTAAGTTAAAAACAGAATGAGGCTGCTAATGAATGAATTTGTATCCAGTAATATTATAGAAAAAAAAAAATATCTGAATCTTATACACATGTATTTTTTAGCTACAAAGTCTCACACAACCCTGCAACATCAGAATTTTCAGTCCAGGGCAAAGTCAGTTTGTGTTATGATGCTAGTTCTTGTACAGATGTTGCCATGAACTATGAGCTGGGCTACCAAAGCTGCACCCCACCCCCTCCAGCACAATACTTGCCAGGTATTTACATATTTTCTAGAATCTAAAATAATATAAAAACATTTGAGATTGAAAATCAGGAGAAATTATGTACAAAGTATTTCTTAAAAAAATTGATGGATTCCTTTAGGAGTATCATTTGGACTTTGGAAGCAGACACAATGTACACCGTTTACCTATGATAATACAGGTAAGAAACTTAGAATAAACAATTGAAATTTAAGTTACAGATACATACGGTATAACTTTCTTAAGAAGATAATCTGTGGGTTTATATAACAGCTGTACATCTTTTTTCCTCTATTAAAAAGGTTGTCCGAACTTCAACCTTCCAACTGATGGTTCCTCAAATTGTGGCATTCTGGCAGATTGTTCTGGAATTCAGTGCTGCTTTAATACAAACTTTGATTTGGGTTCTAAAAATATCTTCTTCAAGATTCGCATCAACTGTGGAAGTAACAGCATTGAATATGAAATTGAGAGAAATACATATAACAAAGCATTGTCATCTCTAACAGATGGTACGATTTAATTCATTATGCATATTTTGATATACATATTTTTTTTTTTATATACCAAGAAATATAAAAAACATTCATGCTAGAGGGACATTCAATTCATTATAAAGGAATAATTTTTGTCTTAATTGTTTTACCTGTGTTAATTATTACAGGTGTTTCAGCAACAGAGGTTATTGGGAATACCGGTACACCCACATTTAGTCTGAGTTACTCCAAGAATAAAATCAATGATACCCATGAAATCACTGCCTCTCTGACAATACATGGTACCCCTACAATAACTTATAATGTTATAGATGATAACACTGACATAGATACACCAACATGTACCACAAGAAGGAGAAAACGACGATCAGTCAATTTATCACAGTAAGTTGATCAAAATATTTGAGAACTTGAATAAAACAGCAAGAAGATAACAATTATTGAGATTCATAAAGGTCTCTTGCATTTTGTAAAGCTATTGAACTTAGAAACTTTAATGGGATAGCTAATTATTAGAAAATTGTATAGATTATAATATCACAGATAAAGATGTACATGTATATATGTGTTTAAATTTACAGACTTGATCCATCAGACTTCAAGGCTGGAGTGAGAACATTGCTGCAGAGTGGGGCAACTAATGAAGACATTGAGGATTTCCGAGTTCTCTGCCAGAATTATGCTGTAAATGGAATCGTTATGAATTAATCGATACGAAAGTTTCAAGATACTTTTAAAACTTAACTTTGATCAGCATAAAAGAAAATATGATGAAGTATGATGGCAAAGTAGTAGTTTATGACTGTAGTATGAATTATTTTGTAAAATGCTTTTCAGAAATCAAAGAGATCGACAAATATGGCCAGTACCTTTATTTCAAATGATGATGCTAAAGCCAGCATAAAGACCCAAATAATCTCACTAGGAATGAACAACCCTCTGACTTTGCCAGTTCTGAATAATATAACAGAAAACTCAACTGTTCAAGGAGGTACTAACCTGCATGTGTTTATTGCTTAAATTTCTCTATTTTTAAGAATGACAATAAGTATTTTGAACCATCACAGACTGCTGAGTAAAAGGTAAACTACTGTAAATATATTTAATGTATTAACAAAATGTGGCCTAATATTGATTTGAATTATTTATCGTACACTGAACTATTTTTGTAATTATGGAACTTGTTTTATGAAATGTTGAATTATTTTATTGAACACATGCAATTACCCTTTTTCAGCTGATTCCATTGAGAAACTCATTGGTACAGGACCAACTTCAGCAGCAGCAAAAGATGGTGGTATATATGTGGTGGGACAGGGTCTGAATGCAGTGGGAACAAAACTGCTGAGTAAGAAGTTAGCTTGTATGACCATAGGAGACCTGGAGGCTATATTGAACATTAAAAATATGAATTCTTCTCAAGTTTCCCAACTGTTATCTCAACTGAAAGATTTGGCGAAAGCTTTGGTAAGTTCATGTACCTGTGTAGAACCTGCTCTTAAATTTGACCTGGTATTTTACATTAACTTGTGAGGCATACAATATTTTTATTTTCGATAGAGTCTATATAAATGTACTCACATTCTTGTGTATACAAATGTTATATACATGAAAAAGATCATATTAATGCAGTAACAACTTAAATAACCATGATCCAGAAGGCTTCAGAATATAATTATTTATTACTAACTAAAGATAGATTAACATAAACTAGGTGTCACAACTTTTAATCAGAAATGTTTATATCTTGCAGTATTCTGACTTCAATAGCAGGCTAAATATAAGTAGCAGTACAGATAGTATTTTCAAGAAGTTTGACTTAGAGCTGTCAGAAACCAAGGATTTCCCCCGACAAACTGTCAATGTCTTCTCATACAACAAAATGTTCTTTGTTGGAGGCCTCATCAGAATGAACTTTGGTAAATTGTTTATCATAGAAATCATGAAAATAATTGTATTGTCTATGTATCTTTTGCTGAATGATTATAAAATTGCAAAATCATGTTGCTTCTGAAGTTAATTGTAAATGTCTGCCTTGTTTAGGATTCAGTGCAACAGGAAACCTTGGATCCACTTTTACTGCTGGAGTGAAGGTCATGGACATGACAGGTAGTGCAAAAGTAGATCCTTATGGATCAGTAGTGGTGTCAGGGGAACTCTCCGTCGGGAATTTCCTGCATGGGACTCTGAAATTAGAGGGTAGCATGATAGACGTCAGATTCCCTTCAACAGCTGAACTTAGCTTTAATAAATTTCCACTGGAAGTAGGGTAAGACATCATTCTTTCAAATTATTTTTCCCCCTGTTATTATATTTTTTGTCATTTAAATTCTTTAAGTGTTTTACTATATTTTCATGGTGTTTACAGAGTTCAAATGTACCTGAATCTAAAACCTGTAAAGCTGACACTTCAAGCGAAGGTTGTGATGGATGTTGATCTTGGGTTCACACAGTTCCAGAAAGAATTGTTTAGGTCCAGGTTGTGGGATTACAAGTCTCCCACGATACAGAGGCTGGTGATAGACCTGAAGAAACAGGAACAAGATCACACACCCCCAGAAATCAGGAGCTTTGGGGTATCATTGATTTATTTACTTTCTAGGAAATTTTCCTCTGGGCAATTTATTATCAAGTTTACAATTTTTAATTGTTTCATTTAGGATATACTTTAAATCTTTAACTGTGGCTGGTAATTGGTATTTGATTTTATGAAAAAAAAACTTTTGGCTTGGTTTTACTTTAGAATTCTACCAGCGAGGATAGATGTGGTGTGATCCAGGAGCCAGGGCGGGATTACAAGGAGCCGATGTTTAGAGTGTTTCTGGATGCTGGGGATGATCTGAGTGACATTAACATGACTCTAGACATTGGGACAGTTCCTGGAGGGAAAGATGTCATATCAGGAAAGGAACTTGGAGGTTTCTCCACCATGTTGAATGATGTATGCAAATTGACCAAATTATACATCTAATTCAAAATATCACACAATACAGATTCTATTCTGTTATCAAATTATGATGAAGAAGTATATCTAAAAAAAATTCACAGTGACTTGAAAAGAATTAATATTAATGAGTGTATAACAAGCAAGTGAAATTTAAATTTATGTTTTCTGTGGAACTTGAAGGGCATTCAGTAAAATGTGCCTTTATGATATTTATAGGTGTTGAGTCCCTCTGGGGTGCCTCTCTACTTCTCTGTGTACGTCACAAATCAGGCAGGAGAAACGGCAACAGCAATCTGTTCCTTAGCAACATATGATGTCACACTGCCAGGAGGAAGAATGGGTTTGGCCTTCAGATCCACCAGTAACCCCAATGTACTCAAGGCCACAGTCACCGTGTACGAAGACTCCCCCATCACTGAGAGTAGAGTAGCTGTGGGGTATGGAACAGGAAAAGATGGAAGTCAGATTGTGGGCTGGACCAATGTCAACCTACAGGAAAATGTGGTCAATTATAATGTTGGTACGTTTGTGGTGTGAGAAACCAACTTTTATTCATGTGCATGAAGTATCCATGAGATTTGAGACCTTCTGTTACTTGCAAATATTTTGTGCCATGAACCTTTTTTATACCCCCGCTCCGGAGGAGAGGGGGGTATACTGTTTTACCCTTGTGTGTCTGTCTGTCTGTCTGTCCGTCCGTCTGTGTGTCTGTCTGTCCGTAACAAATTTCGGTCGCAGTTTTCTCAGCAACTACTCATTGCCGATGCTTGAAATTTTAGCACAATCTTTGTTTAGGCATGCCATATGGTGGGATTCATTTTTGTAAGAATTCGATGTCAACTTCCTGTTTATCCCTGCGTCTGTCCGTATCATACATAAATTTTGGTCGCAGTTTTCTCAGCAACTACTTATCGCAGGTGCTTGAAATTTTAACACACTCTTTGTTTAGGCATGCCATATGGTGGGATTCATTTTTGTACTAATCCGATGTCAACTTCCTGTTTATCCGTGCGTCTGTCCGTACCATACATAACAAATTTTGGTCGTAGTTTTCTCAGCAACTACTCATCACAGATGCTTGAAATTTTAGCACAATCTTTGTTTAGGCAAGACATATGGTGGGATACATTTTTGTACTAATCTGATGTCAATTTCCTGATTATCACTATGTTTGTTCATAACTGAACTTGTGTATTCATATCAGAGTGAGGGTATTATTAGTGAGCATTGGCTCACAGACTTCTTGTTTTTTTTTGGTTTTTTTGGTTTTTTTTTTACATAGAATGTTTTCTCAGTCAGTAGTCATGGATGGATTTCTAAATGACAAGTTGTCACAAATGATAGTTGATTTACAGTGTTGTACTAAAAATTTATCTGCATTGATAGGAAATGACCCTACACATGAAAAGGTTATGAAGTTGTTTTCTGCTGGGAAGATAGCACGCTTGGTTGGCTCAGGTATTGTTAGTGCCTCTCACTCAAAGATAGCCACAGTTGGGGAGTGTGCAACTATCTGTAATGGCATGCATGTGACAAAGTGCCTCAGTTTTAACTATGATTTTGGAAGCAGCGGACACTGTGAACTTCTGGAGGTAATTGAAGGACAAGACTACAAAACATCAGTGGTAAGTAGGATGGAAGCTGAATGTTTATCAAACACTCTTTGTTTGCTTTATAAATCATTTAGTAGGCCCTTACCACCTTTAATGTGTTTTCAGTGCTTATGGTAGTTGCTTGGGTATTAAATTTGAATACTGCATACAAGGTTATTTATGCCCTTTCACCCTTCTAAAAATTTTGTTCAGTTTTAAATTGCCTAGACACAGTTGCAGTTAACATATAGTGCTGTCTTCTTTAACTTTTGTCCCATTTTAAATCAACCCTCTTGCATTGAAGCCATAAGAGGCACAAATTTCTCTGTATACAGTAGAAGATTAGGTAACTGACAACTTAAAAATCAGCGTTTCAAAAAATTCATTTCATATTAAAGGATGGCTTGTACATGCACTACGAAAAGCTGGGAGTTGGATCAAACAGAGGATTTGAGTATACCAACCTGAACCTAATCCACAACCAACTGTACTTCTTCAATTTTGAAGTGGTCAACTCCTTGGGTTTTACCAACATTCTAAGCTCTGAACCTATCCTGACTGATTTCACCCCACCAACTCCAACATCATGTAACTATTAGTTTTAAGCCACTGATATATATATACCACATGCAATGATTACCACCAAACTGGCAACAGTTTTTCTATTTGAAGAATATTTGTAAGAGATTAACATCCTAGTTTTTAAACACCATAATGTGAAGTTGGGATAATTACATGTATGAATTTGGTTTCAGGGCAAATCAGAGTAACCAGTGATACAACAGAGACCCTAGCATGTACTACATTGATACCCTCAGACCGAGATAACTGGCAGAGACTTTATTGTCAAGGAGTGAATCCCAACACTAAAAACCACAGGGTCATTGTGGATGGACCGGGCTCAGAAACTGTCTACAATGGACATGAGTTCAAAACAGATCTTCTCTATACCAGAGCCAACCAATACATATCCGGTAAGTTACATGCAATCATGTATATCACCAAGAAAGAAGATTATCATAGAATATTGGAAAAGAAAAATCATTAAAATGTTTTCTAACATGCTTTAAGTGCAAGTAAAGATGGGGAAAAAATTGGATTCTAGAGAGGTTGATTTATCAATATATTCATGTTTCATAGCAAACTGGGATGGGATTCATGACAATGAAACAGGCTTGCTTGGATACGCTGTAGCAGTTGGTTTGAGTCACTGTGATGATACTGTGTACAAATTCCACGACCCCCACGGTCACCTCCTGGACTCCTCCCAGTGGACTTACAGTGTCATCATGACCCCCATACCAGCACCTTACACAGTGCTGCCAGGTAAAATTACCTTGTCTGTGGATTAAAACTTCTTAGAAAGTGAAAAAACAGTATGTTGTCCTTGGGTTAAATCTAGAAAACTGTACCCCCTTGGAAAGTGAAGACATTAAGTTCATTCTTCTATAGCAACAAAAAATAATTCTTAAACATGTGAAAGTGAAGCATAATGTGAAGAATCGTTTTACAGATGGAAAATACTACATCACAGTGAGGGCCATTAACAAAGTGGGGTATGGAGGTCCCCTGGGAACATCTGTCTGTCACTCCACAGCCTACACAATAGACAATTCACCTCCTGTTGTGTATGAAATCTTCAATGTCCAGTACGATGAACAGACATTCAACCTCACACTGTCACACAACTCCTCGTGAGTTTATCATTCATGTGTATCTTATAAAATTTTTGAATTATGATAATAATCTAGGATGAAATAAGTTGTAATTTTCACTATAAGTAACTACAAGTAAAAGTTGTTTCTTTTGTGTAGTGATCCCCACTCTGGATTAAGTAGAAATGACTTATGTCTTGGACACACCCCCAGAGACTGTGATGAACTGGCATGGACACAGATTGACTACTCTCCAAACATATCATATATACACCAGATGACTGACGGAAAGGAAATCTTTGTCAAAATTAAAGCTGTTAATAATGGTAAGCTATACAATCTTCTTAAATGTACGTGCAAAGCTTGGATCATAAAATTCCTAGTTGGTTACACAATAATAAGTCAGTAGCTTATTTTAGGCATTGTATTGTACCTGTGTATATGTTTGTTCTTCCATATAAAAATGTGTGAATATAAGATCTATCTGATTCTAGTGGATTTGAGAAGTATAGGAGTAGCCCAAGCCTCCATCATTGTTGACAGATCAGCCCCTGTACCAGGCAGAGTGTATGATGGAGAAACACCACAGCAGGATTTAATGTTTACCAAAGAGAAGGACAAGGTAACACTAGTCTTTCTAAAAATAATCAAATAAACAAATAAATTTTCAATATGAGCTCTACATGAATGCCTAAATTACTTTTGCATTTTGATATGGTTTATAAAGGAAATATAATACATGTGTATATTGATGACATTGTTTGTTTTAGATTTGTGGCAACTGGGAGGGATTTAGTGATGCAGAGTCAGGTATTGCCCTGTATGTAGTGAGTGTCTGGACAGCAGACAGTGGTACCACAACAAAAGTTGTCAACGACACCCAGTTCTCCAAGAACACTAGTTCTGCCTGCTTCAGCCTCAGAGCTGGAAACCAGCTACAGCATGGAAGGATATACCAAGTTACTGTGCAGGCTTTCAACAGTGCAAACAAACAGCTCAATGTGTCTGCCTCATCAGATGGGGGTATGTCTGTATTATAACAGGGTAATATCCCCTCAACCTTTCTTTATCCCTGCACAAAAAGTGAGGGAATATAATGGCACAATAATGCATTCAAACTGGAGGTATTTATTGTAAACAGCTTTTAAATTCTAATTTTGATAAACTTTTGTAAGAATTTTCTATACTTTTGTGGGTCATAAATGAAGAATTTGCAAAGAATTTAGTTAAATACTAAATGCACACATAACTGCAGATTATTTAGTATGTTGTGACTTAATTTCAGTTCTTGTGGACACCACTAACCCTGTGACAGGTGAGGTGGTAGACGGTAAGGATGCCACATTTACTGATGTACAGTATACCACCAGCAGAGCCAAGGTGGAGGTCCAGTGGAGGGGATATTCTGACCCAGAGTCCTCTATTAAGAATTACCAAGTACAAGTGTACAGGGCCAGGTATAATCTAGAGTAGAATGTTGAATATATCAATATTTTATACCTTTGGTAATTCATAAAAGCAAACAAAAATTGTTTAATGCTAATAAAATTAAATACTATTTGTACAGGTTGTATATATAAAATTTCAATAATTGTTTTAAATAGATACCAAACTCAGCATTTATGAGGTTTTACTACTCGAAAATATTGCATATGTATTTCAGGAATCTGGGAACAAGCTATGAATTGCTGAGAAATTGGTCCACCTTCAGTAACACTTCCTCAAGTGTAACCTGGCTGAACTTTGAACTGGAGCACAAGGACAGAGTAAAGACAGAGCTGAAGGTCACCAATGGAGCATTGAATTCTGTGTCACAGGAAACAGATGGATTTGTGGTGGATCTTAGTCCCCCAGAACTAGAATACTTGTGGGATGGTCTGGGAAACTCAGACATTATGTACCAGGTATGAAAACTACTGCATTTAAGGTGATATCACTTTGTATTATACATTAGCTGATACACACATGACCCTGAAAACCAACAAGCCCTTTATCTGTACCGAATATTATCAATCTTGATATTAAAGGATGTGACAGATCGTCTTCATGTGAAATTTAAATTCGAAGACAAAGAATCAGGTATCAAGCAGTTCCAGATACAGATTTATGAGTTATACCATGGAACAAGGATGAAGGTCTACCCAGGTAAGCAAATACTCCATCATCATGAAACAAGCAAATTGAGTCTTTCACCAAAATTACTATGGTCTAAATTTACACTGTCAATTTCTTAGTAACCTTTACCTGGAACACAATCGTCAATGGTTCCTTGACCAGCTACAGCTGGACTGGTCTGACTCTGAAGCAGGGAGCCCTGTACAGTGTACGGGTGGCAGCTGTCAACAATGCAGGGTACATGTCTTCCTTTGAGACCAATGGAGTACTCATAGACACTACCCCACCCATTGTAAGTTCCACATGTATGCAAGATTTTTTTATATGAATTCCAGTGCTCATTGGAATACTATTGATGTGTAATTAGGAATAAATTTCTTGAGAATTATGGACAATGAAATATTAAGCCAGAAGGTGGAGGTGCTACAAGTCACTTTTGTATGGTAGATCCACTGGCTGAGGGTAGGTGTGATGGCAGAAATAGCAGAGGAATGGGTCAATGGCTATGTGTACCAGTCTGACAGACAGGGGATCATGACTGCCTGGGATGTTGTGGACCATCAGTCTGGACTTGTTAATCATCAGCTAGCAGTTGGCACCACACCAGGTCATTACATTAGACACAGTTACATTGTCATCTTGACTCTTGAGTTATGAAATTAAAGATGCTTAAAATGAACAGCAAACCCAATAAAATGACTTGAATGTAATTTTGTTTACTGTAAACCCTTGTGACAACTTTTATTCACAGCTGGTCAGTTTGAAATCATTTGCTACTTATTTTCATAACTGAGTTAATATTCTACATTCATGATACCCAATTAAATGGTTTGTAAAAGAAATATTTGCAAGTAAAATGTAAAATAAGGTAGCAAAATTTCAGGATATATTTTGCATGCAAATAAAAGTTGGTTTCATTATAGTATTTTTTAAGTATAAATACTTGTGTTAACTAACAGACAGTTGTTGTTTTGTAGGGGGGAGTGATATCCTTAGCTGGACATCAGTGGGCCTTGTACAGAGTCGCTACATAGACGGTCTTAGCCTCTCTTTGACTGACCAGACCCTAAATCAGCCAGTGTATTATGTGTCCTTAAGGTCAGAAAATGGTGTGGGAAGGATTTCAACCACCACAGCCACCCCAGTCTACATTACACAGGGAGATAAAGCAGGTAATAAAAGGTCCTGGAGATCTGAACAGAGATTACAGATTATTTACATTATTAAGACAAAGCGGAAGATGTTTAAAGAAGATCATGAAAATACTGGAATGAATATATGTCATGTTTGATTTCTTGAAAAACATGAAAGTTTTTAAAAACGCCAATGGTATGTAAAAATCAGAGATGAGAGAGAGAGAGGAGAAATATTTAGTCATAGATTCATTGCAGTTCATAAGAGCCTTTTTACACCAAAGTTTGATAAATTTACTTACGGGGTACAAACTCCTGATTACTGTAGGTGTGGTGTTTGATGGAGCTGAGGGCAGTGAGGACATTGTATCGGGAACCTTGCATCCTGATGGAGTGTTTGAGATAGACCAGCAGTTGGATGCCAGCACGGTCACCGTACAGTTCACTGGGTTTGAGAGCAGCCTACATGGCATCATGAAGTTTGAGATGGCTATTGGAACAGAACCTGAAAAACAAGATGTGCTGTCTTTTACTGAAGATAACATTGTCCATATGGAAGAAACCAATGTAGCTGGAAATGGTATGTATTGGAGATGATAAACATTTTTCTGATTTTTGTAGGAAAAAAAGCATTAAACATATTACTAAACTGGTTTATAGTAATTGAACTTTTTTCCAAACTTGTGCTGTACAGTAATATCTGATTTGATTTTTATAGGTCTGGCAAGCTCAGGGTACGCCCAAGTCAACCTAGAACTGAAACCTAACCAGACCTACTACACCACCATCAGGGCAGTGACAAACAATGGAAATATCCTACAAACAAGTTCTGATGGATTTACTGTAGACCAGTCACCTCCTGTCATCCAAGTAGACAGGTAAAAGATTACATGATTGTATTTAAAGTAAATGTTGTGTACTTGAATCTCCACACAATTAATATGTGAAATTTTTTTTCAACATTATACATGTATGTCCTTATACAGTTAATCATCAAGATCAATTTGTTTTGGTGATAACAAAAATCTTTTCATAATAATAGCAAATGTTCTACTAACAATCTCCCCCTAAATGTTTATGTAGACTAGCAGATGAGTGGCTGTCAGAAGAAGCAGACAATGATACAGTGTATGAGATGTCGGAGAAGCATGTGTCAGCAGAGTGGCACTATAACGACACCGAGTCAGACGTGGTGAAGGCTTGGTGTGCTGTCGGAACGTATCCCTACGCTGATGATATTTCTCCTAAGAAAGAACTAAACATCTCTTCTGTAATGAGTAATGGAGTGAATGTGGCTTCAATCTCAGCCATGAAGACGGGTAATCCTCACATTTCTTTCTTGTTTTCAGTTTCTTTTGTTTGGATGTAAATTTTTCGTGAATTTTTTTGTCTTAAAATTTTTCACTTAAAAAATCCTACATTTTTAAGGTAAACCAAATATCATAAGTATCTGGGCAGAAAACTGTGTGGGTTTGATCAGCAAGAGAACCACCAGTGCCATTGTGATTGATGAGAGCATTCCCCAAACAGGATCTGTAGTGTGTCCAGAATTTATCCAGGTATGTGATTCTATCCTGTCAGGTGACAGCTAAGCTATTTTGATCATTTAGGTTAAAATCTTTGTTTCCTTTTGTGAGGAAAACGTAGATACATGTTAAAAAGTCACTTTTAATATAATTTGCCATAGTAAGTGTGGTAAAAGAAAGGGTCACAATATTTATAGGTATGTTATTATCTCTGCATGTATTTTGATAAAAGTAACATATACCTATACTGTCCATTTTTGCAGCCTGACCAGTCCATAGAATGTAGCTGGTCAGGATTTTCTGATACTGAGTCTCCTATAAAAGAATTTCACATAGCCATGGGATCAGCACAGGGAGATGATAGTCTGTTGTCTGGCATTACTCTATCAGCTGATACATCCAAGTACACCATTACTGGTATGTGCTACTCCAAAATAAAAATACATGTCTAATTTAAAAAAAAATATTTGCCTTGTAAAAATGACATAACCCCATCTGTTGTTTTGGGATAAGAAATGAAAAGTTATTTGATACGTAGGTGTGACTTCCCAGCTGACCCACAGCTCCATCTACTACATCACAGTGACTGCTGTGAACACTGTTGGTCTAGAGATCAGTGCTTTCTCTCTTCCCATCACCATGGACACCACTCCTCCAGTCACGGGCAAAGTAGTGGACCTTCACACAGTTTACAGACTGGACTTCACAGATAATGATGCTACTGTCACCCAAAATAGTGTACAATGTTCCACTGAAGCAGGTGTGTGTTTGACACAACTTCTGTGTGGAAATTACTGTAGTACTGTCAACTGACTATTATTCAGGACTACTTTAAATTAATTTTTGCATCTGAGAAAATCCATAATTTTTAAAATTAAATAAAAATGAAAGTTCAAGATGAGTGTTTTACAAGTAAATCCAGGCCACGAAAGTTGTAGATATCATATTTTGGAGTCATTTCAGTGTATTATGTTTGTTGTAATTACGTAATATGTACTCATTTTGGTCAGTTTTACCTATAATGTGTTTACAGGAAATATTGGTTTTTGGCCACCCAGTAATTTTTATAACTTGGATTTTATCGTCATTTTTAATAAATGACATTTATGGAATCAAAAAAAACTGTCCTGTTGTTTTTATGCAAAAAATTAGCTTCTTTGAAGGCAGTTATATGGATTGGAAGAAGTTTTACTTAAATTGATTTACAGTATTGGATTGGAAGAAGTTTTACTTAAATTGATTTACAGTATTTAAAGTGAAACAATACACATTTTCAGAAAATTTCTTATTTTGATTATGTATGTGAAGTTCCTTTGCACAAAATATTTTGTATCATTTATTTATTCATTTTTCTTTGGACAGAATGTGATGCTTTGGATGCCACTTGCACAGAATCTTTAACATCTCTGTCAGTGACCTGGATGCCATTCTCAGATCCAGAATCAGGAATTGCAGAGTAAGTACATGTATTCACTAGGTGTGGTTCTGCATAAAAATTGTCCTCTCTAAAAACTTAGTACTAAAAAGACTATACTTTCTCTATTAGGTATCAGATAGCAGTGGGGACCTCACCTGGAGGGGGACAGATCCAGTCATTTATCCCCATTCCACTGAACAGTAAACACTACACAGTGGGAAATCTGAATCTTAATGGACAGAGACAGGTGAGTATTTCTATCACACAATTCATATTATATGAAAAAGAAAATGACAATGATGTCTATCAAAGAATGTTTCTCATCCTCTACTAATCATACTGCAATCATGATATTTTGCGTATTCACATGACAGAGCATTGATGTTTAAATTTCAAATCTGTTTGTGTCTGGGAAGGCTTTTTATATACCGTTACATGTATGTTTCAGTGTACATCTATTATTGATATTGATATGACTTTCTCTATACAGCTGTTTGTGTCTGTGAAGGCTGTAAACACAGCAGGACTTTCCAGTGTCTCCTCCTCCAATGGAGTTTACATGTCTTACCTCAGTCAAGGAAGAACACCGCTGTCTCCAGTGGAAATCATGGATTTGGTAGAGGGAGGCAACTCAGATGTGTAAGTTCAATTTTTTTTTATCATCTGATTTGAGATAGTTTTGTGTATGCTTGTGTCATCTTTTGATTGTCTTGATACCTGTCAATACTTACTGACTGTAATACTTGATCACTGTGTGCCTCTCCTTTCTCCAGAGACATCCAGACAGATCCAGCTACCATAATGGCCGGATGGGACACTTCAGGAGATCCATGTCCAGCCACTAAGTATGAATGGGCCATAGAGAGACTGGACGGAAAAGTGATCTCTGCATTCTTGGACATGGGATGTAAGTTTGAAGCCTAACATATATAAGGGCAATTTATTCAAACGTATGTGCATAACATACTGTGATGGTGATCATTCACATCTTGAAAGTGAAATTTTAATAAGCCAGACATCTTTTTCAGTGAAGACCTCAGGACTGATTGATGGATTGGTTTTGGTGAACAGTGAGACCTATGTTAATCTGCTTCGGGTGACTAACTCTATTGGATTTCAGTACATACGGAGATCCTCTGGAGTCACAATTCAAGGGACACCACTCCTGCCTGGCAATGTGTATGATGGTAGCATTGCAGGCTTTGATCTTAACATTCTGCCTTCTCCTAGGACTGTATCAGCCAACTGGAATGGATTTGGTCTCCCAGCAGATGCTATTGTGCAGATTGATGTTAACAGTGGTAAACTTGATTGTTATTTTCAAAAATTATTTTCTTTTACATATTTACCTATTGATATTGTAATATTCATGTATTACAAATTATTCATGATATCTATTGAAAATGAATAGGTACAAAATATTTTTTGGGGGGAGGATGGGTTAGGTACATGCTTTCTTGTTAATTAAACAATAAAAACATTGTTAAAAAGAAAACTTATTATATCTGATCTGTTTAGACTGATCAATTTGCTATTGGTTTTTGTCTTTTTACAACTCTGAACTCTGTTAAAGGAAATCCTGGTGTTCAAGCTGACCAATCCCAACTGGAGTCCCAAGACAGAAGCCAACAGATAGCTCACTATGAAGTAGCCTTAGGAACTGACAGAAGATTTAACAACACCCGCTATGATGTGGTACCTTATACCAATGTAGGGACGAACACTACCGTAGAATTCTACGACTTGAATCTCACTCCTGGCACAGCTACCTACTACTTTACTGTGATCGCTTACAGTAAATCTTTCTCCAAGACTATGGTGACTTCTAATGGATTCACTGTGGGGGACGGAGGAGGAATCACAGGTAATCCTTTATCTATCATCATAAAGGTAAATAGTTATTCTTTGAAGAAATAGGTATTAAGATTAAAGAAAATATTTACACTGCCAGTATGAGTATGAACCTTGACCTAAAAAACCTAGTCACTTGCAGATGTGAAATAAGCATACTCATCTTTTGATGGATTTCTTACAGTTGGAATCATTTCAAGTCCTGGGAGTTGTGTGCACACAAATGCCACCCTAGATGTTCAATATAATGGATTCTCCTCAGCCCTAGGAATCTTTATGTACTATGTTGCCATTTCTAACACAACAGATGCTAACAGCACAGAATGTAAAGAATATGTAAGTTATAGAAAAATTACCTTGAACTAAAAATTTTTATGGAATAATAAATAAGTTGCTTCTTATTTGGTGTGATTGTTAATGTGTTCAACAGATTGATGGAGGTTCGTTGTCGGAGAGTGAGAGAAAAGCCTTGTTTTCAGCCAGAGATGTGACCAATCTGGGACAAAACACATATGCCAAACTTACAGGACTTGACCTAGTTCATGGACAGAACTACTACATCTGGGTCATTGGTAATGGCAAAATTTCTGATTAAGATAGCTGTTGAAATACTTGTGATGTGCTAGATTTCTTTATTTTTTTCAATATCTTGCATGAACCCCTATCCTTTGTAAAATTTTGATAGTTGTATAAATCTCTTTTTTTTCAGCTGCGGATAATTCTGGACAGTGTGCCAGTACCTACTCAGCATTCATTGTTGATGTCACAGAACCAGAAATGGGAAAGATGAAAACAGGTCCATTTTATGACATGGTAGGTTTTTGTCCATTGCAGAAATCTGAAAATTTTCTTCAAACATACCATCTTCATTTAGCAGGATACTTGAATGCAAAAGAAATACTGTTTCAAAAAATACATGTTAAATTTAATACACCAGTATGTGTGTTATCAAACCTATCAAAATCATATATCACCTGTAGACATGATACATATTTATGTATATATATTCTCGGGTTCTATTTCCAGCCTGTTACCTTCTCCACTGTGGACACCAGTATCACTGTGAACTGGATGAACTTCAGTGACCTGGAGTCTGGAATATCAACATATGAGTTGTCACTGTGGAAGAATTCGTCCTGTAATGGGGACACCGCTACAGCCACCAGTGTCACAGACTGGATAACATTATCCAACACCTACACCTCGTATGATATTGTGGATATAAAACTCCAGGTACTGAATTCTGTCACTTCTGTGACACTCTCAAAAGTGACATCCTAAGAATTATTATGTCATGTATTTTAATATTTAATGCATTGGTAAATTTATTGTTAGCATTTGTGAAGGCAAAGTCATGCAATTCAGTGTAAAAACACAGAGTTAAACCTTGATATCTGGAACATGGTGAGATCAGAAAATCTCAAGATATCTAGATTTTATGGTACATGTATCAAGTTGAATATGTATTAGTTTAGAATTCCCAACTCTCTTTCATATATCACTGGTATTCAACATACGTGATAAGTGTTTGAGACACAGAAGTTGACTGTATGTCCTATATGTTGTCATTTATTAGGAGAATACTCCCTACTATGTTAAGATGAGAGTGAAGAACTGTGCTGGTCTCTCAGTGGAGCTACAGTCTCCCCCAGTCCTTATTGACAAGACTGTCCCCAACAGTGGTGTGGTCAAAGATGGAGGAGATTTTCAGAGTGATATTTTATGGGTGAATGACAACACAAAAGTCACAGGTTTGATATCTTAAGATATTTTGTACATTTTGTGCATTGATGAAGATGGTAGTGCAAATACTAATAGATGATCAAAGGGACAAAATTTCAAAATTGCAAACACATTATAATCCAAAAAAATGAAGAGTTCAGAGATAATTTAACCTGAGATTTAACATAATTTATCAAAATATCCTATAATTGCATGTTTACTATCAAAGTTTCCCTGTATTTCAGGGTCTTTCTTGCATCTTGCCAAACCCACTGGACTGTCATGCCCAAATCAGAATATTTCTATCAGAAATGATCCAAACTGGAAGAAGCTGACCAAGCTGGGGATGCTGGATCCAGATGGAGAGACCTGGAAGATCCAGTACTCCCCAATCTACATCATGGACTTCCCTGTGGAGGATAAAGTAAAGCTGAAGCTAGGACTGACACGGGATACAGTAAACAAGGACATCCTAGGAGCTGGGGCCATGTACAGATCAGCAGAAATGTTTAACGGAGGCACTTATAAAGTATGCTCATCATCGGTTTTTTAATCTTGACTTGTAATTTCAGAATACCTGTATTTTCTTTATATTCTCAGTGTCTGCAATAATGAATTATTTCTAATTTGAAAATGTAACTAAAAATTTTCACTATTTCATAAGTGAGTTTACTTTGCCCAGATTATAAGAATGTACTTCTTCTTTTTATGTGTAGCTTGAGCTTCGAGCAGCAGATCATGATGGAGATGTGGTAACTGAGGTCTTGTTCTGGGACAGCACAGATGAAGGTCTAGCTTCCATGAAACATCAAGAAGAACAACTGATGACTGAAGCTTGTTCCTGTTGCTTTGCAAATCCCATCCCACCAGTATGTATAAAAATATTGTTGAAAACATATTTTAAGTAGAACTGCATTCAAGGCACTTCAAATTTTGTAGCATACAAATGATTAAATTTTGAAAGTAAAGCAACTCTAAACGTAAGAGGAGCATGTGTTTTCTTTTTGTAGACCTGTGACAATGGGCAATGTAATTGTCAGCAGTATTTGAGAGAGAAAGGCTACTTTGGTAACGAGACATTCCCAGCTCAGATTACAACAACTGCTCCTATCACTCAGCCCACAACTGCTTCTCCATTCAATGTTGTCAATGATAAAGGAACTAGTGTCCTGGGTCAAAACAAACCAAGCACAATGCAAAATTCTTGTGGAGTTCAACTTTATGCAGGTACATGTTCATGCACTGCTCCAAGACACTGAATGCTGAAATTTTTTTGTGTCAAATTATTCTTTAGCATCTTCATTTTATATCATTTTCAGCCAATCCTTCACAAAATGCTAGTGGCTATATTGTGTCCTGGTGTAGATATTTTAATGACACAAGAGAGAAATTTAGACTAAAAACTGAAGTTAACTTTGATCCTAGTGAAGTGTACAAAACCTACATCATTAAATTTGAAGTAAGGAGTGAGGAAGCCACTGCGGTAAGTTAAATTCAGAACGTAAGCTATGTAATTATCTAAATGAAAAAAAGTAGAATAATAGAATACTCTTTATTTAAAGATGGTGTAAGTATAACATTAAGCTATATAGGTAGAAAAGAATTGGGGAAAAAAGTCACAGATTCATGTACATGTATAACCAGATAAAAGGGACAGTCACTGGAGTTGATATTGTGTTTTTGCCCATTTAGCTGCAATGGTGCATGTCTGTCTATGTGGAAGATGACTTTATCAATCAGCTGTGTGACATTCCCCACCTCTCCACAGATACATTGCTTTTTGTTCACATCTTCAAAAAAGATAACATTCTACCAACGGTTCCTGATGCCTTCACTCCATGGGCTGCTTATGCAGAATTTTCTGATCTGGAAATGCCTCCACCTGTTGGCACACTGTGTAGATCTGGACAACAGTTCAGAGGCTATTCCAATCCCATTATCAAGTATGAGGCAGGAATTGGGTCCTCAAGATTATCCAGTGATGTGGAGGAATTCAGAGAGGTAGTTTTATTTGCATAATTTTAGTATTATGTAATTCTTTACAAACTTCCTAAAACAGATCTCCAAATTTTCCAGAAGAATTGAAATTTATGATAGAACCACTCTTCTACTGCAATAAAAATATTTTAAAATTATTTTCCAAAGTAATTGCAATATGTACCTACATGTAAAGCATTGCCACACAAAGGTGTCCAGGGTCAACTTAATTGAGCTTTAAGAGCTGTTCTATGATTGAAAAAAAAAAGTTTAGTCTTCTGTAGTGTAACATTGAGTCATATGCTTCTTTCAGATTGATTTTCCATGCATCCCCTGTATCAATGACTGCTCCCAATACAGTTGTAATGCCTCCTGCAGTGCTGATGATACCATTCTGAAGGTTTTCTCCTTGGACAATCTTAATTTAACAGCCAAGAGAAATAATTCTGGTTTAAATGAACTGGCAACATACTATCTCACAGGTATCTTTAAAGTATTAAAATTTACTGTGTTACATCACTATGATATAGTTTCATATACACAGTATGTGTCAGATGTATAAATTACATAATACAGTTTCAGAATCTGTACATTTGATCATAAAGCATAATGGATAGATGATAGATGCAAACAGTCTTAAATGAAAAGTTGACATGTTTTTTGAAGTACATAAATATTTATACACAAAAAATGTCTTTTTTTCAATCAGTGAGAGCCACTAGTGGGTCAGGGGCCTCTACCATGTCATCATCAGATGGTTTCTATGTGGACACCACTCCTCCAGAGTTTGATCAACAGCTGATGAGTCTGGATATTTATTATGATGTAGATCAAGGGGAGAGTACTCCTGTACGATACCAGCAATCCAACAGTACCATCAAAGCCATCTGGAAATGTAATGATGAGGAAAGTGATATAGTAGTAAGTAGGGATGTCAAAATATTTATTTTCCTTAGTCGATTATTCAGTTGCATTATTCCAACGATAGTTGAATATTCGGAACATTTTCTGAAGAAAAAAATTATTTCAAACTTCACTGGTACATGACGTATTTATAACTCAAAAATCCTTTTACTGAAATATATTTAAAAGAACCATCAAAATTAATGCAACTTAACGCGTGGATAGCATGATTATATGAAATAAATCTGGAAAGCTAATTCTCTTAATTCTCCAAAATGTATGATTTCCCCATCAATAGAAAGCAGTAATCAGTCTGTACATGCAGTCAGTTTTTATTTTAGTAAGCATTAAAAAAAAAATTGCCAGCTGATATTTTTTTAAAGCTTATTATGAAATAAATTGGGAGAGGGGGTGTTAATCTCACACTATTTACACGTCATGTGCCTATGAAATTGTTAAACAGGTAGATACTGCTTATTGAATTATCAATTGCTCTCGGTATCAAAATGTCCGTAAACTGTTTAAAATGTAAGCGAATTGTTTTAATAATTGTCGACCTGTCTAAACATGTCACAGCTATGGTTTGTTCCTTGCATTTGAGCAATCTTAAAAAAACAAAAGATAATTGGTACATGGTATAAGATAAGTCCAATTAATATTTTTACAAACAAACCCTAGTATATTAGTGGGTAATTTAGTATAAAAACAACACAGGCTGTTACTGACAAACATTTCTCGTAGTAGTGATTCAGAAGCACTTGTAATTACTGTACTTTCTAAACGTACATGGAAAACCAACCGTTTTTTGTTGAGAAAAATTACCTTATCGACTGTCTCTGAGGAAAGACAGTTTCTCAATTTTGTGATGAGAATTTCATCTTGTTAGTACTCTTTTATTGCATTTATTTAATTATAATAATATTCGAATGTCGTTTCATTATTCGATCGTCGGTCCATTCAACTGATAGTCGAATAGTCGACTACTCATTGACATCCCTAGTAGTAAGTATTTCACAATAGATAAAAAAATATAAAACAGAAATATTTGTTTTTATGCTGTCCAAATGGCATTGCAGGAGATATGTTTTTTTTAACTGTGTAATGCTGAAGTTTATTTGACAGGAATATGAGTGGGCCATAGGAACTTCTCCAGGTGACACAGACATCCAGGGATATACCTCCACTGGGCAGAATGTAGCTGGAATCAACAGCAGTTTAGAGGGTGTGCTTCAACACAACCACACCTACTATGTGTCTATCATCTGTCACAATGGGGCAGGGCAATCAGCTACTCACAATGATACAAAAGGTAATTAATGAATTTTAGATTATCAGTACTGAAAATTAAGAAGTTTATTGTTGTGACAGTATACTTATTTACACTTATATCTCTGTGCCATTGGACCAGACAGAAGAAAACAATTTTATAGAACTGGAAATAACAACTTGATATTTGAATATTAACAATACATTTCTATGTATAAGTCACAAATCTTCTGTATCTCAAACAAGTGTTATTAGCTCACCTGAGCTGAAGACTCAAGTGAACTTTTCTGATTGAAAGGTTTTGCATGGCCAATTTCAACCAAACTTGGCACAGAGCAGCCTTGAGTGAAGGGGATTCAAGTTTTTTCAAATGAAGGGCCATGCCCCTTCTTTCAAGGGGAGATGAATAAGAATTAGTGAAAATTTAATATTAACATCTTTAAAAATCTCCTCCTCAAGATGCCATAAAAGATGAAACTTAGTGAAAGATTCATTACATAGTGTAGATTTAAGTGAGTTCAAATCATGACCCCTGGAGCTAGACTGCATGCATGACACAGACATGGCTTTTGCACAACTATATTACTAAAAAGCATGGTAAAAACAGACTCCAAATATACAACACAGCATATTTGGGGCTCAAAGGAGATAGGAGTACAGTCAAACCTGTATTAAGCAGTCAACTGCGGGAACCATTAAAAGTGACCTTTATAGAGAGGTGACCTTTGAAAAGAGGTTCATCTTTTTTCAAGAAAAATTCTTTTCCAGTTTATGTAAGTTCTGTGTTTTGAAACACTACATCATAGAATATAAAAGAAAGATGTGTTTTGAACATCAATGGTCTCAGATATTTTTTTTAATTTAAATAGACTCAAGATTAAGTTCAAGATAAATTTGATGACTCCAACAAAAAATATATTGAGTCTAATAGGGCACTGCATTATCCTCCCTCCAAACAACAACAGAACTTTCTTTTATTATAAGTTTACATTAATATCATGTTGTGCCATGAATAAAATATAATGTATTTTTTATCTAAACTGCCTCTGAGAAAACAAGTTTAGTTAGTCCTGATAATTGTATGTAAATAGTAGCGTAATAAACAGACAAGTTATAATATTCTCAGTTTATCAAAGCAGTGCACAATACAAATTGATATCAAATTCACAGGTGTTGTGACCAATGAAGCGTGACTAATTCTAACGGTAGTCTTACCTAGTTGAAAAAAACACATTGAGTAAACAAAAGAGTCAATTAGGGTTTCTACAAATAATACGTTTCCTATGTGTTAAAAACGGCCTGTCATGCATCTTACACCTATCGGAGTTGGGCATGCCAAACGTGAACTAATAATTAGGAAACACCTAATTATTGTATCCATTAATAGATAAATATATCAGGATGCCTTGTGTATCATTCAGAATTTTTTTAACCAGATTCCAATTCAAAAAGATTAAGATTCTCGTAAGTCCGTTTTCCCGATAACCTTTTCGATCACTATAGCACCCTTGTTTAGTTTTGTTAAATAAATAAATAAATTGTCCAATATTTTAAATGGTTTTAATAAGGCCAATTATTTTTTTTCATGATCTTGCTATACACGACCAATTATTTACATTAGTGACAAAAATAGTCACCTGACTTTAGATCTGGTCACGTGATTGGACAAAATGGCTGATATATACGAGGTAAAATGGCGATTTTACATGAAATTTGATGACCGCTGACCGCGTTACGCAGGTGACCACTTAATAGAGTTGCATTATATAGGAAAATTCATTGGGAGGAAATAAAATGACCGCATAGGACAGGTGACCGCTGGATAAAGGTGACCGCTATGACAAGTTTGACTGTATATAGGAAAAATCTTTAAAAATCTTCTTCTCAAGAACAGCAAAGTCATGATTAGTCATATTAATACAGAAGCATTCTCAGGTAGTATAAATTCAAGTTTGTTCAAATCATGACCTTCTGGGGTAAGGTGGGGCCACAACAGGGGATCAAAGTTATACATAGGAATTCATAGGAAATTTCTTTAAAAATCTTCTAAAGCCAAATATGGAAGCATCCTCAGTTAATGTAGATTCAAGTTTGTTCAAATCATGACCGCCTGTGGGGTAGGTTTAGACCATGCACTTACATATTTTAACTTCTCAATAATGAACTAATTTCTGATTTCTCTAGCCAAGGTGAGTGGTGTAGCCCATGTGCCTTTTGTAAATGTTACCGATATAAAAAAAATTGGTTGTTTATTGAAGCAACAGCTGTGGTTAATGTATCAGTGGCAAAAACATAACCTTAACTAATTAGTTTCATTGCTTCATACAGGTGTGACTGTGTTGTTGATCCCTCCAATAGATGACATAAATGCCACCTTGTTATTTGTCACGGACTTCTCACAAGCTGTGTATCCTCAGAAATCTTACAAACAAGATGATGGAGAAAAGGCTGGTGTATCATTCACCAAATCCAATGACCCAGCAGTTGACAGATATGGTATACATATTATATATGCAGATCAATCATACTACAAATTTTACTTTAAACTAATGTCTGTTCATAATAGTACTCTTTCTAATCTTATACATGTATTTCTTTGTTTGAGACTTGTTTCTTAAGTAAGATTTTTCTAGGGTAGCAGAGCCAACAAAATGCACACTTGTAAATAAAGTGTCTGACCAGATATATATTTTCTCACCCCATGTAGTACTTGCTGTATTTTTTAGTCAGTTTTTTTCTTAACAAAGTTGTAACAATTTTTTCTCAACTGTAACTTTGATTAAAATTTTTGAACTATATAAAGACTTTAAACAAGATGTGTTTGTGAAACACTGATGCCCCCGTAGCAGCTTATGGTGAAGGTTAAAGTTTCTTCAAATGCAAGTCAAAATCCAGGCCAAAAGATAAAAAATGTTGATACCCAAAGAAAGGTCTTGTCTCGAGGAATACACCTGTGAAATTTGAAAGACCTAGATACAACTGTTCAAAAGTTATGGCGAAGGTTAAAGTTTTTTAAATAAAAGTCAAGGTCAAGGTCAAAGTGGTTGGTATCCAAAGGAAGATCTTGTCACAAGGAATACATATGTGAAGTATGAAAGCCCTAGCACCAACCATTCAAAAGTTATGGCCAAGGTTAAAGTTTTTCAAAAGAAGGTGAAACTCCTAGGTCAAGGTCAAAGGGTCAAAGTGGTTGGTATCCAAAGGAAGGTCTTGTCACAAGGATTACATATGTGAAGTATGGCCAAGGTTAAAGTTTTTCAAAAGTAGGTCAAACCCCAAGGTCAAAAGGTCAAAGTTGTTGGTATCCAGAGGAAGGCCTTGTCACAAAGAATACACATGTGAAGTTTGAAACCCCAAGCACCAACTGTTCAGAAGTTATGGCCAAGGTTAAAGTCTCATAAAATTTTGCAAAAGTGGGTCAAACTCCAAGGTCAAGGTCAAAAGGTAAAATATGATGGTACCCAAAGAAAGGTCTTGTCACAAGGAATACACATGTGAAATATGAAAGTCATAGCTCCAACCAATCAAAAGTTATGGGCAAGGTTAAAGTTGAACAGACAAACGGACAAACAGACAGACAAGACAAAAACAATATACCCCCGGGATCTTTCGATCCCGGGGCATAAAAATAGGTCAAGTTAAAAAAAGGAAACATTGGAATATACTACTGTCATGAGTACTTATTAAAGCACAAAATTCCAGAAAAAAGTGAAGAATTTGATCTTGTTTGTTTCTTGAACAGATGTTTGTCTTGGATCCACACCCACAACAGATGACATCTTACCTTGTACATGGGTGGCTCTCAATGATTCTGGATCTGCAGAAATTAGAAATGGTAACCTGTGGATAAACGGACAACAGATTCGACAGCTGTCTGAGCTCAGAAGAGGACAAGTCAGCTCCTCCAGTGGTAACTCCACTGGGAACTTATTCCGCATGCCAGTGGGAAAGATAATGTTCCTCAATATGAGACTCTGCAGTGCAGCCATGTTGTGTAAAAATGTGACAGGTGGATGCATTGTAATTACCAATGCTAGATCTATTATTGAAGATTCTCCAACTGGTGGAGCTATCTCTCAGGATATTACTGTCACTTCCAGGAGAAGGAAGAGATCCATTGGAGACCTCAATATCAAGACACCCAGTGGTATGTGTAAATAAAATAATATATTTAACTGAATAGGATATGTATCCACTTGAGTACCTGATTCACTCTATCCCTAAAAGATCTATTTTTGTTAGTTTAAATGACTATTCCTTGATGTTAAAGTCAGATTTTGTCACATAAACAATTAAAAGATGCTCTATTTCAGATCTGTTATTTAAATGAAAGTAAGTTATAGAAAGCTTGTAACAAATAACTTCTGTATGATTTCTAGGCTTGAAACCAGGCACCACCATAGTACTGACACCCCTGGGAGAGTCTGAAATCACAGCAACCTACGGGTCAGATGCCTCCACAAACTTTGTATCCTACATTGAGAATCCAGCTACAACTCAGGATAAGTTACAGAGGCTTTTGGTCAACAGGTACACATGTAATCCTTACCATCTGACAAATAAACTGAATATAGTGAAACGTTCCTTCTAGATACATGTATATGGAGGTTAAGTGTTAGTCACTGGATAAAAATTCTTTTGCTGGTATTTTGATATTCAAGTTTTGGAAAATATAAATTGTTCCAGAGTGAACTTTGAGAACTACACAGCCTTCTCAATGGTGGTGGTAGGAAATCTTCCCATGCCTAGTCCTATAATAATTACATACCATGATGAGGTGGGGAAAACAACCTCAGGAAATAGAACAATGCTGATACACTGGAACCCTGGTAAGCACTGGTGTATTGAATTTGGTCAAGTTAACAAAGGAAATTTTAAAATCAAGAAGAGAATATTTACTGTATTTACAATACTACAATTGAACTTTGGTATCTCAAACATCTATATCTCAAATACTGTGGTTATGTGGAGAGAATTGGAATTTGCAACTACATTTCCTTTATGTATTTTACCCTCAGTATATCTCTTGGCTCCACTAAATTTGAGGTAATCAAGTTTGACTGTATGTACTACTCATGCATATTCATAAATTGTTTGACAGTGATGCAGTACTGGGAGTTGAGCAGTAGGACCTGCAGGCACCTCACTGCTGATCAACAAGAAGTTTATGATGCAGCCACACAGACTATGTCAGTGAAGGTATTCAGCTGCTTTGTAAAAGTTTTCCATTGCATTGTCTAAATAATCATTGTAATATTTTTATGCTGTCAACTACCATGTGTTGGTTCTTTCTTTTCTGCACAAATCGCATATTAAAAAAAATTTTTACCCTTGACAAATACAGGTGTGTGATACCTACTACAATGCCACTGCCAATGACACAGCACCAAGCCCTACCAACATTAATGGGACATTTGAACGGGAAACTATGTTCATCATACCAGTGGGAGATGCTGCCATATACAACTCCCCACCAAGACTGAATAGCACGGATCAAATCTCCATAGAGGAAGACTCTGGTAAGCTGCTGTGTTAGCTAAAATTCATTATCATACATTAAAAAAATAAAAGGATGAAATTCTACATGGCCAGACTTCATGAATTTGTAACATTTACTTAAATTGATGGTAGTGTATCAAATGGAATTATTCATTCCTTGTTTAATATCACTGGCAGAATTTATGAATTTGATAAAGGGTATTTAATTGAAATTTGAAATACTGATTTTTAAAACAGGAACACTTCAATACCAGCTGGTGGCTACTGATGACGAGGGAGATCTTATCAAATTCCAACTTCATGAAGAGGAGTTTGAACTTGGAGATGTAAACCTTACAACAGAGGGCTTGTATGTATCTACATCATTTTCTAAGGAATTTTTATATGAAGCTTTATGGGTCATAAAACAAATCTGATACAGGTTTAACTTTGTTCTGAATGCTGTGATTCTTTCTTGCAGTTTGTCATTCAAACCATGCCACGATTGTTCTGGCTTACAAATGGTCAATTTTACCATGTACGAAGTGCAGCAGTTCTCAGAGATTATCCCCAAGAACACCTCAACAACTGTGTACATCACTATACAGGAAGTCAATGACCCTCCCAAAATGTTTGTGTCTAGAAATGGACAGCTGATACAAAATGCAGATCCCACTGAACCAATTGTGGTAGGACTCTAAGCTGCTTACAAAATATCTGAAGTACCCAACATAAGTTTTTGAATGTTTTTCAGGCTCTGTTTCAGATAAAATTGATATTCTTTGAAAATTCCTACTTTAGTCATAATATTCTGGAAGATTATGCAAATCATTTGAAAAGGAGCATTACAATATATGTATTTGATTTCTTATATGATTTTTTTTCTTGGTAGATTTTACTGGAGGCTAAGAATGACTTCAATAAGGACAGATGGAGCCCCACTTGGAGTGCTGTTATAGGAGCATATGACCAGGAGATTTCAGACATTGTCGACATCAAATTACTCCAGCCTTCCAATGGAACACTCACACTGTCAGCCCTCAACAGAGATGTGCCCCAACTACTGCAAAGCTGTGACCATGCTGAGAAAATTGAGGTAGGCCTGAAGTTTCAGTGAAAACGATGATGTATTGGTAGTGAAGCTTAAAAAGTGAATTTTCTTAGCAGCATATTTGAAATATTTTCATTCTTCATATTTAACTTTGGCCATACTTTTGCTTCAGAAGAGTTGGGACTTTCATATTTTTTCACATGTACATTAATTAAATTTAGGTTAATATGATGCCTTGCCAGAATTTCTATGAAACACTCCCTCGGAATGAGTCACTTTTGTCCTGGCTGACCTTCAATGTGACCTTCAGACAGCCAATGAATGTGTTTGGAAATTTTACTGCCAGGATGTATTTTGAGGACTCATCCAATGGAACCTCCCTACCTATTTCATTACAATTTGCCATTATGGAGTCACCTTGTCACAACAGGGCACAGTGCAAACGTTAGCACATAAATATACTGTACATTCAAAAATGTTTGAAAAATTGCTTTACAATTACTTCAATAATATTTCCAACAATATCTTCTCAAACAGATTAAAAAAATATTTTATCAAATTAAAGAAAGAAATGTGTGACAATTGAGATGTTTTGTCAATGTCAGATTATGAATTTCTTACACACCTACATGTATGATGTGTAATAAATTTCTTGCAAGTGAATTACATGTATGTATTATTTTACATTATCAGCAACTGGTATCTATTCATGTGAGGACACCCACCGTAGCCACAGTTTTGATGCATATTACAGCTGTGTGTGTGCGGGAGGATGGCAGGGCAAGTATTGTGCTGAAGACATTAACGAGTGTCTAAGTAATCCATGTATCTCTCCCTATGTCTGCTTCAACAATGAGAATTACTATGAGTGTGCCTGCCCTCTGGACAATCCCCACTGTGAGTTTGAGCTCTGGCTCATCGCCATTATTGTCCTGGCTGTGATTCTGCTCATTATTTTCATAATTACTGCCGTTTACAGGCTGAAGTTTAAGCGCAGGTAAGAATTCTGTGGTTTTAATATGTAAAAGCCTTGTACATTTATTAAAATTTTTGTGAATTATTATTGTAACCCAAATTCTTTATTCATTTTTTTACAGTCCTCTTGACTATGAAACAGAGTGAGTATACATATCTTTGACAGTACATAATGTAATAAAAACACGTATTAGATCTTATAAACTCTTCAGATGTTGATAATTGATTTTGTTAAATCTTAATTTAGTTCATCTTATATGGATGCAATGTCAGTACATGATTTACATAATGAATATTAATATCCATGTGTTTGGTATATGTTTGTAGTAGCCATTTTGGATCCACATCTTCCATGACTGGGTCAGCTTCTAGTGTCAGCGATGATGAAGAGAGTTTACTTGGTAAATCACTTAGACATTTAGATTAAATCTCATTTTATTAATTTACTAAAGATTCTAAGGAAACCAACAGTTGCACCATTTGATCCCTGCTGTTTGAGTTTTTGTTTCTTGTTTTCAGATGAGAAGCCCTGGTCATTTGATGATGGTGCTTCTGCTGATGTAAGTCATTTGTTTGCTTCAGTTTGCTTTTAACAGCATGTGCATGACAATACCTTTTATTTTTGAAAACTAAGAACACATGAAACTTGATTAAAATAAAGAACATCCACTTTTAAAACAAGGTGGGTTGTTTTGTGTCTCGACATAAGCTCTTTACAAGTTTGACTTTTTTTGTCAGAAATGTTGTGTGCTAAAAAAAGCAGCTGTCTTATAAATAAATAAAGCTAAATATTCTTTAGTGAATCCGTAGTCATGATTTTATTTAGTTATAATTAAAATTGCAAGATTTCCACCACATCTAAATAGAATTTGTCAACTGTTTTCTCTTGAAGATTTGAATACAAAGTTATCAAATGAAATTAAAATGTTTCTCTAAGAAGCTGGAGAAAACTTGCAACTTCTTAAAAGTAATCTGAATTTCAAGATGACTGCTTGGGGGGGGGGGGGGGGGGTCATAATTAAAGAACTGAGTGGTAGCTATCTCGTCAAAGTTTCATGTGTTACCTTTTTTTTTCTTACTGGATATTATAATTGCATGGATTTATATTTTGTATGCATTTAATATTCACCATCATTTTATTTCTTTACATACAGATTGAGTACTTTAAGAATCCCAATTTCAACAGGGTAAATATTTGTCACATTAAAGTGTCCAAGTTTATGTTGTCTGTCATATTGTAATTGCTCTACTTGATTCACTTGTACTTATTAAACAATCCTGCATTCTGTACTTGAGTCTCAAGTACCTTGTCTCACATTCTGTTGAGGTCACTTGGTGTTTGGTTCATCTGTTTATAAATACTTGTATCATTCCCTCTTCTCTGTTTATCAAGAGTGCCAGCTTCTTGTGAACAAAGTGATCTTTATATATAGCTGTTTAAGTGTCTCTTCAGTTTGTTCATCTATTCATAGCATTAGTGTAGAAGTGTCTCTTCAGTTTTATTCTTCCATTTGTACAATTATATGCATTATCATTGTATATTTTTCTGTCTGCTTTCATCCATTATTTGCATCAAATTTCCTATGAATTTACTATATAAAGATTAAGTAGAAAGAAATCCTTATCTGTAAACTTTCAAGTATATGAGTTAGTTAATAATTTTTTTCATTTATAAATTCTCTGATGTAGAAAGAATGAAAAAGTGAAGATGACAATTTGCTTTACACATAACTATAATGATTTAGATTTTGAAAATTATTTTACACAATAGGATTTCACAGGAGAATTTGATAACATTCCTTCCAAAAAGGTGAGAAATGGTACTTATTCTAAAAAATGAAATTAAGGTTTTAAGATTTACAATTTTACATTAAAAAATTCTCAAAGTCATTGCTTGACCTCAAATTGTGTACCTTTGGTGTTACAGGAAGCAATCGATGAGATGTATAGGGTACGAGTCATTTGTATACAGCTTGTAATTTTGGGTGGTGGTTATATTGGTCATATTTATGTCCTTGCTATATACTACATGTATAAGCATCTACCTCTTATCATTCAAAACAGCTGCATGACTTGCGCTTTTGAGTTAATGCTTCGTTGAATTGTAAAATTTAAAGTGCATCTTAATCATAAAAATTTAACAAAGATTGGAACTACTCATTTGATATTTTGTATAAAAACTGTCAGGGGAGAAGTATTAACAGTAGCTGAAGGAAATACTAACTCCTTGCACTGACTTAATGTACATTGTGTGACAGAATACATATCATTAATTTTGCCTCATATTACTGGGGAAAAACTGCCTTCTGGAATATGCTAGTACTCAGTTACACTTAAATACAATCTCTGCAATGTTCAGCTACTATCCCCTTAGAATGTTAAGAGAAGTGAGATTGAATGGAGAAGGCTAATAAGTCAGTGAGTATGAAAATTAAATGGTGAGCAGAGAGTGTATCCTGAAAGAATGGAAAAATGGGGTAAAAGATTGTTTCAGGGACTAAAAATTAATTGTAATTAGGCACAAAGGAGCTAGCAATATCCAAACGTGTTCATCTCAGATTGACCTTTTTTCTGTAAATTTAAAAAAAATGTAATTTCACAATGACATCATAGATTAATACTACCCAGAGGTTTTTAATTTCAAACCCCCTATTCAGCAAGTAGCGGATCTTCTGAACATTACAATGATCAACAAAATCATTGCATGTGCAAAGCCTTGCTGTCATGAGGGATTGGTTGGTATTATTACTAACTGGATTTTGTCAATCTACCATACACTTTCTTAAGTAATCATACATATATAATAATGTAAATGCAATAAATGAAGTTTGAATATTATTTGTGGTGAAATGAACAAGAGACAATGAAGTATTCAATAACACATTGCAGGGCTATCACAACCCAGTTCTGGATGTAGAGCCAAATTATGATCCCGATGAAGACCGGGTTTACCATGAGAGACACACTAAATCTACCTTTGAACCACTTGTACCTACCAAATATGAAGGAGACAAACTACCCAAGAACATCCCTCCTGTGTTGACCACTGGTAAGCGTGGTCGAGTCTTGCCTGCTTTAAACCTAGATAAATCATCACCATACTATCCACCTCCCCCATACCAGCTGATGGAGAATAGTGGAAAGAAGAAAAAGAAGAGGAGAAAGAGAAAGATTGGTAACAAGGATGATCACCATCTGGAGGATGAGTACAAGGCAGGCAGACATACCCCACCCACCCAGATCCAGAGAGACACAGCCAAAATGTTTGAAGCAGGAAATCAACAGAATGGAGATGTGGTACCTAGAAAAAACACTGCTGGCCCTGAAGCAGGATATGCCAAAATCCATCCAAGCTCAGTTGATGGGAAAGCGTCTTCAGACATGGCATACGATTTGTCCTTATTCAGTAAGGCCCAACCACCAACCCATCACACAAGAACAACAAAGAATGGGGACTCCAAATTTCAGAAGGTTCACCCAATGCTAGATAGTGACAGAAGTAATGGATTTGAGGCCAATATGACAAGCACACCCAATTCTGATGCCCTTCACCTTCAACAGTCCAACCACAATCGACAAAACAACTTCAACGATAGTGTGAACATTGAGAGTGAACTGTGATATTTCTTTTTATTTATGTTTGTGCCAAAAAAATTAACACTGTGATTGTTATTTGAATTTTTAACATTATTATGTTTATTTTGATGAATATTATTATTCTCTTATGCTTTTTCATTAATAAGTGAAGGACACTAGAATTTGTTTTGACTGAACAGTGATATTTTTTTATCATGATGAAGTCATTAACACATTTCCTAGAACAAAGCCAAATATATAAATCTTATAAGTAAATATTTGCAATCTTTTATTAAATTTATACTGTTCTGTTTTTGTTTTATTCATATTCAAGGCTGAATTTTTATTAAAGATGAAGGAAGTTAAAATAAATGTTTCTTTTTGATTGAATTTGTGGAACAGTACATATAGTTCCATTGAAAAATATTGATTTTTATACGCCCGTCTTTAGATGGGATGTATTATGTTATGGCGTTCATGTCCGTCCGTCTGTCTGTCTGTTAGCTTTTCTCGTGTCCGGCTCATAACTTTAATACTGTTAGGCCTAGGATTATCAAACTTTGTCAGCTGATACTTATTGGGTAGAAGGTGTGTCGCGAACTAAAAGTAGGTCGTTCTGACCTTTAATTAAGATGCTATGGTCAAATATGGAAAAATCCTGTCTGGCTCATAACTAGAAAACTATTAGAATCATCAAACTTGGCCAGTTTATGCATCTTAGGTAGTAGGTGTGTCACGACCTATTTCAAGGTCACTGTGACCTTTAATTTAAGTGAAATTAAAAAAAAAAAACTGTCTTTTTACTATTAAATTACACAATCCCAAAAATGTAAAAGTGTTACAGTATCCTAATTAAAAAAATGTTAAAATCAAGAAATACTTATTTTTTTCATTGTATACTTTATAGCAACCTATAACAAATATAATGTTACAAGAGAAATTCCACCTCTCCCATGGGTGTAATTATCCGCGAAGCGGATTATAAAACAGCGTAATCTGACCCAAACCAGGTTATACTTGAATAATTTGGCCAAGAATTAGAGTCATTCCTTATGATTTAATTTTAAAATCATTAAATAACTATGGGTGTAAAATTTCGTTGCTTTTTATTAGTTCAAATTTGCCGCTCAATAATACAGTCTTAGTAACGGAAGTGATGGGAATCGAGGGGAGGTAAAAACTGATACATAGGCCAAGCAGCCTTGTTGTTTGTTTAAATGTGGTAAGATCGAATTATTGTTTGAAGTTAAAGGTACATTTATTAAATCTGGAATTTTCCATGGATCCCGAGGACTGGAAATGAGAGGATTGTATGGATACAGATGATTCAGCTGGTTGTCAGGGGGGGGGGGGGGGGGGGGGTCCCATACCAAACCAGGTTATACAGAAATAATTTGTGTTCCTTTTTGGATATTAACCAATCAGAGGCTGGAATACAAACAAAATTAAATTATTCAATTTTAAATCACATTTTGTTTCAGAAAACACAGAGCACATGCTTGTCTATCTACCAGATTTATATATTTCATTAAACAGTATTAGATATATACAATAGTGATGTATTTGTATATGTCATTGAAAATCTCAGATAGGCAAGCTTGAGCTATATGTTTTTAGAGGTAAAATGTATCTGATTTGAAGAAATTCCGTCAGAATTGACGAAATTCTGTAAAATCTTCCACTTTGTTACCCTCAGTGTATCGTAGGGCTGAGCAATGATATCGATATTCCGGTATATTGCGATTCGTTGACGAAAAATATCGTATTGCAATACGTTTTTTCAGTACCGATATACCGGCAAAATGCTTGTGCTTTAGATTTATAAAGTGAATTATAAAATTTAAGATGTCAGAAACGTTTTCAATCTTGCCAAACAGTACTAAACTGTAAAGGTATCTGTTGCATGGTTGCATTTCGTTGCCAAATTGTAATGAAATCAACAAAAACGTTTTGTTACTAGATATATATAAAAGTTTTATACACTGTTCATAAATGGAGGTTAATAAAATAAGATAACAGCATTTTAACTGTTATTAAAAATATTGCAATACATATCGCAATACAGTTCCAAATATCGCAATACGAAATTCCCAACCGATACCCAGCCCTAGTGTATCGCAATGTTAACTTTATTTTAATATCAAATAAGGGGCCAAATTCGGCCGTTAACATACTTTGTTCTTGACCAAAGATCGTATATGGATCATATTCTATATAAGATGATGGTACACCCATATGTTAAATATAGAATTCACGTTAAAACTGTCTATTTGTTTGGAACCTAATAAACACCTTTTGACAACAACAAGAAAGGGTGGTTTGGTTCTTGTGGAGATTTACCTAATTTACGCGTTTAAAATGAAGATCTTTCTGCATGTTTATGTATATACTAAACAGAAGTTGATATAAGCATTTTTTATGTCTTTATCCAACAACTGGAGTTGAACACATGCTAACATCAACCTGAGTCAGCGTAATATCAGCACATTTGGCCTTGGAGAATTCGCATCTGAAATAAACACATCTGTGTGAGATAGATAGACAGACAGATAGATAAAGATATATATTGAATGAACTTTAATATGATGTTCGTCTTTAATTATTAATTTTTGACTTTTGATAGCTTTTATTTCATTAAGTAATTTGGAAAATAAAAAACCCCAGTTTTACCCGCTGTTGAACATCATGCCATTTGAAGCACAGGTTGGTGTTACGGTTGTTGGACAATGGATAAAATCTTTGTTTCTACAGAAAACTTGTTGGAAAAGCACTGTCTCTTGGCTCTGTGTTGTGGTTGTGGACATCGCTGGTGTAGTCATTTCCACTGTTGGGGCGTTTGTCATGATTGTTGTGGTGTCTGTGGGCATCATGGTAGTGGCTGGTGGCATCGAGGTAGTGGCTGGTGGCATGGTTGATCCAGAAGCCACAGTTGTTGGTGGTCGGGTTGCACTATTGCAAGGACCATGGCTCTTTACTCGCAGATGAGAGAACATGCACATGGCGTGAGCAAATTCGCAGCTGCAAATATGCCAGTTTTAATTTATTTAGATTTACCTTTACAATAATGTTTAGAAAATTAATATTTTATTGTTATGGATTTTTGGTGAAAAAAAAGAAAAATATATCGGTAAGAATTTTGCTTACTGATTCGCATATGTGTGACCGTCTGTCCCGCAGATCTGTTCATCGTTAGTTGTATTGTGAAGATGACAGTCAACCACCAAAAGATCAAGACAGAAGTGAGTTCCAAAGTGAATGTTGAGATCTTGGATCTCGTTGTTGATATGTAACGGATTGTCTGTCACGTAACCATGGTTATGTCCATGATCATGACCAGGCGCCTTGGCCAAAATGACTACAATACATTGAGTTACTGCTACTGATAGAAATATCGTATAACTGGTATTTTCTGCGGTTGTTCAATTTTTGCGGATGGGACAAATCCGCAAAAATTACAATCGTAAAATCTTCATTATTAATTCAAATATTTTATACGTAAAAAACTGATAAGTGGTGCTTATGTCAGTCAACCTGGTTTAATGTTATTTCATAACTTCTTACTCTATATTCTAAAAAAGTAAAAGAATTAAGCTCACGAATGTATGAAATAAAAAGGATTTGAAAAATAGTTTACTAAGACTACAAGATAGTAGAGCTTAGTACCAGTTCTCATGCACCTCTGATCAAAATGTCTTTAAATGAATATATAAAACGTAAACATGGCAGTGTTTTACCAAATTCTTAAAATCTGGTGTTCCTATCCCGTAAACAATTTTTGCGATATAATGCAACAGCAGAAATTGAAAACGCAGAAATTAATTTGCTACCTTGCAATGTGCACACCCATTTGCCTGCTAACATACACTTTGAATACTAGTTATAGATGTAAAGTTCGTTGTTGCATATTTTAGTGTCAAAAAATTCCTTGCGCATTTTGAAATTTAACACATGCTCATGCATTGTCCAACCGGGTTACCCAGGCATAAAAACAGAGAGCAAAAAATTGGATTCTATTCTAAAGTTTCCTGGTTTTTCCCCTAAGGGAAGCAAAATTTAATCCGAGTCGCTAAAGCTATTTTGGTCCGTATTTTCCCAACTTGATATTCTACTAGTACAAGTAGTTGTATAATGGGGTACATGTACCAACCACATTTCTTCAATGGGCATGCAGGATAAAATATGTTCAAATATGATGTAGGATTAGCGAACAGAAATCACTGTATTCAGTTACTTTATCTTGGTGTAATTTAAGAATATTTTAATATTACAAATTGTATCATTCAGATTTTTATTTTTAGGACAGATCGCTTTAACCGCATAAAAATGAATGGACTTAAAAATCACCCTGGTTGCTGAAATTAGGAGTAGACCAGGCCTTGAAAATTTTCAAGACAAGCATACGAAATTTCTGTTTCCTCCAAGATTTCAATCTTCAATTGATAGGATCCTTCTAAATGCTAAGATTTTAAAAGTATATAGGCAGGGCCTCGAGAATACAAAACAATACATAACATAAATATTTAGCAGTAGATTTAAATCTACCAAGTTATACCAAGTGAAATGAAGATAAAAACGAGGCGCATTTGAAGCTACCATAAGTGTACAAATTCTGTAGGTTCGGTTTCAAATTCTGTACACGACATACGTAATCAAAACAGCTTTGTACAATTAATATTTCACTATTATACAAGAGAATCTTGTGGATATATGTTCAAACTTACCAGCTGGGACGAGAATTGTGACTGCAAAAAAATACATGATATCTAAGCAGGAGATGAGATAGCCGCACAATTGGTTATCACGGAGCATATAATATAACCCTTGACCTTTTATCTTAAGAACAAAACCTTGTCCTTATTACTGGAAAATTGTGATGATAGGAAAAAGGAAAACACGATATTTTTCCTTTACGAATTTTGGTATTTTTCTACAATAATCTTAGAAAAATAATAACGTAATGTACGTGTATGTATATGTGCAAAGAATATTTTGGTTGAGATGACAAATTAAAACTTAAAGCTTAAGATATCGATGTAAGAGGACTTCTGGAAACCAGATTTTTGAGAAACGCCCACCCCCATCCCCACCCGATTTGCCCTAAGATGAGAGTGAAAACTCTGAAACCTAATTGCACATATACAGGTCAATCATATTCTTTGCAGACCCAGTTCAATACAATGAAATCTTTGAAGGATAAGCAGACCAATGACACAAACTCAGATAAACTTCAGTCTCGTATAGCTGATATTGAAAAACAATTATATCAGACACGCACAGATAAATACAACTTAACAGTAGAAAATGCGAGATTGGAATCCCTGCTGAAAGCAGAAAAAGCAAGAAACAACACCATGGATGAGACATTGAGAAGAGAAGTCAAGAATTTGAAACATGAAAATGAACACTTGTCTGAAAAACTTAACACAAAAAATGAGGAAAATGATCAACTCATGGATGAAAATAAATCACTAAGAACAAATGTTGATAACCAGTTCAATGAAATTTTGTCCCTTAAATCTCAGCTCTCTAGCATGTTCATGAGTGGTGGAAAGGACACTGAAACCAGCAGGGCAAAAGAGATGACAGACCTGGTAGTCAATGCTGGGAAGAATAACAAGAGGCCCATGGGCCACATCGCTCACCTGAGCACATTGGCTAGGGGAAGAAAAGCAAAAATCAGTTAAGAATTGAAAAGTTAACCGGGGGGGGGGGGGGGGGGTTGAATCTTAAACTACCTGATGATGCTTTCATATCAATATAACAAATGGCACTGCTGTTCATGAGCAGAAGATTTTTTCCCATATATTCATTTGTAAACATTTGATCCCCCATTGTGGCCCCACCCTACCCCCGGGGTCTCTCATTTGAACAAATTTCATTCTACACTACCCAAGGATGCCTCCATATCAATTTTACTAATCATGGCTTTTCTGTTCTTGAGAAAAAGATTTTTTCCTGTATATTTCTATGTAAAACTTTGATCCCCCATTGTGGCCCCACCCTACCCCCGGGGGTCATGATTTGAATAAATTTTAATCTGCACTACCTGAGGATGCTTCCATATAAATATGACCAATCATGGCTTTTCTGTTCTTAAGAAGAAGATTTTTTTAAATATTTTCCTATATATTTCTATGTAAAACTTTGATCCCCCATTGTGGCCCCACCTTACCCCCGGGGGTCATGATTTGAACAAACTTGAATCTGCACTACCTGAGGATGCTTCCATATAAATATGACCAATCATGGCTTTGCTGTTCTAAAGAAGAAGATTTTTAAAGATATTTTCCTATATATTTCTATGTAAAAATTTGATCCCCCATTGTGGCCCCACCCTACCCCCGGGGGTCATGATTTGAACAAACTTGAACCTAAACTACCTGAGGATGCCTCCATATAAATATGACCAATCATGGCTTTGCTGTTCTAAAGAAGAAGATTTTTAAAGATATTTTCCTATATATTTCTATGTAAAACTTTGATCCCTCATTGTGGCCCCACCGTACCCCCGGGGGTCATGATTTGAACAAACTTGAATCTGCACTACCTGAGGATGCTTCCATATAAATATGACCAATCATGGCTTTGCTGTTCTTAAGAAGAAGATTTTTAAAGATATTTTCCTATATATTTCTATGTAAAAATTTGATCCCCCATTGTGGCCCCACCCTACCCCCGGGGGTCATGATTTGAACAAACTTGAACCTAAACTACCTGAGGATGCCTCCATATAAATATGACCAATCATGGCTTTGCTGTTCTAAAGAAGAAGATTTTTAAAGATATTTTCCTATATATTTCTATGTAAAACTTTGATCCCTCATTGTGGCCCCACCGTACCCCCGGGGGTCATGATTTGAACAAACTTGAATCTGCACTACCTGAGGATGCTTCCATATAAATATGACCAATCATGGCTTTGCTGTTCTAAAGAAGAAGATTTTTAAAGATATTTTCCTATATATTTCTATGTAAAACTTTGATCCCTCATTGTGGCCCCACCCTACCCCCGGGGGTCATGATTTGAACAAACTTGAATCTGCACTACCTGAGGATGCTTCCATATAAATATGACCAATCATGGCTTTGCTGTTCTTAAGAAGAAGATTTTTAAAAATATTTTTTCCTATATATTTCTATGTAAAACTTTGATCCCTCATTGTGGCCCCACCCTACCCCCGGGGGTCATGATTTGAACAAACTTGAATCTGCACTACCTGAGGATGCTTCCATATAAATATGACCAATCATGGCTTTGCTGTTCTTAAGAAGAAGATTTTTAAAAATATTTTTTCCTATATATTTCTATGTAAAACTTTGATCCCTCATTGTGGCCCCACCCTACCCCCGGGGGTCATGATTTGAACAAACTTGAATCTACACTACCTGAGGATGCTTCCATATAAATATGACCAATCATGGCTTTGCTGTTCTAAAGAAGAAGATTTTTAAAGATATTTTCCTATATATATTTCTTTGTAAAACTTTGATCCCCCATTGTGGCCCCACCCTACCCCTGGGGGTCATGATTTGAACAAACTTGAATTTACACTACCTGAGGATGTTTCCACATAAGTTTCATCTTTCCTGGCCCAGTGGTTCTTGAGAAGAAGATTTTTAAATGATGCCATTATTTTTTCACTAATTCCTAATTATCTCCCCTCGAAAGAGGGCGTGGCCTTTCATTTGAACAAACTTGAATCCCCTTCACCCAATGATACTTTGTGGCAAGTTTGGTTGAATTTGGCCCAGTGGTTCTTGAGAAGAAGTCGAAAATGTGAAAAGTTTACAGACGGACGGACGGACAGACGGACGACGGACAAAAAGTGATCAGAAAAGCTCACTTGAGCCTTTGGCTCAGGTGAGCTAAAAAACCAATGGCCCTGTTAATAGGTACTTCTAACGTGAATGGCATAAAAGAGGATAAACTTACATCAGACGTAAACGTTACTAAAGTAACAGCTTTTACTCTGGATGAAACAAAGAATGTTATCATTAACTCTTCGTGCATACCTGATGTAGTAGTTCTTCACTCTCTAACAAATGATGTTAGAAATATTAGTCCTGAAAAATGTGCCGAGAAACTACAAGGGGTGGTTGAGGTTATTGAACTTAAGTGGAAAGACGTTCACACCATCATATATCTCTAACCATACCAAGAGAAGACAACTCCTTACACAAGGCAAACTGTGAGATCCTGGATGGGATAATAAAGAGAGACTACATGGAGTATCCTGGAGTTCATATTCCTGACAACGAAAACATGTGGCATGGACACCTACCTACAATCGAACTACTGAATACCAATGACAAATTTCACCTGTCTCCGAAGGGAACATCCATATTAGCGTCCAACATGAAGAGAGCAATACACACCGTATTAAAAATCGGCAACAACTCCAAGGGATATACAAATAAGTATCGAAATAGGTCGAGCTACAACAACCAGGAAAAGCATTTCCAGGCGATTAACCGTAACAATTACTATAGGAGCAGTTTAAGCTGGAATCATCAGTACCAGGACGATAATTAGAAAAAGTCCGAACTATTTTCGTTGAACATGGAAAGGGCCATCAACACAAGGGTGATTAAATGTAATTCAAAGTTGTTCTATAGATCTGAAACTGGTGAACCTTAAAATTATAACTTTATTAATTTTCTTTATTTGTATTTTTATCACAGTAGAATACAGTTAAGGGTCCAAAATGGACAAGTATATGTATAAAAATAGCATAAAAATTTGTTATTGGAATGTTGGAGGGATTTTTACACAGGGTGAGAATAAACTAAATGACAAATTATTTTCGAAGGAGGTGAAAAACTATGATATTATTATATTAAGTGAAACACATGTTGGGTAAAATACCAATCTTTTTATTGATGGTTTTACATACTTCCCTGTATATAGGGACATGTCTGCAAATGGAAGATTTTATGGGGGAATGGGCATTTTTCGTAAAAACTGTATTAAGGAACATATTAAGTTATTACCAGGTACCCAGAAAGATTTTCAGTGGATTAAGATAGAAAAAGGGTTTTTTAATCTTCAAAATGATATTTATCTTTGTGCATGTTACATTCCACATTCCAATTCAACTTACTTTCAAAAGTTAAATTATGATGTTATTGAAATTATTGAGAAAGATGTTAATAAGTTTAAGAATAAGGGGGAAATTATGATTTGTGGGGATATGAATGCACGCACTGCTTCATCAGATGATTTTATAGAACATGATGATGTAAGGTACCTTCCTCTTTGTAAAACATGTAAGGTTGATGATAATTTTTGTAAACGTAGTAATCGTGATGTCATTTTAAATGAAAGAGGTAAAGAATTGATTGATTTTTGTATTAGTAATCATTTGAGAATTATTAATGGTAGATGTATGGGGGATATTTTTGTGATTACACATGTTTTAACACACATGGTCAAAGCACAGTTGACTACCTTGTTGCAAGTGAACACTTAGTTAAACAAATTCTATATTTTAGGGTATCGAATTTTATCCCAACTCTTTCTGGTTATCACTGTAAAATATCATGGGAAGTTTTAGCAAAATTTCAGGAAATTAATTCAAATGCTACTAATGCCAGAACCTTGCGTCCCGCCCCTCAAAATTTTAAATGGAATTTAGATTCCCCTATTAAATTTCAAATGGCTCTAAGTTCAGATAGGATACAAGAAAAAATCAAGTCTTTTTTGGATTCTTTTATTACAGAATCTACTTACACTGATATCGAGAAAAAGGCAGAAGAATTCAATGACATTATCATAACTGTTGCTAACATGTCATTAAATAAGCCAGGTCATAAAAGTAAGAATATTAAAAAGCACAAAAATAAAAAGTGGTTTGATTCAGACTTGCAAACAATGCGCCGTAGATTGATTGCGCATGGAAAAATTTATAGCATATTTCCAAAGGATCCAGTTGTTAAGAATCATTACTATAGACTTCTTAGAGAGTACAATAAATTAAGAAAATTTAAGCGTAAAAATTTCCAAAACTTCATTCTAAATCAACTTGATGCACTTCAAAATAAACAACCAAAACAATATTGGAAATTAATTAATGACCTAAAAGATGATAATAAAGACAATTCTGCCGCAAACATAGATTCTGAAAGGTGGGTAAATCATTTTCGCAATCTTCATTCTGTTTGTGATAACTCTTTTAAATCAAGGATACAAGAGCTAGATTTAATTTTGGCTAACATGGAGAAAAATCCATCCTTTAATGAACTGGATTTCAAGATTTCATATAAGGAAATTGTAGATGCAATAGCAAATTTAAAATATGGAAAAGCCAAGGGGCTTGATTTGATATCTAATGATATGTTAAAACATAGTCAGTCCTAATTACTCTCTTGTATACATAAGCTCTTTAATAGTTGTTTCAGTTGTTTGACAGCGTTATCCACACAGGATTAAAGCTCAAATTACTTCACATGAATGTTGGATCTAAATTTTATAATATTATAAGTAATATATATAAGAATAGTCAGACATGTGTGATAATTGGAAGGTTCTTCTCGGATCCATTTCCAATTGCTATAGGTGTCCGTCAAAGGGATAACTTGAGCCCTTCTTTATTTAAAATATTTATAAATGATTTTCCATCATATTTAGATTCATGTATGATGAAGTATCACTTCAGACAAAAACTGTTATCTGTTTAATGTATGCAGATGACATTGTTATTTTATCATCATCAGCTAAAAGTATACAAGTAAGACTTTCTAAACTTGAAAAGTATTGCTCTGATTGGTGTTTAAAGGTAAACATTCAAAAAAACTAAAGTCATGATCTTTAATAAAGCTGGTCGTAATTTTACGCAAAAACTAATGTTTCAAAATAATAGGATAGACTGTGTATCTAGGTACAAATATCTTGGAGTCCACCTAACTGGATCTGGAAGTTTTCATGTAGCAAGATCAGAGCTTTATAAAAAGGCGTTAAAAGCATATTATAAATTGAGAAATGATTTTATTAATTTGAATCCTTGGATTAAAACGAGTATACATATATTTGACTCTACTATTGAACCAATTCTTTTGTATAATGCAGAGGTGTGTGGTAAAAGTAATATCAATACTAAAAGATTCCTAAAATGCCAAAAGTTGAAGACTGTTTCAGAAATCTACTTTGTGAAAGAATACACCTTAAATTCTGTAAATATATTCTAGGTGTTCATAAGAAAAGTACAAATTTTGCAGTATTGTCTGAATTGGGAAGGTTCCCCCTGCATTATGATATTGTCAAATTGTTAATCAAATGTTGGTATAGATTTGAAAATTTGTCCATAGAATTTCCTTTACTTAAAGATGCATATGAATGTAGTAAAAAACTTCTTGTACATGGCAAGAATTCATTGTTGGCATTTATACAGAAATTAAGAAATATACTGATTATCAAAGATGAAGTAATTTGTTATGGGAAGCATAAATTTAAGTCACTCTGTCATAAAACCTTATTAGATTATTATGTAAAAAAAAAAAAAAAAAAAAAAAAAAAAAAAAATTGGTATACAAGTCAACAAAGTTATAGCGATGGTAAATTAAGCACATATGTAAAACTCAAACAAAATTGGGGTTATGAGAATTATTTATCAGTAGTTAAAAATTTTCATCACAGAAAATCTCTATGTAAATTAAGAATTTCTTGTCACAGATTGCAAATTGAAGTGGGAAGATTGACCAACATCCCTCGAGAAGATCGATTATGCAATAGATGTAATTCTAACAGTGTAGATAATGAAACTCATTTTTTGATAACACGTAAAAAATATGATCATCAAAGAAAAGAAATTTTCCAGTCAATTAAAAGTAAATTTCCAAATTTCTCTGCATTAGACGATGAACAAAAACTTTTTTGGTTACTCAATACTGAAGACAAAGAAACTCTTAATTCTGTGGGCAAATTCATAAATGATAACATGTAGTAGTAGCCATACACTTTTATATATAGTATTCCCTTTAACTGAAATAGTGCAATATTATTGTTGAAATGAGCAATGTCATTTACAAATTGTTATACTATCCATTGGCATATCTTTTCTTTATTATTGTAATAATTTCAAACTTGTCTGTTATGGGCTCTAAATTAGAAAATAAATGTTCTGTTCTGTTCTGTTCTATTTCGAAAGATAGATTTGCTACTCTTCTGCTTTTAAAATGTAAGAATAGTTTGAGAAATGTCATGTTGTAAATTTTGAATTTACCTGGTGGCAGTTAATACAAAATTTACAACATGACAAATGTAAATTTTTTATTTACTGTCACCCAATAAAGTCAAAATTTACAAGATAGTGTGACAGATAGACAAAGCTAGAGTATTATTTCTAGTACTTGTTAACAAAATACTAGTTAATCGAGATGACAAGACAGTACTGCAGGTGACCTTCGACGCCATTTACTAAATGGTGCGTGGGAGGACTCACGCAAATATATAACATGAAATAGCTGATAAGAAGTATTGAATAATTTCAAATAGTATAAATTCATGAAATCAGTCTCATGGTATTATATATACTCCACTTAATATTCCTCAATTTTGTTATGAAAACCTCTTTTAATCAATCAATTAACGCTTAACTGTAGTTAGAACCGTTTTTTCTTGACTGGGGTGCAGGTCTAGAAGATACAATTGTATATAGACTAAGAGTTTCATGGATAATGTTTATTCCATTTTTTATAATGAAATACAGTGTATAACACGATGCACCGATTTACGTACTTAAACTTACTTTAAACGATTAAATATAAACAATAAAATGTCTCTCTGTTAATATTAATAAACATAATTAACGGTTGTTACCATTGCAGACAAAAATTATATAGCCCGCTGACGTTTACGTTTTCATTTATACATGGAGCTGCTGAACACACATTTGAGCTTACATCAATGTATCAATAAGAAAGGAAAATTAAAGTCAATCCTAGCGAATTTTTATCTCATATATCAGTTAATATCAATAAATACTTGATGGAAAATTTATACAGTATTCTATATTTTGATTTAGATTGAAAGTATTGGGCTATAATATACATGTTTATATCAAAAGACTGGCAAAATTGGCCATTTCTATGTGCACAATCTTTACATTTGAATATAGGTTTCCCTGTTATTTTATTGAAAAATATATCGATCTTCTAAATGTGAGTAAAAATACAACTAGACCACGTTTGACTAACTTTAACAAGAAAAAATATTGCACTTCAAATTACATTTTCGTGTCGACTTTCTCGTTATATTAGTTGTTAATATAGGTTTCACGGAAAATTACTGATTGTCAGGTTTTATTAGATTTATGCAAGCCTTGTTAAAACCGCTCAATAACAGTATTCCCCTTCGTTTTAACCCAAGGAGTAATCTTGATGGGTTTTTTTTTGTACCCCGGTAGATAAATTGCATCAAAAACCTTCAAACATTGAATTTGATTTTTATAAAATACCGATGGGAATTTCCTATGTCTTCGGTTCCGCCCCCCTTTTAGGGGGGTCCCATGTCTTAAACATGTATATCTATTCCTCCCTCCGTCCATGATGATAGTCAGCAAGGCGATTGTGTTTGTAAGATGTAAGCTTAGCTGAAACTTCATTAATACGTGGGAGACATTAACAAGGCATTAATAGTTGGAAAACATTAACAAGATAACATCTCATAATTTAAAGACCACGCACTAATGAGTCAAGGACACTATAAATGTTAGAACTCTTATAAATGTTAGAACTGAGTCATTATCTCACTTACAAATAGACTTGATAGCTGTAATGGTCTCCTCCTATTAGTCATATATAAACACGAGAGCCTTACATTTGACTTTAATTTAAAAGGAGAGATACTTAATAAAAAAAAATGTTACAGGTCCATGTTCACATTCCTTCCAAGAATGATTTAAGGTACAACCAGTATATCTAGAGCCACAATTTCACCGGAGACTTTTGTTAAAAGAGACAATATACTCCAGTACATCATTGATGACTCTCTTTTTCATAATTAAGAGGTTAATCTTTGTTTTACACTTTTTCAAATCAATGCTACATAAATGAAAAAAAAAACAATTGTTATAAATGGTATTCTGATAAGGTCATTCACTCTCTAAAAAAACTGATTATCTGACTTCCAAAGAGAGGGAGACAATTGCAAGAGAGCGGTTGTACATCAGCATTCTCATTTCTTCGTCCCGTTCCGTTGCAGCTAGTGTCAGCCTCGCTTTCTTACCCTAAAAGGAATATATTCAAGCGGAACGACACTATATAAACTTTAACAGATTGTCCTAATCGCAAGATCGTTGAAAAGTTTCCTAAAATTCAACTAGAAAACTATAAATTTTCTTGCTGACACTCTCGGCGATTACACAACAAATATGTATTTAGTTTAGGCAGATATTTCGTTCACATCCTGGAATGTTTCACTCAGTTCTGTGAACCAATGAAGCACTAAAGCTACTTCCAGAGGAGAAATACGACTTTTTGTGTGATCGCACCCAGAATCTGTCTCCTTTCCGTACCTGAACCACCACCGTGTTGCTTCCACATTCCGAGTTATTACTGTCCTCAGCGTAGGCAAACCCTACCCAACGGTGACTGTAGTTCTTGCAAACCACCGCCCTGGCTATTAAACCCGGGCCCTGGGAGCAGACAGTGATGTGAAATAAGTAAACACCGGAGTAAGTGGTCGTTAGAATCGAGCTCGAGACATCGAGTCCATCTTCACTCCTGTAAAGAATGGTTGGAAAAACCAGCATTTCTCGATCCTGTAGAGTCATTTCACTATTTGTTTGAATTGTGAAGCCTGCTGACGTTTGTAGATTTGATTCTGAATTGGATAAAATGAAATTATATATATATATATATAAAAGAACTTCACAAGAGATCGCAAATTATGTAAGATCGAGAAATTGAAATTTTGTAAAAACAAGCTAATTCAGAGAATTTGTGTCCCCCGCTTAGGGAAAAAAGAAGAGCATGCGCTGTTCGGGGGGGGGGGGGGGGGGGGAGGAGGGGGTCACACTGCCCCCATGTATTTGTAGAATTATTAAATGTATACATGTATATTGAAGCAAATTTAAATTTAAAAAAAGCCAATATGGATTTAAAGATTTGATTGCCTATTCTTTAATATGTGTACATAGAAGATTCTTTTTAATATATACAGAATATTTATCACACTGTAATAATGATTTTATGAGTTTGTACACGCCAGACATCATAACTTTTTCATTTCACATGTTGAATAGTATCATTTAGTAAATCCAAAAAAAAAGAAAAAAAAACATTTAAAAAAAAAGAGAGAGAATCGTCCGGGGATTGAACCCGGGCCTCTCTTTTCATAAGCGAGCATCATACCACTAGACCACAGAGGCACTTGAATATACAATAAATTAAATGCAAACATTAAGTCACATATAATGTTTATTTTCACGTTCGATATTGTCAAAATTTTAATCAATACATGGTGTCTAATTTAGCCTTTACTAAACAGTTCTAATATATGTAATTAGAATATAAAGTCCGCCGACAACCTGTATTATACGTAATAACACTCCACATGCCCTGTGCTAAACGACTTTTAATACAATAAATAAATAAAATAAAAAACGGGGTGCGTAGTTAGAATAATCTAACTGTGTCTCGGGATGACCCTCACCACAGTTAGAATGCCCCCATATACCCGTAATGTAGCAGAAAATTGCAGAATCGCTCCGAAACGATTTTGGAGAAAATTAATGAAGTTGCATTGAAAATAACAGTCAAATTAATCATAACAAACCTTTTTGAGACTGTAAATACCTTTCATCTAAAAATTTAATCCATATTATGGAAGAATTCAACACTTTGTCACCAACGTTTTTTACTCGCTTCAAATTTGCACACCATGTTGACATTTGGAACTCTCGGGATTTTCATAGTAAATGAACTGAGTTAGAGTTATCTCCCGTATTTTCTTCTGCTACATTGACAATACACGAAACGCATTCTATCGTTAACCCGGGTCCGTAGGATATTTATCATTTTCTGTATAGGGGTGGGACACTTCGAGAGGGGCGAGAGAGGCTATAGGGAGTTATGGAATAAAATTTCATTGCAAAAGCTCAAAAGCTTCTTGAGATATGGCCCGGAAACAAAAGTGTTACACACAGACGGAATTTATGAATTTATGACCTTGAACTTTGACCTTTTGACCTCAAAATTTATAGAGGTCTTCCTTAGGCCACAGGGTGTTGTCATGTAAAATTTCATTAGAAAAGCTCAAAGAATTCGCGAGATATCGCGCGGAAACGAAAGTGTTAAAACAGACGGAATTTATGAAGTTATGACCTTGACCTTCGACCTTTTGACCTCAAAATCAATAGGGTTCTTCTTTAGGCGATAGGGAGTTGCTATGCAAAATTTCATTGCGAAAGCTCAAAGGGTTCTCGAGATATCGCGCGGAAACGAAAGTGTTACAGACAGACAGAAATACAGACGGACGGACGGACAGACAGACCCAAATTAATATCCCCCACTTTCAGTGAAAGCGGGGGACAATAAAAATGGGTAAAAAATACAAGAACCCTTTGAGCTTTCGCAATGAAATTTTGCATAGCAACTCCCTATGGCCTAAAGAAGAACCCTATTGATTTTGAGGTCAAAAGGTCAAGGTCATAAATTCTGTCTGTTTTAACACTTTCGTTTCCACGCGATATCTCGAGAACCCTTTGAGCTTTTGCAATGAAATTTTACATAACAACTCCCTGTGGTCTAAGGAAGACCTCTATTGATTTTGAGGTCAAAAGGTCAGAGTTCAAGGTCGTAAATTCTGTCTGTTTTAACACTTTCGTTTCCACGCGATATCTCGAGAATCCTTTGAGCTTTTGCAATGAAATTTTACATAACAACTCCCTGTGGCCTAAGGAAGACCTCTATTGATTTTGAGGTCAAAAGGTCAGAGTTCAAGGTCGTAAATTTATACATTACGTCTGTGTGTAACACTTTTGTTTCCGGGCGATATCTCAAGAAGCTTTTGCAATGAAATTTTATACCATAACTCCCTGTGGCCTCTCTCACCCCTCTCAAAGTGTCCCGCCCCGTTTTTTAGCTCTCCTGGTCAGAGATCAAAAGAGCTTATGCGATAGTAAGGTGTCCGTCGTCCGTCCGTCTGTCTGTCTGTCTGTAAACAATTTTTCAAAACGCTACTCCTACAGTTAAAAATAAATATCTTCTATACACATATTAAAGAAGAAGCAATGAAATCTTTATATCCATATTGGCATATTTTAAGTTTGCTTCAATATACATATATACATTTAATAATTCTACAAATACAGGGGGCAGTGTGACCCCCTATCCCCCCCCCCCGAACTGCGCATGCTCTTCTTTTTTTCCCTAAGCGGGGGATACGAATTCTCTGAATTAGCTTGTTTGTCTTTTTTGTCTGCCGAGTTATTTTCCTTTTTGAAAGATTTTATAGTGAAAGAATTAGATGTATTGGACCATTTTCCGATGATTTGCATCCCTAAAGCATCCAAAAAATTAGTGAACAAAAATAAAGAACCAAGTGGAACTGACATTGAAAGATTTTGATGGAAGGATGAAAAAAGATCAGGCTTTATTGAAGACTTTGACTCGGATTATGTAGAAGAATGTTTATGTTCCTTAGATACAAGTTTAAGAAATAGCAATGAGAACAATGCTGTACAGTTAATGACAGATAAACATATATCACAGTATGTGGGTAAAGAAACCCGTACAACTTGACCAGCCTAAATGGTTGGATAAAGACTGTGAAGAATCCAAGGCAAGAAAAAACTGTGCATTAAATACTTACAGGAAAACAGATGCAGAAGAGGATCTGAACATTTATGAATTTCAGCTACAAAGATTTATGTTATCTTAGGGAATTGCAAAATATAATCCTAGATATTTGTAAAATGGGAGAATTTAAATAAATTTCTTTTCCATCAAAAAAAAAAAAAAAAAATTCTCAATTTTTTTCTAATACTTTAATTTGATTTTGTAAATTGATAACTGTATCTGCAAAATTTACAACATCATCTGCAAAAAGTAATTGCATAATATTAGGAGAAGCCTCGTCAATGCACATGTATATGGCTTTTTGATTTCCAATACATGATATTATTGGGAATATATTGACTTTAAAATCAATAAAATTTTTGTACCGACCCCTTGCTTCAATAATGTATACAATAAACCACTATGTTGTACACAGTCAAAAGCTTTTGAGAAATCCATGAAGAAGCAATATTTCTACCTTTACTTTACTTATGTATTTCTGTAAACACGCATGGAGAACAAAGCAATTATCAATAATAGAGCGCGCCTGTCTAAAACCAGATTGTCGTTCAAACAACACTCCTCCGTATTTTGTCTAACATGTCAAGCTTTTATTCAATATTTTTGTGAAAATTTTACTAATAACATTCAGTAATGATATTTCTCTATAATTCTCTGCTATATTCCCTAAAGCGAGGAAAAAGTTCATTGAAAATGTAATATGTGACAATTGATGAATCATAATTGATGTGTTCCCACACTGTTTAAGTTTTAATTAGTGAGCCTGATCTGTATATGTATTATAGGTACATCATTTTATTGATTGTACTTAGGCCTGTAATACTCAATAAACATCCTGAACTGAACTCAGATACAAAGAGAGAGAGAGATGAAATACTGTATACAGGGTTATTTTCGCCCCGTGTTATTTTCGCCCTTTCACACTCGCAAACAATTTTGCCCCGTTTTGAATTCGCCCAGTCACAGTTCTACTGTTTTCTTTGAATTCGCCCCGTCTTATATTCGCCCACGTGTCCAGAGCGAAAGGAGCGAATATAAAACGGAGGCGAAAATTTACACAATACAGTGGATAGATATATTACAATTTTATTTTCTAATTTTAGAGGATTACATTATGTTAAATTAGGCATTACTTAGTCGATAAAAAAAATCCTTAAATGATTTTTACCTCTTAAAATCATTAGCCCTAGATTTGTGTTGTTTTGGCGCACTGCTCTAATCTGATTCAGAAGACCTTTAACTCTTTCCTCACGTTTGAACTGTGCCACAGATCTGGCAGACATCACTCTCTCTAATCTGCTGATATTTCCGGTCAATGATTCCATCTGCTGGGACAGTTTCCCTAACTGTTCCTTCTGCTCACTTGTCTTTTTTCGCTTACTTAGAAGGGAATTCTTTGCTTTATTCTGAATTTCCTCCAATCTTTTTGCATTGGCTTGCACCATAGCTACATCTTCAGTGTTGATTTTCGACGCTGTTTCGTTTTGTAATTCGGCGATTTTTTCATTGTATCTGAATAAGGAAAAACAATGTTATTTACTTTTTTTAAGATAAAAGAATCATTTTCACAAACGCAGTTTAATGCAAAGCCAACATCACCTTTGAGCATTTCAGAATTCAAAAGTCGATTTATATTTCCTAATTAAAATACTAATAATACTAGTAAAATAGTATTAGATTCCGGATGAAATGAGCAAAAACACAGAACCAAATAATAATAAATAAACAGATATACCATACTCCTTATACTAAATTTTCCAAATATTTTAAAACTACATGAATCATATATTTGGAAAGTTTTTTGCTTGTCAAAATATACCTGTTCGAAATAAAATATATTTTCAATGTTTTACGTCTCAAACAAATTCGCGAGATACCGCGCGGAAACGAAAGTGTTAAAACAGACAGAATTTATTACCTTGACCTTTTGACCTCAAAATCAATAGAATTCTTCTTTAGGCCATAGGGAGTTGCTATGCAAAATTTCATTGCGAAAGCTCAAAGGGTTCTCGAGATATCGCGCGGAAACGAAAGTGTTACAGACAGACAGAAATACAGACGGACGGACGGACAGACAGACCCAAATTAATATCCCCCACTTTCAGTGAAAGCGGGGGACAAAAATACATATCGGACATTCAAAGTTAAGTTTACCCATTCATTTCTGCTAAACAGGGAACATCAACCTAAATGTATATCTTGTGACTGTGCATTAACGATACATGATATTCATTAGAATGTTTCACCTATGTAAATATATTCAGTGATATACTTTACTTAGGTCTACAACAGTTAAAAAACCTTTTTCCACTTCAAATCATTGAAAGAAAAATTGAAATTTAAACCAATGAGCTACAATTTGTAGATTCACTTAGTGCATAAAATGACCCTATCCATATACAATTTACGAATCCACTGGAATTTCCAACCAACTTGTACCTCTGGCAAGTACCTGTAGTTGATAGCAGCACCTTAGACATACATGTAAGTTCCAGTTTAATCAATAAGGGAAAATATATTTCATTTCATTTCTCGTGGGTTAAATTGGAAAGCGTTACCTTATGAGTTGGTGCCGGTTTTTGTCGATAAGAGTTTTGAACTCAGCGTTGCTGGAGTAACACTGATCATGGTCAATTGACAACCAGTTACTTCCAAACGCACGGAATACACAGACGAGTAGAGCCAGACTTTTGATGGTCATTTTGATAACTTCCTTCTCCGCCGTTTTACAGGTCTATTAATAACGAGGATTTATTTTTCCTTCTTATCGAAGTAGAAGGATCGGCGTACTAAGTGAAATGTTAGTGCGGATACTTATCTGATGAATGATGTGGAAAGGACATTAAAATCGGAAGGCGGAAGAATTATTTTTTTTTACTCAATCTAAGAAAAAAACCTTTAAGTATCAAATAAGAGAAAATAAATAACACTCTTCTATCTCGTAATTAGGAGATTATTATCTCGTAATCATTTAGAAAAAAATCTCGTAATTACGAGAAAGGTTCTCGTAATTACAAGATAATATACACGTACTCAAAATGGTCAGCTGTTATTTACCAGTATAATTTTTTCTCTCTTTTTTTAATGTTGTTTTTAATTATATGTGCATTTTCACTCTGCTAAAAGCGTTATTCTATCAACTGTTCTAATACGACTTCCACTGGCCAATAAAACGCAGTGGAGACAAGTGTCCCCCTAGAATAATTTTATGTACATGTACTTAGAGAAGCTCGAGCAAAGACTTGATACTTTACGACTAGATAGCAATGATCTTTGAAATTAAAGTCTAAATTTACAATGTATATATTGTTCTCTCAGAAGGTAGGAAAAACCCCGTCGCAACAGGGCTGCGTCCCTACAGCGATTCCGCAGTATCAGTGACAAAAGCAAAACGCCGAGTTAAGTGCAGTAGAGTCTACGACAGCGCAGCAAGAACTCGATGGGATCGCCTAGAACGCCATGCAATGGCGCGCACTTTGTGCCTGCACAAAATACGCGCCATGGCTGTGTGCGTTCAGATAAACACGCAGTAGATACGCCGTAGGGTCACCAGTACAGCGTGGTAAGGTCTCCATCAGCGCTTATGTACGCAAATAATCGCAGTATTGACATAGTGGTACAGTCGACGGCGTTTGCACAGAGACCTCTCGGAGTCCTTTGAGATGTCACTTTGTCGAAAGAACGTCTTCTCCACGCAGTCAGCGCAAATAAAATAACTGTGTACGCCGTGAACGCGAAGTGACAACACCTAGCAAGTTATGAGCACTCAGCGGGATTACAGTCGGTAATACTGCAGTAGCACGCCGCGGGTGCTCCGTTGAAACGCTTTGGTCGCCGTGACATATTTTCATTGAATATTCCTGATATTCCACGGCAATCCAAGAAATTTAATAAAGCCGTGCAAACTCTGTGGAAAAGCAGCTCTGTTGAAAGGCAGCCCTGATGATTAGAACTGAACCTCAACCCTCCCGAACCACCTCAGTCTTGTATATTTCAGTCATTTTGAAGTCCCTGCTAATTCAAGTCTCTGTTTTCCTATATATATATATATATATATATATATATATATATATATATATATATATATATATATATATATACTCAGCGTGTGTATAACTATATTTTCTAACACCCAAAGGAAAGGTACTATTAGTTGAAAATAAATAAAGTAAATCATGTAAAATAAAGTTAAATTAAAACATTTAATTTTAACTTTTGTGTACATGTATATATTGATATGCTAAAGCAAATGTTTATGTACTGGTATAGACTAGAACACACACCTTTTAACCTATATTAGAGACAGCTTTGAGTGCAAGCAGTCTAACACCATTAACAGTGATTGGTACTCCAATATATCATTCTGCAGTGAAAAATTACATATTAAATTTCACCGTGTATAGGGGCACAATTATGGAGTTTCAGTTACGTATCATATTGGGTTTCAACTCCGAAGCGGTGTTTTCTTGCATGAGGCAGGTATATTTGTAAAAACTCTTTGCTAATAAATTCTTAGGGGGCAAACGACAAGTGCACGGTTTGAAAGAATGTATTAGCTTCCAATTTAGTGCAATAGTCTGTTTGAAAGTGTTCTGGATTTTGCTAACACTCCTGGACAGTTCAGCCGGCTCAGAAAAGTTACGGTTTCTCTGACAATCTCTGATTTTTATTTAAAAAAAAACTTTTTAAGGATGATAGATAATGATACAAAAACAATATATGTAAACATTTTTTTCTTTTAACAATCTTAATTTCTGTTAGAAATGTAAACTTTTGTGGCCAAATTCTGATGTGCCTAAACTAAAAGGGGTTTCGAAGTTTGTTAGCAAAGGGGGTTTCAACTCAGGAGCTTTTTTCAATTTTCTTTATCCTTTCAGGTGATTAAAGGACACAATGGTTAGAAAAAAGGTAATCGTTGGCTTTCAAAGCCTAAATGAAAGAGACAAGATAGAAACGGTATATTAAACTGCGCATTTTATTTAAGGGGGCCTTTACTTACACCAGTAAAAGTGAGAACTCCGAAGAGAGCAAGATGTGTGTGTCTCCCATGGTGTGTTTTGGGTTGAAATCAGTGGAAAAAAGACTCTCTATTGCCTTCGGCGATGTCTCCCTTTGAAAAAGTTTTTAAAGAGAACATTAAAGACTTTATGATTCTATATTAAAAGGAACACAATTTAGACAATGACATCAGTACTTTTCTGGATATGGAGAAATCAGTTCACTCTTTAAAAAATTTCCCTGAGACTGTGCTAGATACTGTTCACTTTTTATCATTAAAAGACAATTCCTTCATAAAATATTCAAGTGTCTCTAAAACTTTTCGGAAAGCTGGATACAGGTTTTTTCCTGGACGCTTTCTTTATTTTATAAGTAGGATGAAAAACGACACTGATTCAAATTCATCAGTTTGTATCAATTTTGCTGTTCCCAGCATGGATACTATCTCGAATTTCAACATTGGCGATATTGAAATTCCAAAATCCATACAACCTGGAGTATTATTGCCTTTTTTGATCATTTTTAAGTCTGGGAAAGACAAAGAGTTTATGCTTTGTGCAGATGTCAAAAGGGTTTCTTCTGGTATTGATGCAAAGTGCGGAGACGTAGATATGTTTACATTTGAAAATGATCTAACTTTAGGAAAAAAAAGTTTTATTTAGATTTGCAAGCAATGTTCTTAGATCAACTTGTGATCTTTATAATGAAGGAATGGACTGGAGGAAATTTTGTCACTTAATGAGTCATTAAAGAAAACACTGGTAATAAATTTGAAAGAAGCTGTTAAAATTCTTGGTTCTCGGTTGAAGGACTGCAGAGAGATTGCTGAGAGGCAGAATGGGAATGGAATGACTTAGAAAATGGCTGGCGACAACTAGAGGGACTCCTGCTACATATTTGTGAAAAGCGCATTACAAGATGTTGATGATTCCGATACATCATTAATTTCGTTGGCTACATTTTTTGATTTCATTCCACAGGTGTGCATCAAACAGCATTTTAAAAACAGTGGAAGATTCCATTAAATATGAGACATAGAGCAGACAGTCTGTGTTCAAGGTATGCATTTCTGCGAAACACTGGCAGACATAGTATTGTGGTAAAGTATAATGTACAGGCAGGCGATCTTTTGAAGGATATGGGCATTTTACCTCTTCAGCATATATCTTTCCGATTTTCTCAGTCGCGCCTTTTTCGTTTCTCTGCACCTCTCCAATGCTACTATCCGATGATACAACTCCAAGTACATCAGTTTGATTGCCAGTTATGATGTAGCAGCCTTCTTTTATAAAAATTGGATTAGGAAAATATGTGGGCAAAACTTTACCAATTCATCTTTCTCGTGTTCATTTCCATAATCTAATCTTTTCCTTTCCTCTTCAGTAAGCGCTCGCTCCGTGATCGGGAGGTCGTGAGTGACCTAAGTCGATAAAAAATAAAAAATGGGTAGCAATTGTTCCTTCGCCATGCGCTCGGCACTTAAGTGAAAGTTGCGGGTCCTTCGGATGAGACCTGAAAAACCCGAGGCCCCGTGTCACGGCAGGCGTTGGCACGATAAAGATCCCTCACTGCTCAATGGCCCTGAGTGCCAAGTAAAGGTCAAAAAAAATTCTCGAATGGGACGTAAAACAACATACAATCAATTCTCTTCAGTAAAAGATTCCCCCATTTTCAAAAAAAAAAAAAAATAATAATCCTGATATGCAATCTTTGTTGTTTTAATCCCCGTAAACCAATAGCAGAATGAAGGGTGCTGCCGGTATAGTGAGCACTTTGTCTCATGCAGTTCGTGCCAAATTGTTGACTTTTGTTTGATGTACTGTGGTTCAACTGCAACATCTGTTGCGTGACTCATTTATTAGCATATCATTACGAGACAAACTATGTAATTGCAGAGAAGTGCCATGAGAATGGTATCCGTGTATTGAGTTTATCAACAGATGGACAATGGATCCAGATGATGTCACAATGTACTGATGGAAAGGCCCTTACAATAATATATCAGTTCAAAAAATAGGCATGATAAATTTCAATACCTCGGAAGGCCCTCTGTGTCAGGTAAATGTTCAAAAGTTATCAAAATGAGGACTTGAAGTTGCAAGAATGATGCAATACAGACACCATGGAAAAAAGAAGATTGGAAAAGAAATACTAGAAAGAAAAAGGACAATAACAAAGATGAAAATGAAACATCCGACGAAGAGAACTCATTGGAGACTGAACTTCAGACTTACTGGGTTCCAGAAACTGTTATCAGTCAACTTGCCAAGCAACCAGAAATAATGATAGATCTACAAGTTTTGTCCGCGGAAATGATTGCGCTTAACATTAAAAATGACATTTCATGCAATGGGATAATTATTTCAGATTGTGATGGTGGAAGTGATATACTGTACAAGGAGTCATAAACAAATATATCAAAACCATCCCTTTTAGAAGTTACAGATGTGTTTTTTGTTTGTTTGTTTATTGTTTAACCTCCCTCTTGAGAATTTTTCACTCATATGGAGACGCCATCACTTGTCAGTGGAGAGCTGCAAATTTAGACCTATACTCAGCACTTAGGGCCATTGAGCAGTAAGGGATCTTTTTCGTGCCAGCACATACTGCGACATGGGACCTCGGTTTATACGGTCTCATCCGAAGGACTGGTCTCTACGTCCCACAGTGGGATTCGAATTCTCGACGTAAGGATCAACTCTTTACTCCGCGACTCTAGAACGAACGCTCTAACCACTGTGCTACGCGTGCGACAAA